GGTAGCACCGTGGAAGAAGTCTACCTGCATACCGAATCATTCTCGTGAGTCCTTTCCTTCACTCTGCTGCAGCAGCGATTAAAGATCTAAACTAACAAATATTCCACAGGTGGTAATAATATTATATTTCTTGCGTATAGAAATTTCGACCTGAATACATTTCATGCTCCGCTTCTTTTTATACATTTGCTTGTACCTAGTTTGAAACTTTTTCCATCTTTGATCTTTCAATTTGCTTCTTGTGTGATACTCTCCCCTCTTTGCTCGTTATTCCAGCATATACTTACATATTGTACCTTAATACCCTCAATTATTACTCACTAAAAAGATAGTATCCATATGATATAATTGCAGAAGGGATACTCCTACTACCTAATACCTCTATCATAAACCACCATACATACCCTAGTCTTTACCTACTGTCGTACTAAAATGATCACTATTCGAATCAGATGAATCATATACTAGTATCTATCTCATTTGTTTTGGCTTCAATCCAATCCAATTCAACCCATCTAAAAACCACTAAGTTCCTCAATTGCCCAAATTTCGATCTGCTCGATATTAATACCTGAATCGACTAGAAGATCTAGATAGTCAAGCTATCAATCATATAACACAGACAAATCAAGTACATCTCAACTCATAATCATCCAAAACCAGACATTAGCTAGTAAGTCAGATTCTCTAAATCTATAACCCGAACAGAACACACACATGGAACACCGATGATTCGAAATGGCAAAATGTAGGTATCAACGAAAAAGCGCCGGACCCGTGACTGACTGACTCTATGAGTGGAGAGTAGAGTGTAGTATAGGAAAGCAGACAAGATATAACAGTCAAGCAGAACAAAACAGAACAGAACAGAGGCAATGTCACATCTCTGTCTATAAGTATATGTCACGTGTTGCATATATGCACTGTAAGTAGCCCACTCCCCTCATGAAAGATCCAAGGATCATAAACTGGATCTTGTAAAAGGGGGGATAGTATCATCATCAACGTCGTCGCAAACAAATAAGAAAGTAAGCGGTTAATTCTTGCCCTCCAAATATTCCATCAACGAAGCTCTCATCCGCACGTTTACCACACCACCCACACCATACGCCGGAACGATCTTGCCCATGCGCGCAAAGCAACTGGGGATGTAGTCGCGTCTGATGCGCGAAGTGCGCTCACGCCATCCCAATCCGCCCGGCGGTTGCCGGTTATATAGATCCAATCCGAGCAGGTGCATAGGCGTGCTCGCGAACTGCATCAGAGCCGGACAGGAGAATTGCGCGAGAGCGGATTTCATTCCGGGTGTGGAGGCGATGGAGTCGGGGATGGAGGGAGCGACGAGGGCGGGGATGTTGAAGGAGGCGAAGATGGTGATGCTGTCGCGGAGACAGAAGAGACCGTAGGAGATATTGGGGACTTTGGCGGCGCCGGAGGGGTGGCAGGAGGCAGGGGTGGAGGTGGATGTAGATCTGGAAGCGGGTTGTAGCGCTCCAGATGTCGCTGCAGGAGGAGAGGGTTTTGCACCGAAGATGCGCGCGAATCGGGCGTCCTTGTATACGCAAATACCCATGTTCACGGCGGTGGTGGTGAGGAATTTGGCGGTACCGGGAAAGACGGTCGAGAAGGGCTTATCGCGCACGGTGGAGGTGAAGGTGTCAATGGTGTTCGCGGTGAGGTAGGTGGATGTGTAGAGGGTGTAGATAAGGAGGAATGGGGTGCTGAGGAAGAAGCTCCCCGGTTGTGAAAACATGGAGCGGAAGCAGGATGTGATGGTCTGGCGGATGGGGACGCCCTTGGCTGCTTTTTCGATGATCGCGCTGGTTCAGAGAATTGAGTCCGTTAGCTTTCCTTTCCTTATCTCGGTTTCTCTTTCCATGGCATGAGGATGTATCGAGGGTAGTTTGTAGCTAGCATACCGATCAATGACGGTGATGACAGGACATGTCAAGGCACCTGCAGTCGCCGCACTGGCGATATCGACTCCCAGTCGCGCACCTAAACGGTTGGTATTCCAATCCGACGAGATGGACTGCTCCGTGATGGCGGACATGGGGAGAGGCGCTTCGGAGGAGAGCGCGTTCCGAGGCATGGTATGTTTCACCGGTCGGGGTTGTGATCAGAGGAGAAGTGAAAGACACAAGCAAACGGAAGAAAAGACAGGAAGAATGAGCAAGTCTAGGGCCGAGATAAGGGTCGCCCGGGAAGAAGAGAAGGAGGTTACAGCGACAGCTCGATTAACGTCATCCAGACCAGCGCAGGAGAAGACAATTGCCGGGGAGGGCGGATGAGTGAGATTGTCGGGGGTTTGGGGATGGCGAACAGGTTCGCAGTCCAAAACGAGGGATTAAGGCACGGGAGCCCGACGGGATTACAGGTCCATTGCAAAAGGAAAAAAGAGTTCGGAGTTTGTTAGTCTCGCGCCCGACATACATAAGTAAGAGCGAGTGAGCGAGAGATCAGATCCATCGCGACAGCGACTCATTATTTAATCGGATTGCAGGCGGACGAGAAGTGGCCGGCCAATGATTGGTCCAGCTTTTGCAACGCCCTCGGGATTGCCTCCGATGCCGGCCGATCTTTCCGCCAAACTGCCGACGGATCCCTGGTTTTTGAGGCCATCACCATTCCCGGATAAACGGTTCCCTGCTTTTCCCGGGATAAACGATCCACCGACAAGACAATATTACAATGTAGATGTTGCAGATAATATAGTTGTTTCATTCCCAAGAAGTTTTTACTACACTCATTATTTAATGCTCCTGAACGCCCAAATGATCGTCTCTTAAAATCGTGACCGTAGCACTCAATCAATGCCTCAATTACAGGAAAGAACTCGCACAATCCATCAGTCGCGCGCGTGTTATGCATACGTAGCTTAGTTGGACGAGTTCGCCTGGAAGTCGTCCAGCGTGACATTGACAGCACCAGCTTGCACCAGCTGCATCCAATATTAGCTCAAATGATCAATCACTCCAATAAAAAGAATATGGCAAACTTACCGCCCGTCGCAAGTCATCAATAAGATCATCCGCATCTTCAATACCCACGCACAGCCGGATCAGATCCTCGGGCATGGCGCGCTCCCGTCTCGTCTTCTCATCGATACTGGCGTGGCTCATGCGGCATGGCATACTGATCAAACTGTTGACACAGCCAAAGCTGACACTGATGGCCCACAGCTTGGCGCTTTCGACAATCCGCTCACTGACACCCACGTCACCAGTCTCGAACGAGAGCACGGCTCCCGATCCCCGAGCCATCGAGTGGTGCAGCTCATACTGCGGGTGCGACCGCAGACCAGGGTACCGTACCTTGAAGCCATGGGATTCCAGGAAATCGGCAATGCGCTGGGCGTTGCTCTGCTGCTGATCCATCCGAACCTTAAGAGTCTTCACTCCACGCAGCAGCAGCCACGAGTCGAAAGGCGACAGACCGCAGCCGGACGCGTTGATTGTGAAGTAAAGGCGGTCGCCGAGAGACAGGTCGTTGACGGCGAGCACACCCGCCATAAGGTCGTGGTGACCGGAAAGGTACTTGGTACCACTCTCGTACACAATATCGGCACCGAGTTCGAGAGGGTTGAGCAGAAGAGGCGACATCATGGTGTTGTCGACCGAAACGACGCAGTTAGGGTTCGCTTCGTGGGCGGCGGCGGCAATCTGAGGAATATCCACGATCTTGATGAGTGGGTTGGTCGGTGTCTCCAGCAGAACCATCGCCGTCTTCGAAGTCAGAACCTCGCGCACTTTCTCCGGCACCGTAGTATCAACATGGTGGACAATGATGCCACCGTTCGTGGACAGGTACTTCAGAAGACGGTTGGTGCCACCGTAGAGGTCATCACCAGTCACAACTTCATCGCCAGGACGAAGCAGGCGGGTAATCACATCCAATGCAGCCATACCAGAGGATACGACAAGAGCCCGCTGGGCGGACATGATCTTGGCGAGGTGACGTTCCAAATGTGTCCGGGTCGGGTTTCCGGAGCGAGTGTAGTCATATTCGCCGCCTCCACCACCGGAGGTCTGTTTGAAGGTAGCGCTCTAACAAAAGCATCAATTAGCCCTGTCTTCCCGTTTAAGTTGTGTCTTTGCATGGTCGACACCCGGGCAATGAAGCATCACGGGGAATTAATAGGTACCTGGTAGATGGGAACGCTGCTAGCATTGTACTGATCATTTCCCTCCGTATATACCAGCTCCGTAGCAATGTTATAACGACGGCCACCATGCGGGCTCGAAGGAGCGGGGGAAGGAGGAAGGTCGTGACCCTCGAGGTCAACCCGAGGGAAAGCCTTCTTCACCGCGGCATCACTACTTGATCCTGCGGCCGACATCGCTGCGGGGACGGAACAGCGGGGAGATGGTCAAGGGTGTGAGAAAGGGGTCGGAAAGAAGCAGAGTCACCACCGGATATGACAACAGGTGGGATTGGACAAAAGAGAGATGACAATGGCAAAAAGCAGAATGAAATTGCCAAAGAATGATGGGATAACAGGAGATTCTGGTATGGAAAAGGCGAAATTATTATCTTCCCCAGAAGAGTCATCCCCCGGGAGTAGTCAGCATCGACGGTTGCCCGAGTCGGTAAAGCTGGCCCCAGATCCCGCGTCTTGTCATTGGCTGAACCGCCCGCCCTGCGATGTCGTCATCCGCTAGGCCCAGTCGGGAACAGTCTCGTTGCTGACTCATTCAAAGCCTGAGGCAGACATCGCGCCAACACTAAATCACCTGTTAGTTACGTATAGAGTAGTTTACATTCCTATTGAAGCATTCCATGAAGTTTACTTGCAATTTTCATTGCATCATTTCGGCTCTACCAGTAAAAGTCATTATACACATGAATGTAAGGCACATCCTCCAGTTGCGCCTGATCCCACCGCCCATCGTCAAGAATGACACTCGTCCATATCTCCAACAACCGGGGAGATCTGGACATAAGTCTCGCTGTACTGAAATATAAAACACAATATACCCTTCGGAATTCCGAAGTATAAGCTGGACAGCATATGGACGATTAGACCATTATGACCGTATATCCATCAAACAACCACCCATGCCATATCAAATATAGAAAGCGCTATAGACACAACGCCGCCTAGGTCGCCAGATCGCCGAAACTACCGTTAATGCCGAAGAATTGGAACCTGAGAGAACCACGAGTTAGTATATTAGCATAGTCACATCCTTTTTGAGGCCCTGCTTTGAGCCGCCATGACCAACTTACCAGTCCTCCACATTGAGTGTGGTGGGAGCTGTCGGGCCGCTCCTTGAGCTACTGCTCCAATTGTCATCCTGACTCGCGGCGTCCATAGGCGCTCCGCTCAGCGTCGCGTCCATATTCTGCATTGGCCAAGCCTGCTGGCTTTCTATCCCAAACACCTGCTGTGAATGCTGGCCCGGCAGGCCAATTCCAGGTGTTAGAGTCGACATGACTTCCGGGCTGCCCTGAGCGGCGGATATGCTACCACGTCCTGGTATTTGCTGCGGCATCATCGTCCGTTGGTCCATGCTTTGAGCTTGTAGCTGAGACTGCATCTGCAGTTGCGGATCGACGGTGTTCGGTTGGGGCGACGTCAATTCTGGGAAGAACGTAGTGCCGTCAGGGAACAACTGATCCGGTTGGAAGTTCTCCCATAGTGATGGGGAAAGATTGGGTGATGTACGCGTAACGAGGAATAGATCCGGGGGCGTGGCAGGCAAGGAGTATTGATTGAAAGGAGTCGTCGGGCGCGTATTGCCGCGCGAGGCACCCGGCTGCCCGGGAGCTGGAGGGGAGCCTTGTGGCAGGTTCAGACCCGGAGGCTGCATCTCTCTCGAGGGCGTGACTGCAGGCGTTTGGGGACGAGATCGCTCGTAAGATACCGGTGGCGTGGGCCCTCCGCCATTCGGTAGGCCAAATTCCATCTCGTCGAACTTGCGCTTGGGGGGTTCGGGCTTCTTCGCAGGCGGCTGCTGAGCAGCCTCGGGCCGTACCCGCTGGTGTCTCTTGCCTGCAGCTTTCTGAAGGCGTTCTTCTAGGACCTTGTTCCCGAGAATGGACTCAAATAGCGTATGCACCATCTTGGCTACGAGCCAGACCTTCGACACATCCTTGAGGGCTTGCATGCAGATGTTAATCCGTTCCTGGCAGGTGGCCACAATTGAGGGAACGGAAGATCGCATTTGATAAACATGCATAATCAAGGCCGAGAACAAGCTGTAGACACTTTGCAGGAGTCAGTAGACGTCACCACATGGTAGATGCAAGAACTTACATAAAGGCAGGCGCATATCTGATCTCGCTGTGATTCTGGAGATTCTCAACAATTGAAGTGATCATTCCAGCAGCCTGGAACGCAATGGTTCGCGAAGGGTAGGCCATCTCTTCTACGCGGTAATTGCTTGAAACGGAAGACGCAGGCGGCATATGGGCTCGATGCAGGAGACAAAGTGTTGTGCTGAACCTAGTTAGTTTCGAGACCGAATAAATTCCCTTATTGCATGACTCACTAGTAGTTGGCATGGAGAAGAGCAGCCCAGAAGTGATGCCGTTGACGTTGCCAGCACACCTCCTTCGGGCAGTTTTGGAGCCAATCTGCCAATGCCATGTCGGAGTGGGTGAGATCCATAGCGTTCATCCGTCTTGATTTCGAGGCCACGGAATACTGCTGGGAGAGGACCAACCCCATGATTTCGCAGAGCTTAACGTATTGAAGGAAGAATTGTACGTGTACCGGGTCTGGAGGATACTCCGCTGCGATGTCAATCTCATCTTCAATGAAGTCGTCTTCCGTCAACATCCCAACGTCCGAATCGTCAGTATTGATACCGATGGGCCGGCCGAGCGCGACAGCCACTGATCGGTCTCTTGTGAACAGGGTCCACCAGATCCGTTTCCACAGCCTCTTATCCGGCTTGGTAAGTTGAGACGATTCCACACTGTAGTATCATTAATGGATATGCATTAGAGACACAAAGGGACCAATCAGCCTCATGCATACCTTCGATGCATACCCGAACCCTGAGCCACGACCATGGCCACCCTGGTCCAGTAGAAGACATTCTTCGTGACATCTAAAGCGGGTTAGCACATATACCCTGGGAGTTCAAGGACGATTAGCATAGGCCATTATCCATACCTTCAGGTCCCTCCCAGTACCAGCCTAGAAGAACCAGCGCTTGGACAATAGTGACGCGGTCGTCCTCGTAGTTAGCATCGTATAGTGCCTTTGCCCTCTTATAGAACGTCATGGCAGCTGGCGTAGTAGAGCCGTTGGCGTCCATCAATTGCGGATTGGTGCAGACCCTCGAACCAGCCAGGAGTATGGCTTGGAGAAGAAGTAAAGATGGTGGGTTCTTTGGATCACGATACTGTCGCATGAAGCGGCTGCGATTGACGATGGGCACAACGGGGGCCACCCATTTGAAGTAGGCCTCAACCAGCTCGTCACACAAAGGTTTGGGGGGCAGCAGGAAGGCGCCACGTTGGTGCAAGATATCCAACTCCAAGCTATCCAGATCCGTCAAGCGAGCAGGCGTGCCGCCCATGTTCGGGGGTAGAGGGTAATGTACGACATCGGTGGTCCCATGGCGGTCCTGGACGAGGAGCGACAGGTTTGACGACTCTCCAAGATATGCCACCCTCCCCGCTTCCTTTATCGGGGCGCGCGCAAACTTAGGCTTCATGAACTGGGCATACATCGAGTTGTGGGAAGCCTGTTGAGCGGCCTGCGATTCGGTGAGGCTAGTGACCGGCATACCGTCGACAGCCATCCGATTCCTCTGATAGCCAAAGGCATCCTTCCCGCTTTCGACTGGTAGTGGCTCGGGTTTGCTCGGCGGCGATTTCGGTTCGGCTTCCTCACCTCTAGTAAACAAGGAACGAAGCATTTGGTCAATATAGTTCGACACCGATGATGGGACGGAAGACCGAGACATACCCGCTTGTTTCCTTGGACTTGGTTTGGTTCTTCTTGCGTTTCGGCGTAGGGATCTTGCACTCGATCGAAAAGGCCACGCAGTTGGTGCATGGCACCCCTAGACTGGCAGCATCGCAGCGAACCTACCCATGGAGTGGCGTGATTAGCGAGCTTGTTCGGCCGTCCACGATCACAGGCGCAGGTCAGGCACGGGCAGGACTGGGGCCATCCATCCGAGTGGGGACAGGTGGTTACACAGAGGAAAAGGGGTATAGACTCACTTTTCGAGCATGGCATGTCTTCACAAGCGTAAGAGAAAAACATGTTAGCCAAACAAAGTCCTATAGATCGAGATGTGGTTGCATTGTCTTTGTCCTTGCGCGCGGCGCATTACCTGCGACCGGCGAGTAAGGAGCAAAAGCAAGCTGGGATTTGAGCCGAGGTGCCGAGGCTCAACAGCACAAACGCGACCTCGCAGGAAGCAAGACGTACCTCACAAGCACGCGACGCACGTTGTCTATTGGGAGAAAAGCGATTAGATAAAAAAGATTAGCTTCTATAAGATCTCGACCAAATTTGAATCTATATTTCACGTCCTGTAGTCCCCCCGCTCGGGTTCTGGGAGTTCTGCGCCAGGCAGTCTGGCTTCATCACTCACAGCCCCGCGAGCGCAAACGGGCAAAAAAAGCAATCACCACAACGGTCAACACTCACCTTCTGAAACTCATATGTCCGTTTGGTCCCGTGCGCACAGTAATACCTGAAGTGCCCGTTGAGCCCGCTGTACTTGGGGCTGGGCTGGTTTTGGAAGCTGATGGATCTGTGTGGTTTTCGGTCGTGCTCATGGCCACCAGGTATCCATCCAGAGGCTATGCGACAAAGAAATGGTCTGGAGCGACGAGGGCCAGGGGGGGAACGACTCGAGGTTTTGGGAATTAAGTTTTTGTGGTCGAGACTCGAAAAAGAGTAAAAGAGAAAGAATACAGGAAAAAAAAAGGAACAATACGTCAAAAGGAAAAGAAAGGGAAAAATGAGAAAGGGGAAAAAAGAATCGAAGGAGGACCAAGGTTCAAGTATGATAATATGGAAAAGTAGGCAGTTGTGGTGACCGAGCTTTTGCTTTTTGCTGGGTGTTTGGGGATTCTTTGATGAACCGCTTACTGGCCAGGCAGATGAACTTGAAGGAACGGAACGGAACAGGTAAAGCACCAAGCTAGAAAGACGGGGAGCAGGAGGAGGGGAGGGAGGATTTGGCGCCACCCGACCGATGGATGCGATCGATGGAGCCTAGTGGAAGGCTGAGGTCACAGGGGAGACAAACAGAGACAGAGAGAGAGAGAGGCAATGTGGAGGGGCAGAGGGGAGAAAAATTCCCGGGATTAATGGGCTCAAAAGAGAAGGTGATGGATGACTCCAGGAACCAGTGCCTGATGGAGAGAGAGATACTAAGTCACTAAGTTGTGTTGCGACAAGAAAAGTAGTAGTACTAGTAGACTAGTAAACGAACTGAAACTAACTCAATGGCAACGGGCGGGAGTATCCCACCTCCCCAGAAAGCAAGTAGCAGCAGTAGCAGCAGTAGCAGCAAGCAGCAAGCAAGCAGCAAGTAACGGTTCAAGCGTCTTTTTCCTACTGGCCCTGCAGGGTGGCGTCAGAAAGTCTTAGACCTGAAAGTATGGTTTTGCTGGGGCCCACGACAACCAGTCACGGTGTTGGTCAAGAGTTCAGTTGTTTGGGACGTACCTCGACCGACCTAACTAAGTAAAGGGGAGGAGGAGAGGGGGGAAGAATAATAATGAATAATGAACGAGTTAGTCGGACTGTGGAGAAAGCTGCTTAGTATTGCTTCGTTCCCTGTCGCCGGACCAGAAATTACGGTCGGGCTAAGGCTCTTAGGGGGGGATCCAGCCAGGGTCCATCCGGATGGTCAGTCGACTTTTAGTCAGTCTAGCTGCTATTTTCAGTCTTGTAGACCCTAAGTATCATCTACCTTGGGGAGGGGACATATGTGCCCCCTGATGGGATAGATAGTAACTCGCTAGAATGAGGTGTGGATATTTGAAGTTGAATGAATGAAATCTAGGCAGTAGTAGCTTAACTCCGACACTATCATGAGACCATGACAGATGATAGTACTCGTTGCTTTTACAGGGGAAATCCTGCCACCATGATCTGGCGATTTAAACCCGGAAGGGCTAAGTACTTACAACTGGATGGGGATCCCCCAGTGCATCATAGTACTACTTCTACTACTACTACTTAAGTACGCGAAACTCAAATTACTAGTAGGCTCTTTGAGATGGAAAATATCAGGCTCTGCGATGAGCTAGTAGCTGCGAGCTATGACAGACTCCCTTCTGCAGGTACATTATTTCCCCATTGCTTTCTGAAGTTACTTACTCACATCGCACGAGACCACTATAAAATGGATAACAACACACAAGTTGGGGAGGAATGGGATGGAAATGTCGGCACAACTTCCCACTCCTGCATTTGCCCGTGGATTTTAAGCTTCTTTCTTACGTTTCTTTTTCCAACTCCACTTAAGGTGGAGTAGTCTGGGCCGTTTTCTTTCTGCTTCTTCAGTACAATGTCGCTTATGCCCGCTTATGCAGCATGTACGGAACAAAGAAAGTCAGAACAAGAACAGTCAAAATAAATTTATGGATAGAATCATTAGTCAAGTGCCAGAAACAGCCATAGAGTAACTAACTAGCAAAAAAAGATGTAAAAAGAATCAATGTGTCTGATGATTCTAGCCCACCTGCACATCAATGACCATCTGCTTCCCCCCTGAATCATTATCTACCAGTTTTTGAGTCTGACTCTCCATCTGGCACGCAAATCTTGGTTAATCCCCGTCGTGCTAAATATGGCGACTGATCCCCATCCACGACTACTTATCACCAGATTCACACACCAACAATAACCCTGTCAAATCCCAAACGAATTGAGCCTTTATTTCTCGCTAAGCGACGAGCTCTACAATCACAATGAGGGATTAATCAATCCCTGGCACCCTCACCAACCGACCCAACAGAACCAATTCCTTGGCTTCCTTCAAGAAACACTCACACTCACACTTACACACAGCACAGGAACAAGTAAGTAAATAGCTTGCGTGTATATCTTCAGCTTAATGCAGGAGCAAAACCCCAGATCAAACCAATGAGAACCCCAACACCCCATCCTTCGCAATCTATACCCTTTTGGGCACAAAGTAACAAGAAAAGAAATCTCGGGGTCTAATATGTGTCAAAAGGTTAGTTAACCTCCCCGCTCGCATATCCCGACGTCACCGGAGGCTACTGCACTAGTAGTAGTACTACGTACTACTTACTCCCGATTCTGCGTGTGCCTGACTTCTCTCTTTTTTTTTTTTTTTTTTTTTTTTTTTCCCCTCGTCTGCCTTGCGGGAATGGCGCGGGCTTTCCCCGCAACCCAGCCATCAGCATGCAGGGGAAACAACCCGGCGGTGTGCGTGTGGTATGTGTGTGTGGATGTCCACGAAGCGATCTTAGCTTTGGCCCCCTCTCCCCAGTGCGGATCTGGACAGTCAGCCTGGCGACTCGGGGAGAGAGAGAGAGAGACAGGGAAAAAGCTTAGTGGCGTCATCTCTTAGACTGTTAGTAGTAGTACTAGTTAGGTCGTCTAGCTTGTGAAACCTCGGCTGATGGCTTATCCTATCTTTTTATCTATCGATCGATCTGTTTATGTCCGAATCGGGTTATCCCCGGCGCGTGTTCGCCGCAATGGGGAATACGCTAACAGTGCACGAAGAAGCAATTATCCAGCTAGACATTTATGCGGAGAGGGATATCTCGGCCGGAGCGGATTTTATTTGGAGGACGTTACAGGAACGACTTACGAAGCTGGTATCCAACGATTATTGTAAGGTTCGCGCTATCGGGCGCGTTCGCCTCGTCGGCTGTAGTGTGTATATTAAATCCAAATGCACGTATCTGACTATACTATCACACATGTACAAAATCATTACAACTCCGAGGTGGAGCTTTGCGCTGCCTCTTGGCTTCTATTGGGTCTTGCGATGCTTTTTCTTGTCGGCCATCGCAGTGCCATTCGTCTCCGTGGATCCGTTGACTGCGTCAATGGCGGTGCTTCGGGGACCAATGTCGACTCCACTGATCATCACCTCGCTGAGAAACTCCAGCACGGCTACAAACGTGCACAGAAAGCTGGCAATGCAGAAGTGGCTGATGGTCGTGCCAATGTCCAGCCAGGAGCCCTCGTCGCGCACCATGTAGAAGAAGTTCAGCGTCATGATATCGGAGATCGACATCACCACCATGAACAGGGCGCTGGGTGCAACCTCCAGCCGGCGGTTCAGAATGCCCAGGTTGGCACTGATGATGGCGAAGGGGATGAGAATCTTCAGAATCAGCAGGGCGCCCTGACTGAACGGGCTAAAGACCGGGATGAGCCGGACAACACTCTCCAAGGAGAATGAGGAGATCGAGGCGATATTGCCCGTGCTGAAGAAGGCTGATTGAAGCAGGAAGAAGAAAAAGAGCGCTACCCGTGCATCTGACACGCTAAGGGTTCGGTAGCGGTAAGCATGGCCTTCAACAACTGCTGTTGCATCGGTGCCTGGCTTCTTTGCATCTGCAGCGGCAAGGAACGGCGCTGCAGTGTAGACATGAATAGCGTGCTCCAACCGTACCCAGGTTGCAAGAGTCAGGCAAAACACGAAGTAAAAGAGCCCCTCGTACGAAATGGTGAGGATGATGAAGGATGGGGAGAAGGTGAGGAAAAGGACCATCAAGCGGTGCAGGTAATGCCTATTGGGATACAGGCGGTAGAGGAAGGGAAGTAGCAGTGAGGTAACTGATTCAGTATGTTAGACTGCGAATCGACAAGGAGAATAGGAAGTAGCTGTGGTATGCAGTATCCCTTGATATTCACAACTCACCCAGAACGAACCAACCGACGATTTGGTTGCCAAATGGAAGACCTTCTTTAGCTTGAAGAGACATTGCACTAGATCTCGTAACTATCAATGCAAGCATGACCATGCCCAGCTACACAGAATTAGCCAATGGTAACCGTGGGGAGGGTAAGGGAGATGTGCATACCTGCATGCCCATGATGGTACGCGAACCACAGCTGGGAAGAGTATTGGATGACTGCGTTGGGTGTGCTTTTCTCCCCAAGATGCGGTTCTCAAAAAGTAGGTACAATAGGCCGGTGAAGAACATTAACAGGCCACCCCAGGTTCTGCAAATGCAGTTAGTCAAAGTCGACAAGTCGGCAAAGCGCTCAGGGTATACATACATTGTGCCTATCTCTTCGACCTTGTTTGCCGGTAGCAAGGTGAATGTGCTCATTAGAAGACAACCCACAAACCATGAAAGGGACAGCAGCGCATGCTTCTTCACGAATCCTGCACCGTAGCAAAGGGGCCAAAAAGCACCCAGGACAAAGCACACAGTAAAGATTTCGCGATGGAAGTAGGATTGCACCTGTAGACACTTATTAGCTGATTCCCCAACCTCTATGGGTTTGGCGACTTACCAAAGCCTCCAATACACCCACAAAAGCCAACAGCTGAAATACAAACGCGACATAGCCACTTGCGGAGTGAACACGACCCATGAGGATGTCGCGGCCAGCAAGTAGAGCCTTTCGTCGGGCGAATACCTCTTCCCAGAAGAACACCGGAAAGAAACCGTAGAGATAATACCTCCAAGAGGAGTGCTGAATGAAAAAGACAGAGAATAGTGCAACGAGGATCGACGAGAAGAACGAAGTGCTGAACGCTGTCCGGTCCGAGTCTGAGGTCCCATGAAGAACATGCAAGTCGATAACCGTAGTCAGAGCGTAGGCTATCCAGCCCAGGTATCCCAGCGTTACGATGGTTCTGAGGAATAGCCAGTCATATGTCTGTAAGTAGCGCAAGCCCTCCAAGGCATTCGCCAGTAAAGCGGACGACATTGCAATGGACTCTTCATAAGAGCCGCTTGTTATCTTGGTCTTTATTTCCTCGAGATGTTCATCCACAGAGGTTCGACCGTGGTCAGCTAGTGGCTCAAAGGGCCTGTACCGAAGCAGGGCTGCCTTTTTCTGTTCCTCCTTCACACGGTACATCTCCAAGACCTCCTGAGTGTTGGCCAACGCGGCCAGTGCCTTATCCTTCGGACTAGCGTCCAGGTATTGCAGCGGTAGCTGACCCACAGAATTAGTAGGAAAGTCGAGCCCAGTCAGGTATGCCATAAGGGCCGCCACATCAGCTTGTGCGACATCATTGCGCTGAATGCTGTCAAAGCCCCAATCGGACGACACGCCATCCTCGTGCCCAGTAAGAGTACCTTCCTGAGTATATCGAGGTCCGGCTACACCAGAACCCCATACAACAAGTGGCGTTCTAGTATTGTCCGGATGGCCGTCTCCGTGACTGCCCCAGTCGCTCATTCCATGGTCAGCTGTGAAAACGAAGGCGGTTTCATCATCCCCGTAAAATTCCTCCACCAGTTTGGTTATTTCCTGAACGCCTCTGTCAACCAACTTGATATTACGAAGATATTCCTTCGAGTATGGGCGACTGAAATGACCGGTAGTATCAAGTCCAAGAAGATGGAGAAAGAAGACCACCTTGTCCTCGCGCAGTTTCGCATCCAGCTCAGGATCAGTTTTGGCGGAAGCGAACAGATCTTTCACTTTGTCAAACACCCAGGTGTCAAGCCGTGTAGCGTCAGACGAGAAGTCCTCCTCCTCTTCGCCGTATGTATCCGCATCCACCCTCCCGGGGACTGCGCCTTCCTGGAACATCAGAAGAATATCCGGACTACCCCAGCTCCACGTATGCCGACTGCGATTGAAGACACTGTCGAAGTTCACCGGGTTCAGCTTCCATCCTGTGGTGACCGCCGACACATCCTCATATAACCCCGCGATAAGCGCAACGTGGCCGGGTCGCGACTCCGTAGGAACTCGAGTATGGGAGATTCCGAAAGTGCCATGGGAAAGCACACGCGAGCGAATAAAGGGGGCCAAGTAAACAGGATCCGCATCTTCTCCGGTGGTATCATCGGGATCGGGCAATGCTTGGAAGGCCTTATCAGCGCGCAGGCCATCGGCGACAAATAAGACGAGACGTTTTGCGGGGGCAGCAGCATCGGGTTCTCGTTCCACGCGGAACGAGCTCATGCCACTAACAATCGGACTGACGAAATAGATGTCGAAGATGGAATAGGCGTAAATTAGGTGGAATACCACCGCGAGGGTGAGGAACCCTACGCGGCCAAGTCGCGCCATTATTTCCGATATAGGAGACCCGGGCAGGGACAAGACAAATTAAGGGAGGGAAATGGAGACCGCAAAACGAATGCAAACCATTAGAAAGAGGAATAGATACAAAGAAGAAGAATGAAGCAAAAGGGAATCAAGAACGGCGAATGAGGCCGATGCAATTGCTTCCTCGCATCGAGCTCCAGAGAGAACGAGCAGATAAAGTGCAAGGGAAGATTAAATGGGATGATGGCAGCTCAGCACTTTTCCGCGTGCCTGAATTGGGGAACTTGGGGAAGGGACCCGCAACCAATCGGGGTCCTCCAATTGGACACGGACAGCTTTACGGCGGGCCACAGGGTCCTCGGGTGCAGTCCCTTACTTTATTTGGTGGTATACATTTAAGTACTACTTAGTTATTGTGCGCGACTCAATGTCTTCTGCCACTAAGAACCATCGTCTGCTGATCTGATGACCGGGTAGATACCATCATATTCCCGCCAAATCGGATATAATTGAACAAGTATAACATAAGAAAAAGCATGGAATCGCTCCAGAAGCGCCCTAACGCAATGTCCCGGCGTCTGCTATGCGATAAGGGATATCTCCAAAAGACTCAACCCAGGTAATCAAAATTCTCAACAAAGGATGCCCAATCACAATGACAGTATAGATAAAATAAGGGGTATGCACACGAATGACCCGCCAAGGGATCAGATGGCAGCAGTACTCCGTCGCTTGGTTAGCGCATCGATCACCCTGGTATAGAACTTTGATGCTTGTTGGCGAACAAATGTAATGTCGACAGTCAAGTACTCCGGAAGAACATCAACCAGCTCACGGTCTCTGTTCTCATCCAGCAGTGGGATATATTGAAACTCGGCAGATTCAAAGTTGGCCGACGATACGTGGGGCACAACCAGCTTAAAATGAAGGGCTGTACTCTGTTAGACACCTGTATCAGGCCATCAGGAGGCATGGTCAACTTACTTCCATTACTACCAGTCTGGATACAATCATACAGATTGTCAGACGGTCGCTTCTTGACATCACGAATTATTAGGCCTGTGAGATCAGTGTACAAATCTTCCTTGAGCTGCGCAAATTGAGCTGCTTGCGCGGCTTCGGCAGTGACCGCAGCAGCATTCGCACGATTGGCACCGCTCTTGATTGCACTTCCAGGCATCTTGATGGCTGCATTCTCAAGGCTCGCAGCCGTGTTACGAGCCGCGGCAAGCTTGGTTTGCAAAGCCTTAACCTCAGTCTGTGCTGAGGAGAGCTGACTCGTCGCCTCCTCAGCTTGCGACTTCAACTGAGCTACTTCGGCATCCCGTTCCTTCAGCTGTCGTTGGAGCGACCGACTTTGCTGACCAAGTGCCTTCTGAGCCTCTAACTCTGCCTTCAATGATGCGATCAGGTTGTTCGAAGCTAGCAGCTATCAGTATATACGATGCCACGAAGGAATATTCGCCACAACACTCACCGTTGGTCATCGATTCGCACTGTTTTCGTAGTTTTTCCATGTTCGAGTTCGCTTCAACAATGCCAATCTCTTTAAGATTCCGATAGCGATTCTCGAGAGTATCGCATTTCTTCGTCAATTCACCAATCCGACGACGCAACTCGGGCTCCACATTGGCGTCGGCCGTTCCTCCTAGCCTTGACTTTGAAGGGGAGCTGTATATGCCTCTCTGGGATTGTCGTTTTGTGGGAGAGCGTGACACGGACCGGGCTTCTATCGGCGCATCTTGAAGCAGAGTCTCATCCACGACATCCGGAGCAGTGCTCTCGTTATCTTCGGCGTCGTTGTTCTCCTCCGGTTCGGGTTTCCGTTTTTGTCTCTTCGGCGGTTCTGGTCTGTCTTCAGGTTTGTCCAGCGATTTGCGTTGTCGGCCGGTTGATGGAGTGTACTCGAATCCACCATCTGTCTGAGTTGAGTTCTTTGTGGTGGCATTCTTCCGGCCACGCGGGGCAGCTCTCGTGGACTTGGTGGTCCTTGCTGGCTTTGCAACTTCCTGCGCATCGTCTGCTTCATCATTCGAGGCAGCAGTGCCTTCCGCCTCCTGATCGCCTGCTTCGTGTTCTGACTCCCTGACCTCCGCCTGCTCTTCCGATATGTCTTGCGTTGCTTGCACCGAATTTCTGCTGCCCTTGGGTCTGCCCCTGCGGCCGCTCTTTCTCGTAGGTGCCTCTGAGGCTTGCGGAGGTGCCGTACTAGAATCGCGCCCGGCTTGCGTAAGGGGCTTCATCTCTGCAGATTTCGATCGAGGTCTTCCTCTCTGCTTCTTAGTAGGGCGTTCCCTTCCGGAGTCATTAGCTTGGATGGGATCCTCATCGCCGGCTGAACTGGACAGCGCAGCAGCGGCCTTTCGTTTAGGCATTGTGGGAACAGTATATATAGGCTATATAAAGTGATAAAAATATATTGAATATATAAAGACGGCGTGTCGTGATTTGTGGGGTGAATGGACGCGACGAGGGTCACACTGAGCTCCGCGTGCGCGCGAGCTCCTCCGCCGCCCGACCGCAAACAACAACACTGTGGCAGTGAAGCATGTGACGGCGTCGGCAAAGCCACGTCTCCGACCGCTCGGCGCCACACCTGCGCTCGCTGTCGCCGACGGCCATCCGACCCCCATCGCATACATCGTTACAGCTTTAATCGATATTCTGCCGCTGCTGGACTCGGGGCATTCACTAACGGACGATAGCGTTGCGGATATATATATTTGATCTTGGAGCATCTTAGTGATAGGACATTTGCTCCGCTATCCTGTCGTCATGGCTTCAGCGCGCGGTCCCCGATGGCAGCAGTTCTTGCAGGAATTGGTGATGGTTGCGGGCACCGTGAGTCCAAATGCTCTGGCAGATTCGTACTACCACTAACTCGTCATCGCTATCAGTCGGCATCAGCATACTTCCTCATCCGATATCTCCTATCCCGCCTTGACTTCGACCCGGAGTCTCAAAAGAAAGAAGAACAAAAACGCAAGTCGGCCGCCATCCTACGGAAGCTTGATGGAGGAGACGAGTCAGATGAGGACTCACCGCGGCGCGGGGGAAAAGGCGGACGCCGACCAAAGAGAGGGGATCTTGTCCTCAACCAATATGAACAGGCTATTGCTATGGACGTAGTCGCTCCAGATGACATCCCTGTATCATTCGAAGACATAGGAGGTTTGGACGATATCATCGAGGAGCTGAAGGAATCCGTCATCTATCCTCTCACCATGCCTCATCTCTACGCTTCAACATCATCGCTTCTTACTGCCCCATCTGGTGTCCTTCTCTACGGGCCGCCTGGATGCGGGAAGACCATGCTTGCGAAGGCGCTCGCTCATGAGAGCGGGGCATGTTTCATTAACCTACACATTTCTACCCTGACTGAGAAGTGGTACGGTGATTCTAATAAGCTGGTCAATGCCGTGTTCTCGCTTGCCAGGAAGTTGCAGCCCTCGATCGTTTTCATCGATGAGATCGATGCCGTGCTGGGCACTCGACGGAGCGGGGAGCACGAAGCCAGCGGCATGGTCAAAGCCGAGTTTATGACTCACTGGGACGGTCTGACTTCAGCGAACTCGATGGGCGAGCCGCAGCGAGTGGTTGTCCTGGGTGCCACTAACCGCATAGGCGATATTGACGAGGCCATCCTCCGGCGGATGCCTAAGAAGTTCCCTGTCGCTCTACCCCCTGCAGCACAGCGGCTTCGAATCCTCAGCCTGGTCCTGAAAGATACCAAGGTTGATCGGGATAACTTTGACCTCGATTACTTGGTCAAGGGCATGGCGGGTATGTCGGGTAGTGATATCAAGGAGGCCTGCCGGGATGCAGCCATGGTGCCGGTGCGCGAACTCATCCGCCAGAAAAAGGCGGCTGGACAACAAATGACGGCCGTTGATCCCAAAGAGGTCCGGGGTCTGCGTACAGAAGACTTCTTCTCGCGCGCCGGGGGTGTCCGGGTCATTCCCCCAGCTGCCCAGCTGGCGAACAAAGCCAACTCGGAGAAGGAGTGGAGTACTGAGTCGGAGGCAGCGTCCGAAGCTGAAGCACGAACACCTGCGGAGATGGCGGAACCTCCCGAGTAGTTGCTATCAGCTTTCCTTCTGATTAAGTATTGTATGACTTTGCTGCAGATTATCACACGTCCCTTTTGACTCAGTACTGCGTAAAGGGCAAGGCGTTGGGATACTTGTTTGCTTTCTCTTTCATTGTGGATATACTATCGGGATTTAATGGCTGTGATTTGTATGTGCCTTGCGTCCTCCATTGGGGGTGTAGAGAGTCGATATACCCGCTGACGAGATCAGGATTACGAATTTCACCATCCAGCCTGTACTGTATAAAGTAGATAGAATCCAATATTATTACCAACCAGCAAGATCATGAACCGGGTCTACGTGGCCAGTTAAATAAAGCAAGTTTCAAGGCAACGCTGCCGATCCGTGGAGGTGGTAATGCCATACGGTATCTACTGGTACTGTGTACTTTGGGCGTATCGGGACGCCACCGGCCGACGTCAAGAGAAACAAATTACGGCCCTCAGCGATGGACTTCAGGGCACCGCTTCAGCTGGAAGGCATCTTGCCGATCAAAACCCATTGCCCACCAATTTCTTCTTCTTCTTCTTCTTCTCTTCAATCGCTGCAGTTGCCCGCTGAATTATCCGCAAGCACCGAAAATCCCCGGTTGCTTTCTTTCACCTTGTTCCGACCAGAGCATGAGACAGCCACCCCGCCCTACCGACGTCTGATCTGCCGACTTGAGTCGTCATCACAGGAGGCTAAACTCCATACTTCTTCCTCTTCCTTATCCCGCGCCTCCTCCCACACATCCTCCTCACCCCCAACCTCCCCCCAACCCGCATCAGTTCGTGGTCGTCCATCCCCTGGGTTCAGAGTCGGACAATCCTGCGGCTGGAATACTTCCCCGGTTCATCTACTCGAAACACTGGTGATCTCGCCGCTCCCTAGATCCCCGTGCTAGCTCCGAGCTTCAGGACACGGATGCGATAACTACAGCGCCCGGATGACGAATGGTCTGTCGTAGAGACCTCCGATGGCAAATTGTGCCTGGGCGATCTCACACACAACACTGAGCTTCTGCCGGTGACCTGACGACTCCCGCCCCTCCTTAAATCTATCTTATCGCTCCCCCCTAGTCGCCAGGGATGAGTTCCAACGGCGGCTTTGCCGACCTCTTCAGCCTTGGGACTGCGAGCACGACAAATACCAGCCGAAGATCCACCTCGACCATTCGATCGCGCAACCGCCGTCTGATCTCGTTCACAGAGGATGATGTCGACGAGAATGGCAAACAAATGCAGTCCTCCGGGTTGTCGTCGATGCTATCCCCCGATAACTCCACCGTTCGCTCCCGCGGTGCTACACCATCGCCTAACCCGTCCCGCGGAGTGTCCCCAATACCCATGAGACATCCCTCTCGAGCAACCGAAGCTGCCAACCGTAGCAAGGGAAACAGCTCCTTAGGTGGGTTCTGCCGTGAGGAGGAAAGTGGAATGATGTTTGCTGAGTCGTCGCGAGCCGCTGTAGACTTCTTTGATGCATCATGGACATCGCTTCAAAGTTTAGCCTCGTCGGTTCTAGGGAGCGATATTGCACGACCGGCCACCACCAACGGAAGTACTAGGACGCATGTGAGGAAACCCTCCCGTCCAGATCCCTATATGAGGCCCCCTGCACGGACGTCGACACCAGCAACCTGGGGTCCCTCTGCCCCGTCTACGCCGGAAATTGGAAGCGGAACCCAGGAAGAGAGACAGGCACTAGTGCAGGCAAAGAAAAGGGAAGCCCTTTTATTAGCAGACACAGGCCCGGCTTGGAGTACAACCCCGCGACACAAACGGCGGGATTCCAGCGATCGGACGGGTCATTCGAATATTGATCCTGACCTCGACGAGGATGCCTTAGCTTATATACATCATGTACAGTCCACAGATACCATTACCGGTGTTACGATACGATATGGGTGCCAGCCTGCGGTATTCCGAAAGGCCAACGGCTTCTGGCCTAGCGATAGCATTCAGGGCCGAAAAACCGTCCTTCTGCCGGTTGATTCGTGCTCGGTTAAAGGACGGCCCATCCGGCCTAGGATGGGAGAGGACCTTCTAGGAGATGGTCGCCAGGAAGGCGAGTCTTTGGAGGATATGAATGGCAGCTCAATAGCACCCACTCCATCGCCTACGTCTGCCGAGGGGGGAACATCTGCGTCTCCTGCAGCAGAGATTGAAGGTGACCGAATATGGAGGCACGAATCGTGGGTACATATCGAGGGCTTTCCTGAGCCGGTTGAAATTGGCCGCGTTCCCCGCAGAGCATTGGGATTCTTCCCCCGAACGCGGCGGAAATCGGTTTCGTATTCGGACTCAGTGTCGTCTCCATTATCTGGACGAGGCACAACCGCTCCCTCGTCGCCTTCGCCACTCGAATCGGGATTCGCTCAGCCAGTCATCCCCAAATGGAGTCGCCCGCATGCCGATTCGTCTGCGTCACGTACCTCTTCCAAAGGCAAGCCGGGCATTCGCCATCAACGCCAGCGCAGCAACATCCAATTGTCGGGACCTGGCGTGGGCACTCTCGACCATGATTCGAATGCACCAGGCCCCGCCATGGACGGACTTAGCAAATTCTTTGCACAGCATATGCCGAATCTTGCGCCCGTGGCTCGCCCACCGAATTTCGAAAGCTCGTCGGAAAGTGCGTCGACGGCGGCCGCGAACACACCAACCAGCCTGGACAACCTTGGCGGAGCCGTCGAGTCGTGGGTCAGGAAAATGACGACTCGAGCCAAGGCCAGCTTGAATGAACTACAGCAGACGCCTGGCCCGGCAACCCATGACCCCGCACAGGCCGTTGGCCGACGCGGCAACGGCGATCTCATCGAGCTGAACGACGGGTTGGAGTCGCGCAGCTCGTCGAATGCGATCTCCGAGCCTCGGTGGAGACCCGATTTGCTGCGATCGGGGTCAAGCCTTCACGAAGGAACAGCGTTGCGGGGACGTTTCCTCAGCCCTTCACCTGGGACGAGCCGGACTCGTTCTGGAGGGGACAGGGCGAAAGATGATTGATGGGCAAATAGGCTCCGAGCGCGCCATCTCCGTGGCTCGAAGCTTGCTCCTTGATTTGTTGTTTCATAATACTTATTTTTGCTCTTAGCCCGAGTGCAGTGGTGGCTGCATGTCGGGCAGGTATTTAACTTGGGCGATACCAACTACACGTGCACTTGAAGCATAGCACGGCGCGACGGGGATGCGTCGTCTTATGACTATAATTGATGTGGCCGACTGACTGTTTGGTGTTAGGGATCTTGTGCTAGTCTTGGTTTTCTGTATTTAGAAGAGAGTGCCGGTGGCATTGTGATTGATATAACTAGAGCAATGCGTGTCTCCATTCGCATCCTCCTCGGCCATCCCTTATACCCTGATGGCGCTGAAGGGTGAGATGTGGTGATAGCGAGAATAATATTCTGTGTATAGTCTGTCTATCCTCCTTGTGCACTGCAAAGTCAGCCGATCATGATCCTCCCCACTCAACCCTCCACTTTTGATCTTTATTCGACACAAGCTACACCCATCCCAATCTCAGCCCGAGCCTATAACCACCCAGAAATACCCCACAGCCAGGGTACAAATCAGGGCCTTTTTTCCGCCGGAGAAACTAGCCCTTAGCTCCTCACTAGGTCAGCCCATCGCGTCTTGGCTCCTCATCACCAACTTTCCACCTATAATCTGCATCGACATGCTGCAAAGCCACGACTGCTGCTGCTGCTGCTGCTGCATGCACCTCAACATTAACCCCGCAAAATACATCCATCCCTGAGTCAATAAAGCTTGACTGTCTTTTACTCCTTCGGAGATACTAACCATGAGCAGTCAGATTATCATCCCAGATGACATCAATCCAACTGATAGACGATCCCATCCTCCTTATACCATGTATCGCCCCACGTCCATGTAAGAAAAAGACTAGCTCTGCTCGGCGTTAATCAATTATGATTGCGAGTTTCACTTCCTTAGTCATGTATTATTATTTTTCTCTCGGAGTATTAATTCAGCTGCTCATTGCCACCCCTAGGTCTCTGATAAGGTCTGACCCAAAGGTCTCTAATAAAGGTCATCATCACTCGTCTCGTAGCTAACTAGCTGGCTTCCTCTGAGTCGATTGACAGGCCAGCAAAGTAGCAGCCATGGCGAGCGCACTCCTCTGGCTCTCCCTGCTAGGTAGCAGCGCCCTATCTTCCGCTCTAGACACCAGTAATGCCCCTACCATCAGGAGAGCAGACACAGGCAGCAACACTACCGCCTCAATCCCAACCGCTACCCTCAACAACACCGTCTTCGTCGGCCGTTCCCTGCCCGAATTCGAGCAGGAATTGTTCCTAGGTATCAAGTTCGCAGACGAGCCCGTGCGATTCACCCCATCGACGTTGAAAACGGCCTATCGCGCCAACGACAGCGACAACGGGTTATACCATGCCTCCTCGAAATCAGGGCTGCAGGCTTCCTCAGGGACTGTGCTGTACAACGCCACCGAGTATGGATATGATTGTCCCGGGTACGGATCCGACGAGACAGAGCTGGCGGAGGAGGGATATGCGCGGTTCGACGAGAATTGTATGAATCTGAATGTCATTCGGCCCAAGAGGGAGAATGAGGATGAGTTGTTGCCGGTTATGATTTGGATCTTTGGTGGTGGTTGGGTGCAGGGTGCGACTGCTGATCCGAGGTATGATCTATACTTGTGTATTGTATTGTGCTGGTTGATGCTGATATTGTGCAAGATACAATATGAGTTACATCGTCCGCCAGGGTGCGTTGAACGATAAGCCCGTCTTGGGTGTCTCGATCAACTATCGTGTGGCTGCGTTTGGGTTCCTTGACTCTGTCGAGGTTATGGTGCGCTACTACCATCACCTTTGAGTATTTGACTTCCAGCTGACATGACATATATAGGAATCCGGCAACACGAACCTAGGACTGCGTGACCAGCGCGTCGCCATGCATTGGGTTAAGCAGAATATCAAGGCGTTCGGTGGTGATCCGGACAAGATTACCATCTGGGGAGAATCAGCGTAAGCACTACCCTATACCCATATTCCATATAAACAGCGCATCTAACATCCATGAATAGTGGCGCCTACAGCGTCGGAGCCCACCTCGTCACCAACGACGGCGACAACGAGGGTCTCTTCCGAGCCGGTATGCCCCTCACCCATGCTCCAATCCAGCCCACAAACTGACCACCAGCATACTAGCCATCATGGAATCCGGCAACGCCGTGGGACCCCCCTACAACGGGACAGACTGGTACCAGCCGATGTACGACCAGATCGTAAACGCGACCAAGTATGCCCTCCCCCAAACCCTACGACAAAGACCCATAGGCCCAGTATTAGCGATTATACTAACTACATACAGCTGCACCACCTCATCCAACACCCTCCAATGCCTCCGCGAAGTCCCCTTCTCCACCATCTATACGGCCGCCAACATCGGCCTAGAATGGTTCGCCACCATCGACGGCACCTTCATCAAAGAATACCCGCAAATCAGCTACACGGAGGGCCGCTTCGCAAAAGTTCCCATCCTCCATGGGACCAACACCGACGAGGGCGTGAGTTTCGGTACGACAGGCGTGAACACTGATGCGGAAGCTGTTCAGCAGTTGATGTGTAAGTCCAGCCCCAACCCCCAAATTCCCCAGACAAATCTAGTATGATACTGATATGGAACGATGGGAAAGCATCCAAGCGCTGGGTCCTAAACCAAACCCAAGCCACGACTCTCCTCTCCCACTACCCCAACATCTCCGCCCTAGGCTGTCCCTACGGCTGGGGCAACACGACGTGGCCGAAACTAGGGTATGAGTATAAGCGTTACGAGTCAATGGCGGGCGATCTGTGCATGGTTGCTCCGAGGAGATTGCTTTCCCAGAAGATGAAGGAGTATGAGCAGCAGGTGTATGCGTATCGGTGGGATGTGGCCGCGTTGAATGATTCGAGTACGATTGGGGTGGCGCATTTTGCGGAGGTAAGACTATCCCTCCCAATCATTTTCCCTCCTTAAGGTCTATGTGATATGATGCTGATGTTGATGTGTGTTGTGATGTATAGATCCCCTTCGTTTTCGCCAACCCCGTGCAGAACATCACTCCGTTGGGAAGTGATCCATCGAGACTAGAATTGGGTAATTTGGCTGCGAGGATGTGGACGGCTTTTGTGTCGGATTTGGATCCGAATGGACATGGTGGTATGCTTCCCTCTCCTTCATATACCCCCTTTAGGGTAGTAGAGTTGATACTGATTATTATGACAGTCGCTGGTATCCCCACCTGGCCGAAATACAACCTCTCTGATCCTCAAGACTTTGTGTTCCGGGTACCACGGAATGAGAGTTATGTGGAGAAAGATACGTTCCGGACGGAGGGGATTGATTATATTAATACGATTGTGCGGTGATCATATTATTATCAGCATGTATATAGGTGAGAAGCAGATACTACTATATCAGGGATTAGAACTACATTGATAAGAATCCATTCCTCGACTGATCGATTGTATTGATCTAGTAAGTTAAGTAGTAATGTAAAATCGACAAAAAGCCGCCGTTTTAACCATTTATTTGATTGATTGCACCCCTGCTATACTATATGAATGAATATAATATAGCGGGTTTAGTTGATGCCGAGCAGCTCAACCTCGCTAATAATCATCAGCATTTCGTTTCATGATTGACAAGAACTTGACGATAGATAGAGGAGAACTTACAAAACGAGAGTCGAGTTAGGGGGAATCAAGCCAGGGAAACCACGGGGTCCGTAGCCGTAGTCACTATACATACATAGTATATTAGAACACTAATAGTTTCATACTATGGTGAATATTTTCAATGGGTGGACTCACGGAGAAATAGTCAGGATGGCCTTCTCGCCAACGCTCATCTGGGGGACGGCCTCATCCCAGCCTGAATTGTTATTTGAGTTAGTTGGTCATTTACCAGTAATAATGAAGGAAATATATATATATATGATAAATAGAGAGAATAGAATAAACATACCCTTGATAAGACCACCAACACCGATGGCAGTCTTGAAGGCACCGCGACCACGGGAGCTGTCGAACCTGTGATTTCATTAAATTAGTATGATGTCAGATTCTCTTTCATTTCCTGGTCCATTTAGAATGTCCATATAGCGCAGTACAGCCACTGTCATGGACATCTACTTTAAAGGCTGGAGAGAGAGAAAGAGAGAGGGAAGGGATGAACGTACTGCTTGCCCATGTTGTTAGGCTTGGACTCATCATACAGACAACCGGTGTAGTGCATGGAGATCTGATCACCCGGCTTGGGGAACTGCTGGCCGTTGCCAGGGGAGATGACGGTCTTGGTGACACCCATTGTGATAGTTGTGTATTTTCAAAATATGAAGTTTGATGGATTGAGGAGGGGAGAGAAGAAGAGAAGAAGAAAAGGTGAAGCAGAATGGAAGGTAAAGAGAAAACGAAGAAGAATCGGGCCAAGTGGGGGCGGGGGTCAGTTGGTTGATTTATACTTTGGATTTAATTATTCCAGGGCGAGACCAATTACTACTACGTACTAAATATGATTACTTTGGGTTGGCGGTGTATCTTTTACTGCTGCTGCTATTATTATTACTTATTCTACAAGAAGAGGGGGGAGAGAGGGGGGCAAAAAGGATAAGGTTTGATATATTGGGGGAAAAGAAAGGGCATGCGATGATGATTGACTGATGATGATGGAAGATTCGCGCCGCCTGTGTGGGTTCGCTTGGCGCGGAAAAGTCCAGTTAAGTTACGTTTACTTCACTACTTACTTATTAATTGCCTTCTCGCTGTGGCCTCATTGCCCTGCCCCGTCTGCAGCTAAAAAGTGCTGTTCCAAATGGAAAATGCTACTTCGATAGTAGTGGCTGCCGCCTGTGCCGCCTGTATTATTTTATTATTTATCTATTTACAATCTACTACACAATTTGATTGTCTGCTCCAATGGTTGGTACTGTATTTGGCTGGCTGGCTGGCCGCTCATCGACCACTACTTTACCAGTAAATAATCCACAACATCATCATCAATCATTCCACGTTTATTTCTTCCCGTGTGATATCTCAGACAGGGAAAAGCAAAAAAAAACTAAATCTCACCAACTGTCAATGCATGCAACCCCAATCCCCATGCATGTGATGCATCCTGTCAACTCCCCTCCCCTCAAATCATTCAGGACTTCGTGGCTCTGCTCCATCATTACCTCCAAAACGACATCTTCTTCACCTCCTCCAACGACACTTCCTTGATCTGCGTCCTCGGAAACCGTGCATCAACGGGCGCATTATCATCATCACCACCCTCCCCCAATCCTAGATAATGCAGCTTTGACACACCCACCTGCTCCAAGAACGGCACCACGCGATGGAAATTCAGCCCAACCTGCTCCAATCCATGACTATCATCCGACAGACAAAACCTGCCCCCGCGAGCCAGAAATTCCTGACAAATCTCCCCATTCGGATACGGCTCCTTCATGCCCTTCCTCAACGCCGCCGAATTCACCTCCAACAATCCCCCATATCCCGCTACGTAGTCCAAATTCCGTAGAATCTTCTCCCAGACCCGAGGATACTGCTGGAAGCTCTGATCGGGATCATCGCTCTTCAGCCGAATTAGGTCAAAATGCCCCACTACTACCGGCTTCACTTGCTTCAACATATCCAGTTGCTCATCGAAGTATGCCTCGAAAAGCAACTCGTCTGTCCCGCCGGCTAGCGTACGCGCCTTCTCGTACAGCGGCCGGTCATAGTCAATAGGGACGGTCAGCGTATGGTGCACGGAACCCATGAAGAACTCAAAGGGGTGCCGCGATAGAGACTCCTCGATTAGCTGTCGCGAGCCCGGCCGGATCCAGTCGATCTCGAACCCGATGAGGATGTTGATTTGATCGGCGTATTTGGTTCGGAGGCGCGTGGCTTCGGCGAAGTAGGCTGCTTCGTTGGCTACGTGGCTGGATTCGGTGTCGCCGGCTTCGATCTGGGTTGGTTGGTTAATTAAGTAGCTAGAGGGTAAGATAAGACAGTGTATTTGGGAGAGAGGGTATACCTCTTCTGGGTAGAAATCTTCTTCATGGCGGGGCATGTGCTCAGTCAGGCAGAAGGTGTGGAATTTCTTGGAGATGGCCAGCTGGATGATTTCTTCCAGGTTGTCTTTGGCATGGCCGGGGCAGAATTGCCCGGAGTGGCTATGATGAGTGAAGGGCATCTGGAGATATATCAGTAGGTGAAGTAGACTTGGAGTGTAGATGTTGTGATTGAAGTCGTAATATGATGCGATGAGTATCACTTACCGCGGCCGGTTACCCCGCGATGGAGGGGTTGCTGTTGTTGTTGCTGGTATATAAGGGGAAGCAAGCCGGAGCTCGTGAGTGTCAGGCTGATTATAACTGGTCAGCCACTGACAAACTCGCTTAAACGTGAACCTGAACTAGGAGGTGGTGAAGAGGACCGTGTGAAGAAGCAGGAGTTGTTGCGGCGAGTCAATCTGGACGGATGTTCTGCTCGACCGGCAGCTCCGCCAGCATCTCCGACTTCAGATACGAGATGGCGATCACGCTGTCTACAGACTATGTGTCAATATTTATGCGACTTATTATGCATCCATTACTATTGTACTCTAGTATACATCTATCAATACACTTCAGTGTGTATACAAAGCTAGCCAGCTAGCTCTCCCACATGCCCCCTCCCACCAAGCAGGGTTATCTTCACACTGCCTCTATCCAAATATTACCCCCATCGCAGCTATAGCCACTATTCCACACTCTCAGCGTCACACTGAACTGACCGAATCCAGTCCCCGTCTAGTATCTGCTTTATATCCTCCGCATATAAACCCTTATGGAAACCCCATATACTCCTAGAAGAATAACCCTTCACCCCGCCGCCACCACCATAGCAACGACATACTCCCCATCATGCGAAATGGACAACTTCCCTACCCTCCCAGCCTCATCCCCATCCCCATCCCCATCTAAATACACCACCTCCGGCCTCCCCCCCTCCTCCCCCACCGTAACCACCACATCCTTCCAGCTAATATGCGCCGCGCCACGAGGCGCCGCTTTCCGCGCGGCCTCTTTGGCCGCGAACCGGCCGGCGAGCCACCGCGTCATGTCGGGGGATATACTTATGCTAGGAGTAGTTGGCATTTGGGAGGGTAAGGGAGGGAGGGAGAAGCGGGTGCGAAAGTCTTGTTGTTCGCGGGCGTGGAGAATACGGTGCGTGAAGCGGGTGAGGTAGTTGGGGCGGGCGAGGAGGCGGGTTATTCGTGGGAGGTGGACGATGTCGGTGCCGATGTTGAGGGCGAAGGGGAAGGGGGTTGGTTTCATGGTGGTTGTGTACGTTGGGTGGGTTGGTGGGAGTGGTCAGGTTGTGGGTTGGTTGGTTGGGATGTTATTGTGAAAGGTTGGATATGGTCAGGTGACTGGCTAGCTGTGTGACTGGTAGGTACTGAGTGATTGGTGGGTGTGGTTACTACAGGCACATATTGTATGAATCTATAAACCAGGATCAAATTGTAGTGGCCAGTGGTGTTTATTCCCAGTCAGTATTCGATAATCTTGGTTGTAGTGACCTGTTGGCTGTTACACGCATGCTTACTTCTACACCAATATGCACCTGTTGTAAAGATTTTACCAGTTCCAGACACGGCAAAGTTAGAGAACAAACGTTCACGGTGTATACTCTATATGTACAGATTCACACCTCCCGTGGAACCGCCAAACCGTCCCAGCAGGCAAGAATTCAAGGACACACTGCCCGAGCCCGTCAGGGTAGAATCCAGACCACCCTGACCAACGACCCATTCGGTCATGGATATCATGCATCGAGCATCTTCAATTAGGTTGTTTGTCCTCGACCGATTCCCGTATTAACGCGGTATTCTAATGGTCTTTCTTTTTCTCGTCTCCGTTCACTTGTTTCAAGAAGTCCCTGCGATAATCATTAGCTTGCGTTCCAGCACCCCGACCAGATCATTCATAGTCCTGATTGGTGATCTGTCCATCTGTCACAGAGGTGAAACGTACTGGATGAAGGTCTCCTCATCCTTGGAGGAAGCCTGGATGGGAGGGGTGGCAGGCTTGGGCTGACCACCACCACGGGTAGCGAGACCAACACCGCCGAAGAGAGCACCGAGAACGCTCATGGCGAGCTATAAAGAGTCAAGTAGTCAGTGTGAGAGTTCCCAGGCAGCTGGCAGGGTGTGCCATCGGCCGATGTTATGACCTCGGCAGAGATTGGTCCCGGGACAGGGGAGGGTTGCAACGGGGCGGCAACGGAGACGTACAACGTGGGAGCCGACCTGCTTGCCGGCGATCTGGTAGTAGACGACCATGATGACGGATTGGAGGAGAGAGTTCAATGGAGAACGGTCAGGTCAGAGCGGCGGATGTAGCGGTGCAATGCGAGGTCCAGCGGGAATCAGTCGTTGGACGGCAGCGATGGAAGTTGCGGCTATGGTCCTTGCCTGTTTGGGATTGGCGTTTATGCTGAGTCAGAGATGAGTCAGACACAACTCAAGGTGATTTGACTGAGTCAGGAATGACTCAGCAAGGTGTCACGCGAGCTAGCTTGAAGTTCACGTGATGTCCCGAAAGTGCCCGACACGTGAGGGTCCCGGGAAGACATCACGGGATATGATGGCATGATTAGAGATGCCCTGAAAAGAGACGAAGAGTTGCGGTCTCACAACACCTGCAGATGCAAATACAAAAGCTACAGCCAACGTCTGACCACCGAGTACTCTGTACACCGTAGAGGCTAGTTTACCCACCAACCTAGCAAACCATCATCGTATGTGGCGGTGTCACATCACAGCTCTCTCCACTAAACTTAGTTATAGTAGTAAAGCTCCCCCCATCCGAACCTCGGGGGAAGTGAAATCATCCCTGGACGAGACGTGGAGAAATCCCCCGGCTATGAGCTGAGAGCTGCTGCTGGTCGGTTACTGCTGGCGGTTATTCTTGCAGCGAATCGCCGGTGCTATAAGATGCTGCCAGTCCATGGTTTCTTTCGGCCCTGGATTTGCTGGAGCTCCTGTTGACTTTCTAGCTGTCTGGATTGAAGTCACCATCTCTTGCTTCTTTTCTTCTTCTTCCCCCTTGATCTACTACTTACTACTAATCTCCATTCCTCGCTTCAAACACCTTCCACATTTTTCCGTCTGCTAGGAATTCATACCTTTCTCTCTTCCCTTATTTTTCTCACCTCTCATCCAAGCGTTGCTCATTACTCCGACCATCGCATTTTATCCCATCATCCTCATTATGTTCTGGGGAAAGCATCACGACGACACGCCCGAAGCGGCCCAACAACCGCCCATTCCTCGCAAAAAGCTCCCTTTGCATTTGCAAAGACTAGCCGACAACGACGACAGTTTCTACGATGACATTTATTCCTCATAGTACGTGTGACACCATCCCTTTCCCAACTTTAGTGTCGATGTGTCGGGAGGAAAGAAAAGCTCTCTCCATCTCCGCGTTGTCTCCCCGCATTTTCCGATCCCCGCAAGAAAACCACCCAAAAAAGCAACTTGACGCAACTGCCATCCGCCTCTCTCTCACACACACCATGACCAACCATCCCCAACTTAATAATTATTAACGAAATACCTTCAACTCCAGCTCCGTAGACTCCACCGAAACCCCCTACCGCTACGCCGGATACGCCAACCGACTCCGCACCGTCTTACTCTCCGCCCACCGCTACGTCGCCTACACCTCCGACATAGGCGAATCCTTTCGCCCCGTCGCCCACCCCTGGCTAGTGCGATCCGCCTACGGCATTTCCTGGACCTATCTAATCGGCGATGTCGCCCACGAAGGCTACAAAGCCTACCTCCGCAATCGCCGCGTCCTAGCGCCTCCCTGCGAGGCCTACAAAGATGCCAGCGACCTCACCCACGAGCAAGTCGCCAAGGGCATGGTAACCGGCAACATCGCCGGCTCTTTAACAGGCAGTAGCAGTAGCGGCGACACACTCATGCCATGGCCCACGACCCACGTCCCCCTAGCTGAAGACTACCGCACCGTCATGGCCCAGCGCGCCGTGTTCCAAGGTATCGCCAGTATGGGTCTTCCGGCCTTTACCATCCACTCGGTGGTCAAGTACTCTGGGCGCATGCTGAAGAACTCTCGGAGTGTCTTTTTCCGTACTTGGACGCCTATCGGGGTGAGTTTCCCCGTTCATTTCGGGAATACGTACATTGTCATATTAGTCTCCGCCGCTAACACATGCAAATTACTGCGTACTAGCTCGGTCTCTCCGTCGTGCCTTTCCTCCCCTACCTATTCGACAAGCCCGTCGAAGAGGCCGTCGAATGGGCCTTCCATACCGGACTCCGTGCGTATGCCGGTGAAGATGCCGTCCGTCCGTTGCCTCAGGCCGTGAGGACGCCTCATGACGAGGAGACATCTCTGAGCCACTTCCTCAGAGCCCAGGCCGAGAAGAATAACGGCGAGGTCATGGGCTACGACGCGAACGTCTCCTGGGAGCAGTATAAGGAAGAACGCCGTCGAGCGAAGGAGCAGCGCATGCAGGAGCGTGAGCAGCGCGGCGAAAGAGGCCCGTTGGCGTTGTTGGGTTTCGGGTCGAATTCGAAAGAGAAGAAAGACTGATTGATTGATTGATTGATCCCTTCCTACACTTTCGTCCCAGTATCTCCTCATTTTAACTCTGGTTTTTATTTTGCCCCGGGGATTTCTTATGTCATTGGCGATGGAGGGATGGATGGAAGGATGTTTCTGACTTTGATTATTATTCGCCTCTCTCTCCGCTGCATTTCTGTATTGTACATAATAATTGTCTCTTAGCGTTTTTCTGCTCTCCTTTCAGCCAAACATCATCAGTCATCATCATCATTATCACGAACCACTTCATTCAAGGGCCAGATCAAACACATTACTTGCTACCCAATGGTCCTCCGCATCTGCCTATCAACAGAAACAATCCCTACCCAGGTACCCGTTCAAAATACCTTCCGACCTCAAAAACAGAGAACTACATCCTACATCTCTACAAAAGAATCAACCACATTTGAACATTTTCATTCAGCCCAACCCAACCCAGCCAGATTTAATCCAACCAGTTGAGCTAGGCTAAATAGCTAGCTTGTATGCTTGCAATTCGATCTACTTGAAAAAAATGAGAAATATACATCTGTACACATAGCGAGATAAAAAGGACGGACAAAGAGGTAGAAAACAAATCGCGGGGTAGGAGAGTATAGCACGGCGTTCACTCGTCACAGCAGATACCTACCACCCAATCATTAAGAAAAGCGTAGGGGAGGGGGTGAGTTCAGTCAGGAGGAATAGGTAGTAGATCCATGCCTGAGGGAAGATGGGATAGGTCATAGGAAGAGGATGGAAAGAAAATATAGAAAATGGGATAGAAGAAGAGTATGAAAGTGATTGCGGTGGCAGGTCTTTTTTCTGTGTCACCATAAGGAGAGTAAGAATGGTATGGATGAAAAAGGTAGTGGAAAATGGCACAAAACGTGTGGGGAATAAGAAGAGTAGAAAAGAAAAAGAAAAAGGATATAATCAAACAAATGCCAGGGAAATGAGGACGCGATGGCATGTCAAGATAAAATGTGAATACAGTTGGGAACAAATGGCAACATCAACAACGCTTAGTATGTATTCCACACAGATTAGGGGCCCAACGCCACCAACAACCTCTCTATAGCGTTGCGTCATGGCTTCGGCTTATATTCTGGCCCTGTCTAGTATTGAACAAAGTACACGATCCATGGTTTATAGGAGAAATACTGATGGGCTTAGTTCCAGCCGAGCGAGTTCTCGGCCATCACGGGCGCGCTGATCATCTGGGTGCGGCCAGTGCCCCGGCTATTCTGGCTGTTGCGGGAGAGACGGCCACCTGCGCCGAAGACGGACCCAGCGCCGCGGCCTTCGCTCATCTGGTCGACGCTCGAGGGGGAGCGCTGGTGCAACTGGCGCTTCTTCCGGTACCGACGCGCAACCCAGAACATACCAGCACCATATGCTGCAGCACCGGCCACAGCACCACATCCAATACCAACGGCACTAGCCTTGGTGGTTCCAGATGAGCTGGTGCCAGCATCGCTTTGGTCGTAGCCACCGTCACTGCCATCGCCGTTGCCGCTGCTGCTACCCGATCCACCGCTGCTGGACGAGCTGCCACTGGAAGAACCCGAGTCGCCCACCAGAAGAGGGATAGAAGGGTCGATCATGGCCATCAGCGTCTTGACCGTCTCGTTGGGCTGCTCGTAGAGTCTGGAAATGGGGTTGTGGAGCATCTTCCTCAGGGTGTCAACGTCATCCGAAGGGATGTACATCAGCGCAACGGTAGCAATGTAGCCGGTGCTTGCCGAGTTGTCGTAGGGTTGGAGGTCGTACATGACCACGTCAGAGTCATTGAGCTGCAACGCGTAGCCCATACCCTCGGGGACATACATGAAGATCTGGGAGGAAGACAAGGGCGTTGTGGCCACAAAGCTCCAGCGCAGTTTGCCATTGAATCCGATTTGGACCAAGGTATCGTTGGCCGGCTGATCGGGGAGACCACCAGAAGGAGAGATCGATCCAGGAAGCTGAGCAGCAGCAGTGCTGGTACTCGAATGGGTAGCTGTGCCCGTGCTCAGTGACGTAGTAGTCGTGGGCTCAACCACGAGAATGCTTGAGGGCAGGTAGTTGTCAGAATCGGAGGTGGTCGTGGTCGGTTTGGGGGCTACAGTCGTCTCAGCGGCTGAGGTGGTCGTCGTGGTGGGTTGTACGATAGGCGTGGGCGTTTCCTTGCTGGTAGTGGACGGGGCATAGGAAGGCGTCGCAGATACCAGACCCGAGGACTCCTTGGTGGAAGTGATCAAGGGGATCGAAGAGGCAGGGCCAGAAATGGAGGTAAACTTAGATGCAGAGCTGGTGCCAATGGCAGAGCCTGAAACGGATCCAGAAGCAGATCCGGACAAAGATCCAGATGCAGAGCCAGGAGCCGATGTAGGAATCACACCTGCAGATCCCGAAACGGATCCGGACGCCGACGTAGGGAACAGTCCTGCAGATCCAGATACAGACCCAGACACCGATGTAGGAATAACGCCTGCAGACCCAGAGGCGGATCCAGAAGCCAATGAAGATGCTGATTCAGAAGTGGTTCCAAAAAGTCCCGTCGAGGCAGATCCTGAGACGGAAGCAGAAGCAGATTCAGTCGAAGTGGGCATGATAACAATGCCACCACTGATGATAGGAGTCGAGGCTCCCGCTGAGGAGCTCTGGGTTCCGCTGGAAGCTCCGGGAATAAGAGCTGTAGAAGTGGCCGAGATACCCAGACTAATGGCCGAAGGTTCCAAGGAAGCGCCTGAGGATGTGCCAAGTAGAGCAGAAACGATATTGACCGATCCAGAAGACGAGGCAGGAGTAACCACAGGAACACTAACGGAGATGGTAGGGAGGCTCAGAGGGAAAGCACTGGAGTCGGCAGACTCGCTTGCACTCTTGCTAGTAGCAGAGGCAGATCCGCTGGAAGTGGTGCTAGTAGGGAAGAGGTCCGAGAGGAAGCCGAGGACACCTCCTGACGATGAGGGGGTGGAAGAAGGAGAGGTCACGTCTTCAGATGCAGACGGGATGAGGCTCGAGGACGCTGACCCAGTAGTCTGAGAGGCTGCGCCTGACGAGGTGACCTGAACAGAGGTAACCTGACTCGAGGAGCTCTGGGTTGAAGACTCGGACTTCGAAGTAGACTCAGCCAGAGGGACTTGAGCGGAAGAACTCTGGGCAGATGCGCTCTGGCTAGTGATAAGTTGACTCGAAGTCTCTGCCTTCGAGCTAGGAGTGGCAGATTCCGATTGCGAAGCCTCGGCCGAAGACTCCGCAGTGGAAGCAGGGGTCGAGGATGCTGGGCTGGAAGAGCTCTGCGTGGTGGAATCCTTAGCTGTAGAACTCTCCGAAGTCGTCGAGCTATCGCTTGTAGAACTCTTGCTTGAGGTGACATCTACAATGACGCCAGCAGAGCTTGAAGCGGGAGCGGGGGTTGCAGAGCTGGATTCGGCTGACGAAGCGGTAGGGGTGGCCGTGGAGGTTGCGCTGGTGCTGGTAGATGACCCCAAGATACTTGAAATGAAGCTCTCCCAGGAGTCAGCCAACGAACTCTGGCTAGATGTAGTGGCTGCTGCTGCGGCTGCTGCGGCCGACGAAGAAGTTGTCTCTGCCGCCGCTGCTGCTGCTGATGAAGAAGCTGCCTCTGGTTTCGCTGACGATTCAGACGCGGTAGTGTGCTTCTCGGATTCGGATGTAGACTTCTGCTTTTCCGAGTCACTGGTGGTCGAATCCTTGTCGGATGTAGTCGCGCTCGCCGTCGAAGTGGCAGCAGCTGCCGCCGGAGTACTCTCTGCACGCTCAAGAGTAGAGCTAGTTGTCGTTGAAGCACCGGGAACGTTGGGTGCCGTGCCCACAATAGTATGCGTAACACCATTGGCATCCACCGAAATAGTTACAGGAACAACGATAACAGCAGGTGAAGGGTCAACGATCGGGCTTGTTTGTTCATCGTGCGTACTTGTTTCGGACCTGGTAGTCAACTCGACAGGCGTAACGGGCTGGGAGGAACCAGGAACCGCGGAGCTAACCTCACGCGCTCCCAATTCCCGGATCTGTCCTGCCTCCCGGGCTGCGACGAGCTCGAGGCCGCCCAAGGACAGGAACGCGGCCAACAACGAAGTCGTGGGCGCAATCATATTGATTCGAACGGTTGGGTAACAATAGCAGGCGATAAAGAGTGGTCAGGTGGTCGAAAAGACCGTAACAATGCTGAAATGAATGGACAGAGCGAAGGCTCAGATGGGAACCTCCAAAACCAAATATCCCAAGGCACGGAGTATTCAAACGTCAAGGATCAAAACCAGTCGTTGAGATTGCTGATGCATGGGGTCGGTGGTTGGAAATTCGAATAGTCTAACCCCCGGGCTATATAGATGTCCTATTCCCGGCGTTTTCGTATGTCCAGCTCTCCACGATTTGAACCACTTGAAGCGAACCTATCTCAATTGAAGGATGGCGCGAGCGATGGCGATATCCCGAATCGGTCGACGGCTGGGGATGCGATGACAACGGTCGGTAAGCTTCCTGGTATATTGAGTCGAACAACAACCAGAAATTTTGCAGATATCACAAAACTATATCACCAAAAAAAAAAAAAAAATCTCCGAATCAAGAATATCGATAGCGACAAGCTCTAATAGTGCACTGACAGCTGACGGATGGATGTGCGCGCACCAACGGCGGGAGTTCGGTATAAACAAAGCGGGTTCAAAGAGCGGCAGGGGGTGTGGTCGATGAGAAACCAACAGTAACCCCTCACGAAAACTACCAGCAAACAAAACAATAACGAGTGTAGAGGCGGTAAGGAGCGAGCGACAAGATCTAAGAAAGGGATGTTAAGTGAGAAAAACGGCCGTGGAGAGGGGGAAAGGTGGAGGTGGTAATGGTAGTGGAGGAGGAGGGGGGTGGGTTGTTATGGTGAACGGCGGTTGGAGGTGGTGGTAGTACCTGAAGAGGGCGCGCGACCGTGGGAGGGGGATGGGATGCAAGGAGAGAAAGGCTGAGGATGAATTGGCAAGTCCCAACGGCTCGTTGACGTAGAAAAGGTGTTCGCAGGTGGGCTACGTCAACGAAGCACCGGCGCTGGCGAAGCAAAAACGGGGCGAAGAGGGGGGGAAAGAGAGAGAAAGAGAGAGGAGGGAAAGGATGGTAGTAAAGAATGAAAAGAAAGATAGGCGATGCAAAGTGAAGAAGCAGAAGAATAATAATAATAATAATAATAATACCAAAGGAAGGACGGGAAAAATCAAAATCAAAAAAATGGTGGTAGTAATTAGGAACAGTAATAATAACAACAGCACTAAAATGAATGAAAGGAGAGTGAGAGGGAAGGGGAGATTACTTCTGGCTGGCGGTTTGGATTAGTTTGGCTTAGTTGGTTTGCCGGTCCGTGTCATCGCCTTTTTTTGGTAGATTTGATTATTTTGGGGCCCGGCTTTTACTTTTTGACTTTACTTTACTTTACTTAGCTCTTACCACCACTTGGATTTCCGGCTTGGGCTGTGGGAGTTGTGGTTTGGTACCACTGGAAAAAAGGGGGGTGGAGGAGGGAAGGAAGGGAAAAAGGCACGGCAGGGGAAAAACGAGGCACACCAAAGCAGAGGGGGGGAAAGGCAGGAAGCACGCGGGAAAAGCAAAGGAAAAGGCCGTGGCTACAATGCCAACCACCCCATGACAAGGCCATAAACCACACGCACCGGGTAGAGGTGGGCCCCCTTCCACTTCGTCCCACCTCTTGCCGTACGGTATTGTACCTTGGTTGCCGTATCTTCACCTCGCATCCTCATTAGCCCAATTGCACATTTGCTCACTCACTGACGACAAATGCCCGCAACAACCTGGGGTTGAGCATGTTCTAGGTCTTTGCTATTTGATACTGGAGTTGCTGTCGTTGCTGTCGTTGCGTGTCACCGGTTCTGGACTCTCTGCCTACACCTCATGCACTACAAGTCATTACATCCCGGCTAATATGTATGAGTGTATTTACTAATGGCCGATTGAATGAATGGATAGTGTGAACGGACAGTATGTGCGTGTCTAGCCGGAGGAACGTCCCAATGGAGAAGGCATGTACGCATGCCGTCCTGGTCGAACCCCCCATTAAAAGGTTCACTAGATGCCAAACGATCAATAGTATACGGAGAAGAGAGCTTATTTGGGTACTGACCATGGCCGCGCTCCGTCTATAGTGCACCATCTATCTACAACGGCGCACATCAAGACCAACTCCGAGCTCGCTACCGCTGGAACTATTGAGAACACCCTCACCCCGAGTGGTTCAGGCCATAGATCGCATGATATGCAGTGGACAGAACTCTTCTTTGGGAGTCTAGACGTTGAAAGAGGGGTAGCATGGTGTATTTCGATCGACATACTAGGGTCTCGTCAACCGAACAGATATGGAGCACAAGGTGTCAATCAGGTATCTCCTCTTCACAGATCGGGAACTCCTCCGCGCACTTTGTGTGCAGTGTAAAGCAGGACAAGGCAGGGTATACTGTAGGCTGCGGGCTGTCATATGCCCTGGCAGTTTGCTCGAGGCTGGGTTGATGCCGCAGCATGCAGACAGTGCATAGAATCAGAAAGACGACACAGCCCGGCAGTTGCACTACCTCACGGAGCCAGAAAACGATTGGTGGCGATGTTGACAAAGTGTCCAATCATTCCGGGATGTCGCAGGGGAATGGTAAGGAAATTAACCCATCAAAGTCGGCTCGTATGGGGAGATAGTGATCGCGGTCCAAGGAATGGGGAAGATTGATGCTTAAACTTGAAATAGGATCCTCAAATTTCAGGCATGTCACGGAGGATTCAAGGATACATACTTTACTCACTCACTGGACAGGTAGCACAGCGTAAAGTGGCCGGTGAAAGTGGCCAGGGACAATTGCCGATCAGCAGTGGTACGGCGCGCATCGTAATTCCCGCCTCGCACACCAGCCTCTTCTGCAAAGGGCAGAATTCCGTCAAGGTTCGGACCACCACAAGGCCTAGACTGACGGCGTCGTTTTAGTGTGGGTGGTTCCTGAATGGATGTGGGGATAGCCCCGGTGCGTGGTGATACGGGCAACACAAGTGCTGCAGCCTGCTCGACGGGCTGGCAACTGAGCAAAAACAACTCCAGGCAAGGATCCTCAAAAGAGAAAGGAAAGAGAAAATCGCATGGCTTGGTTCGGTTCGAACAGGCGAGCAAAAGGGTTTTTTTTCTCGTAACTTGGATCGGAGGAATGTGATAAGCATGGGGTTATGCACCTGCCAGCCAAGATAATGCGGTCGGGTGCATTTTCTCCTCCTCCTTGAGAAGGAAAGCAGTGTTTCTTTCCGCTCTGCCTAACATTACAACCACCAGCAAAGAAATAAAAAATCCAAAAGAATAAAATAAAAAAGTAAGATTATTGATGCCCCTTCCCCTCCCGCCCGCCGGGTTGAGTCAGTCACAATGATGGCCATCCACCCCCGGCTGTCTCACCATCCCTTCTAAACCCCCAAAGCATCCAATACCATCCGTGCCTCGTACGGAGCCACTACGTATGCGCACCCGTCCCATCCATTCTACCGGTATGCAACAGGCCTTACTATATTCGATATGAGATACCTGTCAAGCTCCATGACATGGGTATGTGGTGTGCTAACACTATACTGGTAGCACTGCATCTTCCAATATTCCGGTTGCTGCCTTCAAGACAATCCTCTTCCATTCAAAAGCTAGTGGCGGACACTATTGACCTCAGGTCCTTTCGAGAACGTGCTCCATTCCGTTAGTCCTGGGCTAATTTCTTAGCCTACTTACGAAGGATGGGAGGGAGGGGCCTGCTCGACACTCAGACTCCAGCAAGACCCAGCCCGGTTAACGCTGGGCGAGGAAGACGATGGAAGGCATGTTCATGTCTTACACCACGTGCATGCCCAGCGGCGCCAACCGTCACAAGCAGGGAAAATAAGAGTTGTACGTACTATCTTTTTCTTCTAACCCGCCAGTCGGTGCTGGTGCTATTTGACAGCGCGGCAATCATGGATCTTCTTTTCCCTGACATGACTGGAATGTCAGAAATGCAAGAGAGTCGCTCACAGCCCCTGCTGGGGGGCCGCCGTCAGGGCTGAAACAATGGCTCTTTCCATCCCTTCGGTCTCAGAATTGCCACGAACAGAGTCGTACAAAATTCCACAGATCGCGTATTAGCTGAGACACTTGGTACCCAAGGCCAGCACAGTCAGAAAGGATTTGCAGGAGCGCCCCATGGTCATTGCTTCTTCGAGTGTTGGATCTCACGAAGAGCATGGCCTAGGGCGATGTGCGACTCTAGAAGGCTGACGGTCAGAACTGCTTCAGCAGCATATGCAGATCGGGAAAGTCAAAGCTTCGATAAGACCCAAATCCAGATGGGTTCCTCTGTAATACTTAGGAGTTGGATCGTCGTTCGCCTGAGTTGAGTAGAGACGGTGGACATTCGGTGATACTACTAAGAAAGCTAGATGAGTCGTAGCACCCACGGAACTCCGTCCAGCAGTGGCACCATTGTTCGCGTTGCTATTTTAATCTTGTAGGCTGAGTCCATTCAAAGAGCGTCTTCGAGTCTAAGCCTTAGACAGACGTAAGATCACACACTGACCATTTTTACTAGGCCATTGTATCTTGAGGACCTCTACCGCAAGGCCCATCACACATATCTCTATCCTGATACCATTATATCATATGCTAAATGCGACCAGTTCCTGGGACGGGGATATGACCCTGAATCTAATGAACCATGGACAAAAGTTGTCAACGATCCAAGGACTGGGAAATTACTTCAAACAGGCACTAAGCCTGTTCCTGACTGCTGCCCCACCGTGGCCCTTGGTTCCATTGGCTGGTGGTCGGCTCTTGGCGCGTGCATTGCCCCCATGCGGACTAGCCTCGCCCATTTTGAGGCCAGCGATTCCCTCCAACTCCAGCAGATCCAATCCTGGAGACAGTCACGATGTTCGGATCAGAGCCTGAAAAGAGGTCGATCAGTTCAGTAGTTGCAGTGGACTATCCCTGAACTGTTCCAACTGCAAATCCTGACAATTCAGCTTCCTACCAGCTTATACGAAAGGCCACTCTGAGATGGAGAACTATGCTAATAATAGCGGATCGGTTCTTCTTATTTGACCCATGACCCATTGGACCTGAATCTGTGCTTTTACCGACCCAGCCGATCTGAGACACAATGGTTCGCTTAGCTACGATAGAGGATCCAGCATAGAGCACGGAGGACGGAGTAAATAGCACGAATGATCTTCTCGCATCAGGGCCATCCGAGCTGCATCCGACAGCCGGTGTCGCATTAGACATAACTAAGCCCAGCTGCCGCTCGAATCCATGCATAAAGTCACCGTTGGCATTCCGGTTCCTAACATTAGAAACCGGGCTTGTCGACGCATAGGCTATTCATACCAGGCTCGCCGGTCTATCCGTTGCCCCCAGCCAAGATGCAGAGTATATGCACATAAGCAGTCTTTGTCTGCATTTGTCCAGTTATGTACTCGCATAGCATCACAGTCATATCCAAGAACCTGCTTCTTTGCTTGCTTCTCACAGACGAGAACCTCGACTTGGCACACTGCTCACCACCCCAGCACATTCAATCTCCACATCAGTCCCCATTGGCAATGTCTTGACCGCAACGCATGTACGAGCCTAGGTTTATCAGTAAGTATGTGACTCTGCCCAGGGGCAATCAGGCGGAACGCACCGGCTTCGGATCCGCGAAAAAGGAACTATAGACTTCATTGACAGCGGCAAAGTCATTCATATCAGCCAGGAATATGTTGACCTTCACGGCGTCCTGGAGACTAGAGCCGCCTGCTTCAAGGACGGCACCTAGGTTTTTGAGGATTTGTTTCTGGGCCTCGTTAGCTGAGTAGCTTTAGGCACACCCTTGGTTAGGGATATTTATTTTGGTTGTGTAGGAATGAATGATGTACCGTTCTTTCTTGAATTGATCCCTCAACCATCTTGCCTGTAGCAGGGTTCACACCCACCTGCCCAGAGCAGTAGACCATGTCGCCGACGACGATGCCCTGGGAGAGGAATGGCGGTGGGAGAGGGGCCTTTTGGGTGCGGATGGGGATTCTGGTTGCTTTGGACATCGTGAAGTTGGTAGATACTGTGCTTTTCGCTTTCCGGAAGTTAGGCAGTTAAATTGATCTATATTGTTTCCTCGAAAAGCAGTAATGCTTGGGAATATATACCTGGGGAAGGGCGAAGGTTGAAGATAAGCGGGGAAGTTGGAGGAGTCGCGCTTATCATGAGTTGTGACCCACCGAGATGTGACTAAGAATGCTGGCGATAATGAGGAGATCATGCACACCACAGAGATGATACCCTATGACAATCGCGGATGTTTGAGTATAGACTCTTGATTACTGATACTTTGAGTAACTTTGTTACATACTAAGTCAGTTGGGAAGGGTTGTTAAAAGATCTGGTAGTATCAACCGGTTGGAGAATGCTGATAACCGTGCCACAACTATATATCTCTTCACAACCACCAATGTTGCTCTCTTGGAAAAACACCGGCACTATCCACCACAACCCTAGATTTCGTGCTCTGAAGCACATCACACAAGAGCCATTTACCTCGATACACTCCCACCAACATATAGTTCACTTCTGTAAATCTAACACAATGACACTCACACCATCTCCTCCAGCTGCATTCCAACATCACATTCACAGTTCTCGTGCAACGCAACCACAAACTTCCTCATCTTCAAACATCTTAAACGGAGCAGTCTCCGCCAGATGTCTCCGCATTAGCAGATATCACAAACAGTGCACGCAGATTCACTCTCACAACACAAGATGGCCTTTGCCTCGACGACTCAACACGTCCACAACTCATCTTTTGAATGCACTCTGTGCTACGAGATGCAGACACGTCCCTATCCTTCTCACCATCCTCATATTCCTTCTCTGCATTCGTGAACCCCCTCAATCATGGATCCCGGGGGGATGCGGAAGAAGGTGGCCGAAGCGGCTGCGCGTCTCAGGCTCTCCAAAGCCAGGAGGGACCTCCAGAAGCTGAAAGCTGCGAAAAAGATGATTGAAAAGGAGCGAGCAGAAGCGGCTGAAGAGGAAAGAGCTGCCGCAGAACTTGACAATACGGAATATATCAGATGGCCAGCCTTCAGAGTCATGGAAACGATCCCCGAGGTTTCTGAGACAAAGTCGGTTGATATCCAAGTCCATGGCATGAAAGCCAGGGTTTATCTAAGCCGTCCTGACGAAGACATCGTGCCTTTGCGATACCTCAAGAGAGCAGACAAAGACAGTGAGTCTATATACCCATCCAAGCGCATCCAACACTATCCATATAACAGCGCATGGGTGAACCTACTCCGAAGGAGCAAAGCTAACTCAAGGACCAGAGATCGTCCATCGCGCTGTCTGGATCTTCCGCAACGCCAGAAACGGACGTCGAGTCAATCAGAAAAAATGGCCTACCCTCGAGACCATTTTCTTCGACGTCTTCCGTAACCTCAAGAATTCTCCTCAGTGGGATAAAGGTCTCTTCGAGGACGAGGCAGGAAGTGCCGCTACCTGTCCAACCAACCTTGAATTCAGACAAGCACGTTACAACCAAGACAACGTACTTCATGCTCTCATATCCGAGTTGTTCTTTAACGTGGATGTCATGCACCCAACTTCAAAGCCTATGCTTTGGTTCCACCTCTAGTACGTAACAACATCAACCCTAACAGACCCTACACAGCAATGATATACACTAACCCCAACACCTCCCTTCCAATCAGCCCCAAAGTCATGGGAGAATACCTCGAATATTGGACCGGGTACAAGGAGAAACGTCAAGACGGACCCTGTACCTCCGGCCGCGTCGTCGTTGATTATTACCCCGATGCTATGTATGCCCGCACCGTCCTGCCAATGACAACTGTATAGTCTCCCCTTCCTCAACCCTCCTATCAAGACCAATCTAACCCACTAACACACCCACCACAGACTCTAACTGACAACCAACCACTCCACAAAACTCTCTCCCAAAACTTCCAACTCCACCTCGGCCAACTCCTCACCAACCTGCACCACATGCACATCCACCGCCACCACCTCCCCGACCAAGAAGTCTTCCTAATCAACCTCCACGGCAGCAGACTTCACGTCCAACGCGCCATCTTCCCCAGTTCCAAGATCTCACGCATCTACTGCAAGAAGTACAAGCCCGTCGACACTTCCAACACCGAGCTGCACACTTTCCGGGCCGGAGACGCCACTCGCCGCTACACCGAGCAGGATCTCGAGCACGATATAGATCAACTCGATTGGCTACACACTCTCAAAGAGGAGAGGAACGAGGCCCCGGATGAAGATGACGCTCCTGTGTTCCGCGTGCTCGCTAGTAAGGAGTATGATCTCTGGAAAAAGAGTGATTGGCATGCTGCGTTGAAGTTGTTGGCTGGCCTGAATCGTTATTTGATGGGCGGCCGCGCTAAGTGTGGTGTCATGCAGAATATGTTTGAGAAGTTTCCGCTGGAGGAGTCGCTGCCTGCGGAGTCGTCTGCGGCTAGGCGCTGAGGGGGTGAGGAGATGGGTGGTGGTTTTTTTGTGCTGCCAGTGCGATAGGCGTTGGTCTCTTCTTGACTTTTCTTTCGGTACTCTCTTTCTTTCTTCATGGCTTGCACTTTGCTTGGCCTTTGCTTTGCTCCTCGTTGGGCCTTTGCTTTGCACTTGGCTTGCCCTTGGCTTTGCATAGATTTGACTTTGCTTGCACTTTGCTTTGTATTCACTTTGCATTTGCTTAGCCTTTGCTCGCTCTTTGCCTAGCCTTTGCTTGCACTTTGCTTTGTATTTACTTTGCGTTCTGCTTTTGTCTTTGCTAGCTCTTTACCTTCGATTTTCTATCTCGGCTTTTGCTCATACCAAATTGATGTACCCATAGCATAGCGGGAAGATGGCGTTAATAGAGCAGATAACGTAGCTTAGTTTCCAATAAAAAATGTAACTCTAACTACAGAGAGGAGACGCACTACATAGTACATATTCGTCATTGTCATGGCAAAAATCAGCACGAATAATCATACAGGATTGTGCGAAGGCATCCAAATTTAGTCTCCATGACGCCGCTCAGACTCGAAAGCAGTAAAAGCATCAATACCCCGTCCGTCCTGTCCTCCCGTGCGGAAGTATTCGACAACAACACCTATAGCGTAGCATGTTCCCGCGGTAGCTACGCCACTGAACAGCATCCTGCGCAAAGCTTGACCAGCTCTTGATTGGCGTTTCGAAGAAGAGCCTTTAGCCTGTGAAGTCTCGTCTAGCAATTCGGACTGACGATCAGGAGCTTGGCTGGAGAAATGCTCCTGCGTTGGCTGGATAGGTGATGTAGACTGTTTCAAAGTTTCATTGTTATGGCCGTCGGGGCTAGCTTCAATTTTGTCCACTTCTTTAGAAGGGAGAGCGGCACTGTCGTGCACGGAACTGCTGGACTTTTTGAACACAAGAATATCCCCACCACCGGAAACAATTTCGTAACCATCGGTACGCATTCTTGCAAAATGGGGTAGAAACTTGGCAGGGGCATTCAGGCGACCTAGAATTTCTGCCGGGTGGATTATCTCGTCTGAAGCCTGGAAAGATGAGCTTGTCTCCGCTTCGTTTACTTGAAGGGTCGAGGGATCATATGCAAGCACTCGATAGGTTTCAGTTGATGGGGTATCAACGAGCGGCTGCTCCATGGTAGCAGTTTGATCGAAGGGCTTAGTATCTTCCTGCCTTTCAGACTTGAGTACCTGTGAAGCTTCCCAACTTTCTGCAGTTTGTTGACTGGGCTGTACACCAACGTCTAATTCCTCTGGCATAATGGTCTCGTCAGATGCGCCGACAGTCTCATGCTTTTGAAACTTGCTTCGAACGCTCTGGGCGTCAATGTCACCAGCGGGATCGACAAATGAATCGAACCTATCGTCGAGAGATTGACGGATCTGCTTCTCAATCTCAGGGTCAATACTAGGCCTAGCCAAGTATTGGGAACGAATATCACTGGCATTCAGGAGGTCTAAATCCTCCTTCCTCTCTGCTTGCACCCTTTCCTGTTCGTGTGCTGTACTTAGAGGACTTTCAGGCGTCTCTAGAGACCTCATCGAAGCCTCATTGCTTGGTTGATCTCCAAACGAACGACTGTTGACTGGCGCTTCTAGGTGATCATAGGTGACGCGTCCACCGCCTATTGTGAGATCCTGAAGCTTAGGTTGATCGGCCATGATCGCTTCTGAGAGACTGCTAAGTTTCTCAGAAACATCTCTCTGGTCTTTCATAGTATCAATTGATGGCTCCAAAGCTTTATAGCGAGCTTCTGTTGGTGACTCCGGTTTCTGCACCTCAGAAGTTTGGAAGGGCTCATCCGCGACTGGCGCCACCTCAACACGTTGTTGCGATGTTTCTTCTGCCCTATCATTTCCTGATTCTGTTGCCGGCTTAGGCTCTGAAATTGTTCGTTCAAATGGGGATAGATAGCCGGTAGGCCCAGAATGAGGCTTCTGGGCCCCGGCCGATGTATCAATGTCGTTCCCGCGAGAATTCTTTGCTGTGGCCACCGGCTGCTCAGTATCCTTGGGTATCATACGGCCACTAACAGGGTCGAATTCATAGTCTGGTCGACCTGTCTCTGATATAGCCTCGTCTAAAGATGGGACCCTGCCACTCACGTCTGATTGTGGCTTCTTGGGCGATTCCGAAGAGTCCTTCGAAATTGCAGTAGTGGCCTTCGGGCGTGCTGTTGTATCCATGGTACTTTCCGACTTGTCAAGACCTAAGAAAGAACGACAAATGGAAGTAAAGGCATTATCAAGCTTCTCAAAGGAGCTAAATGGCTGCAACCTTCTTCCGAACAATGCTGCGTAAGGATCCTTATCAATCTCCTTCTTGATCTGGTCCATTCTCTCCTTGATGCGGGACCTTTCGGCCTCCCAAAAGTCACCCTTGATACCACCTCGATTGTAAAACTGAAAAGGCTTGTCCCGATCATAGCTCGGTCCGTAACCTCGGAACCCCCATGGATTCTGACTTTCGTACACGTTCGCTTTCCGCGGACGTGCGGGCTTCTCACGAAGCTTCGAAAGACAGTATCGTCTGTGCTTATCTATCTGCTTTTCCAAATAATCGTAATTTATCCTCTCGCCCGGACCGCGCCATATGTGACGGCGCTGGCAGGAGGACTTGAGATGTCGAGATGATGCGAAGAGTATGGCTTGGGGATGAGTTCTGGTCAGGGCCGTGGAACGTCTGACGGCCCTGATATCTGCAACTGCGGCTGTATATATCATGGTGAGACTCTCAAGGATTCTGTGTTTGAAGTATACAAGCTAGATTGGAAGGACGCTAAGCAAGGAGTGATGAAGCTCTTCGACCACGACGTCAGACCGGATTCGGACGGCCACTGGGGCTGTCTTCGGTTACATCACAGGGGACGATTAGGGGTCAGGAGGGCCGCTACAAGGACAGTAACCACGAAGTAGAAACTTTTATCTGAGAGAAAGCTAATCAGTTTATCGGAAAGAGAGCTAGAATACTGATGAACGAAGCATGAGAGTGACTTGGAAGTGCAAGGGAGAGAGAGAGTTGGCAGCTGATAAGGCGGAGAGAGCTCCGATAAGCCAATCACGGGGCAAACGCGGGGTTGTCGGTCTGGAACTATGCCTCAGGCAGAAATTCAAAGTGGAAGTTGCTCGCTCAGAATCATCATATGTGGGATTCTTAGTCAAAATTCCCGTCAGTTCTATATGTCATCGTTGTCTATGCTAACTTTTGCAAGTCCTAGATCATCCACTTCCTGCAGGCCTGGGTCAGATGAGATATAGTTAAACCAGAACCGTAGCCCTTCAATTCCCTGTTCTCTGCAAAGGACTCCCTTATCCTCTGCCATCTCCAACTCCTCCGCTGCAACGCCCACACTCCATTTGAATCGCTGTGCCGCCTCCTGTGCGGTCACAGCACGTCCAAACAAACGCCAGTCCCAGGCTACCGGCTCCGTGGGTGGCACTTGACGGAGCTCTGCCATCCAGTCTAGCAGCTGCCGAAGGGTCTTCTCATCGGTCCAATCGTATCGTTGAACAACGAGCAGCCCACTCTTGAAACGACGCAGACGAACTGGCAACTTCAATTTCTCCCATAGCTCCGCAGCCTTCTGAAAATCCGAAGGACTGACGAGCTCGACCCCGTTTCGGGACCGGTTGAAGATTGCCCATAAGTCGATAAGACTTATAATCCCGCCTTCTTTCTGCAATATGCCCTTACGATCGTCAGTCAGATATTCTGCTAGATTTCGGGATAACTCCGATAGATAGAGGCTCTCTGCCCCGGAACCGAGCATATCTTTCGTCGTCACCATACCCAACGCCGCCGCTGATTCCGAAAGGACGGCGCTAGTTTCAGCAGAGCTCTCGTCACTAGCCATCCCAGACTCGCGGGCTAGCGTCTCAGCAAGCGCAACAATATGTTTCGCCGATGCCATAAGCGCTTCGAGATCCTCGAAAGCATTGCCAATGACGAGCTCATTGTTCTTACGAGCCTCAAGGCCTCGTCGCTCAAGCCCCGCAATGCCAACTCCCGGTGAGCGAGGCTGTGATGCTCCAGGGCCGTTCGCTAATGCAGGCACGGCTAAACCTTGAGCTTCAGAGCTTGATTGTGATGGTTGTTGTGGCACAGGCGGAGCATTGTAAAGAAGCCATTTCCGCTGGATCAAGGCGCCCTTCAACCTTTCAAGAAATATTTTTTCGCCACCTCCACGGAATGACAATTTCATGCAATCTTTGATTTGCTTGCTCTTTATACTGCCCTGATCAAAAACAGGGGCCGGGGATTCCGCACGGTAGTGATCGCCATTGGTGACCTTGAGGATATTTGCAGAGACCAAGGAAGCTCCACAAATTTCACATTCAATGAGGGACGGATGGTTGACGAATGTGCAGCGAGGACATGACACTTGGGCGCCATTTTGTGGAACCGTTAGGTTCTTGGGGTCAATACTCCCAAGTGAGGACTCTTGCCCAGGTTGAGAGGTGGGTGGCGTCGCAACAGTGCTCTCGCGACTTGTTGCAGCAGTGATTGCAGCCTTGAGGATAGTCGCAAAAGGGGGTTTAATACCACATGCCAGGCAAGGAGGTATAGGCGTGGACGCGGTAGCGGTGGACGGGTCGAAATTGGAGGGCACGGGATTGGAAAAGGTGCATATAGGGCATACCCATGTCGCATTCACGGGTGGAGGAAGTCCCGCACTAGAATGAGACACGGACTTTGGGGTCAGGGGCGACTGCGATCGAGAGGGACTTGCGCCAGCGCTTTTCGACCGGTCAATGTTCTTCAGTGGCTTAGGGTATAGCGTAATCTTAGGAGAGGACTTCCAGAAGCTTGCCTATGATACATTAGATTTCAGGCCAGTTTGCATGAATGAACCAGCACGTACTTGGTACTCTGTTCTATCAATATCCTTCAGGTCAATGCCAACTGAGTATTTCCGCGGCTCATCAACTGCTACATAACAGACACGATGCGAGGTCAAATAGGCATGGCCATTCTGATAATTGGGGATTTTATATTTTCTGAACATGCAATAAACATTAACAGTCAGCAGTTGAGAAGATGTATACTGTGTCACTAAGGGCTCGGTTCCAGAAGAAGCGAAATAGACCCAAGCATGGAGAGACCACCGATGCAGCAGGTGAAGTAACAACCGGCTACTCACCCTTCGTACAACCCCACCGCATCCTGGACAAAGAGTAAGGTCTCGTCGGGCAACAGCGAGGGGCGAAGCGCAGTTGTCAGATCCAAAGGCTTGAAAAACATCTAGTAAGATCAAGCAGCATCTCTTCACGATTGAAAGGGTGAAGAGGGGCAGAGTATACGAAAGCGAGATGCCTTGGCGCTGGTTGTATTGCTCGTTATCAGTCCAGATCGGCGTGCTGATGTAATATGGCTGGGTTGGGTAGGCGGTATCTGGTCCCCATGCCAAGACGAAATCTCCGCCACCGAGACAAGTCAAGTGGGATCCAGCGTCACTAAGCGAGTCTCCCTCTCTCTCCGCTCATCATCCTTATTCACTCACCCCAAAGCCTGGAGAACATACCCTTGTGGATAACTTACATATCATCTTGCCCCTTGTCTCGTTAGATACAGACTGGCCGACTTTTATTTTCTCTTACATTCAGTGATCCCTACTCGGCTCTGTTGGTGTAGGAATATGTTCTGACTGGCTCGAACCAAATCATCCGTAGTTATTACCTCTCTTTTCTGATTATCATCACTCTTCGCATTTCTTTATTGTCCCTTTTTGCACTGGCCCTTAAAATAGATCATCGTTTCTTCATTCATCATGAGCTCCGGCATCCCACCCTGGCGTGTTGCGGCTTCAGCCACCGCTACCACTTCAATTCACTCTGGTCATGGTATGCTTCTCTTCCCGCCCGTGATATTTGTTCAGACTTGACTAACGTGGCAGCAGTGGCCCCAGCTTATATCCCAGTGCAAGCACGCCGTAGTATCGCGCCCACAAAAGCCACCAACCCTGTTCCTTCTTCTACACCCCCGACGACGTCTGCCGATGCCGCCACCCGCAAAAAAGTAGAATTTCCAGAAGCCGTCCGCAAATATGTGCAACGCAGCTTTGCGCCCGAAAACCGCCTTCCCACGGTCGACCGGAGTGAGATGGAGGCGAAACTCAAATCAGTCATCACGGAGGCAGCAGAGGGTAATATGCTCGATAAGATCGACTGGGAAACCCTGCCTCTGCCGCAGGTCATGGTTCAAAACGATCGCAACATGGTGCTCGCCAGCCCAGGTGTCTCGACTTGGGCCACATTTGGGACACATTCGCCGAAGAAGTCTAGCACTCCATTGGTTGACCTATCGAAAAAGAGGAAATCGGTGGAGTACCACGGAGACGCGAGCAGCTGTCCACCATGGAGACAAACTAACAACCAGAATGCCTTTGAAGACCGAGTCACTTATCCTTCCACAGACAAGCGGCAGAAGATGGACAGTAAGAACCCAAGTAAGTCAAAAGCTAATCTGGAGATGCGGAGGAAACGTTTCGAGGACGCCCAAGGACGACATGGATCTTCACCCTCTTCCCGCGGTGCATCACCGACCCCCAATGCAAACCAAGGCCCTGTTGTCGGAAGGTGCCAGGAGCTCGAGAAGAATTACTTCCGCCTGACTTCTGCACCGAATCCGGATACCGTTCGTCCCTTGCCGGTCTTGATGAAAACATTAGACCTACTGAAGAAGAAATGGAAAAAGGACAACAACTATGGCTATATCTGTGATCAGTTCAAATCCCTCCGTCAAGATTTGACTGTACAGCATATCAGGAACGAATTCACTGTCAGCGTCTATGAAATCCATGCCCGAATTGCCCTAGAGAAAGGTGACCTTGGTGAGTATAATCAGTGCCAGACTCAACTACGAGCGTTGTATGCACAGCAACTTGGCGGTCATCCTACGGAGTTCAAGGCCTATCGTATCCTCTATTTCATCCATACCCGCAACTGGACGGCCATGAACGATGCCTTGGCCGATCTAACTGCAGCAGACAAACGGGATCTTGCTGTGAAACATGCGTTGGATGTCCGTTCCGCTCTTGCTCTTGGGAACTATCACCGTTTCTTCCAGCTTTATCTCGACACCCCGAATATGGGGGCTTATCTAATGGATATGTTCGTGGATCGTGAGCGACTTTCTGCACTTGCAGCAATTTGTAAAGCGTACGTTCCTTTTCAGACTTTACGTGTGACAGCCACTGACCTTGATAATACAGGTACAAACCTGATGTAAACATCCGTTTCATTACTGAAGAACTTGGTTTCGAGTCCGACGAGCAGAGCGCCCGTTTCATTTTGGACCATACTTCGGAGGACCTCCTCCAAGAGAAAGATGGCGTGGTGAGACTGCTTACGGGTGGCAGGGCCGGCCAACTGTTCGAAGGAGCCAAGGCCGAGGCCCACCGAATTGTCGATATCAAGGGACAGATCTAAGTTCCGTATCTCTCGATTTTACTTCTTTTTTCTTTCTCTCCTTGCAACCTGCGGTTTCACTTTCACCTTCCGACACCCCTTTCACCATTCTGGATACACCTAGCACACCCCAGCTTTCCCCCTTCTGTTCGTTTCTTCAGGGCGCTTGGAGTTCTGTTCGTTCTATTTCCTTGCTTCCGGCATTAGAGGCGTCCTGCATTAACCGCTTACGATCTGAGTACATATACCCATTTTGACTTGAGGAGGATTGGTAGTGCACAGAGAAGAAAAAGTCGATGGATGAAAGGCAGAAGTGGGTATAGGGGAAGGCGTCTGACGTTTGTTTGATAACATTTCGGTAGCGCAGCTGTCAATACAATGATCATTGTCAATTCTAAAACACGAAAAGTATGGGCAGCAGCCCCATCGTACCCACCACGGCGTCAACTGATACAGTGTGCCTACCTAGTAGAATATTAAAACGGCCATCATCATCCTGCCCACTGTGCCAATTTCAACCCCCTCTTGAACCTTACCACCCACCCTCAAACCAACAATAACTCCCCTTCCTTAAACATCAGATACATCCATTCACCCCAACCTTATGTATCCAACAGGACACACAAAGTACCAACTACCACAATCGACCCACAATTGAGGGGTACGTCAAAACAGTCAATAAGTAGTTAAAACATAGATACCCCGCACCTCATCAACGCAAGCGAGATGAGATCAAAGTTACATGAAGGAGGAAGTAAGTCGACCGTTAGAGGAAGATCTACAGTGATAAGTCAAAAATATTCCATGTATGTATCTACTATCGATCTATCTACCATCGCACATACATGACACTATACTATACCCAGCTAGTTACGTAGTTAATCCCCTAAATCTGACAAGTCGATCTCTCCCAATCCTAAGTAAGTACGGAGTACATTAGTAGTAGATAGTAGTCCCTCCTCCCCCACCGGTCTAGACCCGTACTTTTGGGCCTTTTCATAAAGTACTTAGTACTTACTGTGGTAGGTGAGTGAGTGAGTGAGTGACCATGCATATAATTTCCGAATTAAGTAGGTAAGTAGATAACCGTTATATCATGGTGGCAAAAACCTGAAAGACGAGACGAGACGGAAATCAAACCCGATGATCAGCTGTAGATCGATTTCGATCATCGCGAGTTAGATAGTTCCTGGAGGGGTAAGCGGACGAGTATTAGTTAGCTTACTACTAGGTAGCTTGATTTGTTCGGAGGAAGGGAAAGGAAGATGAGGGCAAGGAAGGGTGCATATGACATCTGGAGAATGATATATCAGATTTGCAGGATGATATGATATGGGGAGTATCTGCACGAGGTTGAAAATGGTATATGGTATAGGTGGTGTTTGGATTCGTCAGATGAGGGTTGTTTCAGTGTCTGTTTCATGGTCTATAGTATTGAGGACTGAAACAATATGATAGTTGGTACTTTTCACGTGGTGGTGCTGGTGCGGGGTTTACCAGTATAGTAGTAGTAATGGATGGTTAAGATTATTGGCTACACGCAAAGTACAGCAGGACATAATTTATGGATCGTGCTTCACATTAATGGGCTGAAATTACGCAATATCGTGTGGTACTGGCACAAAGTAACTACAATCAGCTGTGTGCTTTTTAGCTCAGCTACAAAGTACTTAACTCAGCTAGCTGGTGGACTCGATGGATGGATCGATTTTACCCACATACATCCAGAGTGGCGAATAATAGTATGATCTGATCAGCTGTGCGCTTATTCGGCCCAGCTATCTGCCTACTAGCTACTTACTTTTGTAGTAGCTAAGTTGCTGCAGTGTGCCTCGACTAGTACTGTATCTAGTTAGTTAGCTACCTTTATCTTCTATCGGCTACTAACGGGAGATGGATAGACTGGAATTCTATTTTGTGGTGTGGCGTTGACTTCAGCTTTCGCTTGTTCGCGCGTATCGTTTTCTTTTTTTCTTATTTCTTATACTCGCATATACGAGCAATAACCTTATGCGGACGGCGTCTGGAATAAGCCCGGTTAGGGATTTGACTGGGTGCAGTGACTGGACTGTCTACTACCTGCAAGGGTGGTGTGTCTGTGAATGTGGATGAGGTGGGTGCAGGGTGTACAAGGTTTTTGAGAACTGGCTTGGGGGATTGGAATGGATCTAGACGATTCATGTATAGTAGAGTAATATCTTGCAGCTGTGGTATGCCACTACTGTAGGTACTGAAGGAGACAGAGATCGCGTGCATACTCTATCTACTTTGGTAGATACGGAAGTGAACATTTGAGGCTGGATGCAAAGTACTAGACCTCGTGAAGATAATGGGCCAAGGCTTAGCGCTCGAAAGAGCTCAGTCGTCCCTTACAGCCTCGGTCATATTGAAAAAAGTGCGGATTTACCTCTTTGCCTTGCCAACTAGCTAGCATTTGGGTTACAGCATTGTTGGGATCCAAACTAATCTAATCCATCTTGAGGCGGAACTCCGGGGGATTTCCTTCAGACCCGATCATCCTCCATCTATACTAGATGGAGAAGAGACCCTGTGCCGATCCAAACTGATTGGAAATAGTGTAGCAAATGTAAAGCTGGGTTGGGCGACTGGATTGGGTAAAATCCAGGCATACAAACCATGGATGCATTTCCAGCCTAAGTCCCTTTTTCCCCGTCCGAGCTCCTTTTGCAGAGTTTCAGGCTCGGAGGTACAGCGGTACAGGGGAAATGATAGTCCAGGAGATGGGTAAATTAAAAAAGATACAAATTTGGGAGCAGTTCGTCCCTTTCCCATTATGTCTTCTCCGCTTAGTAAAAAATTAAGATTATGAAGTCGTCGGGGTTAATTAGATTCTGCTACGATAAATCGAACAAGCCTAGATACTCTGTAGAGCTGGTTACTGACTAGTCGTTAAAACTAGTTGACACCTGAATCAGCCGGCAGTTGGCAGCCCTCCGTTAATTAAAAAGGAAGGGCACACAGACCACAGGAATGTGTGTGTGGTGTGTGTGGTGTGGATGGGCAAACTCGGTGTGTTGAACCCACACACACCTTCCTTGCCCACCCGAGCAGCCCAATGACCATTCCTGCCCTGTCCGTCGCAACTCAGGTACGCTGGACCGGGGCCACTTGTGGCCCATACACAGTACGTACGCGCTGGGCTTTTGGTTTGGCTCCTGCAGAATATGGGACACACACACACCACAGTAACCACACACACAGGGGCTGCGAGCCATGGTTGATTTTATTTCTTAGTCTGTTCGGCTGATTCTTATCGCCTATCGATCGGGCGGGTTTCCAGCTGGACGGTGCCGGCCTTCTATACCACTCCCGGTTTAATGCGACGGGGGGAAGAGGGAATTTAGGAGGGGGGGTGGTTCTCTGCTGCCCAACTGCGCCCAGGGGGAGAAATATGAAAAGTAAAATAAGGGAAGTGAATAATGAACCCACTTTTAACTAACTAAATAACTAAACTAACTAAAGGGAAAGGGGAAAATCATAATCAAGGAATAAAATCACTAACAAGAAAGAGGTAATAGAGTCAGGGATGACACTACCAACAGGGCTGGAAGCAGAAACGAACTAAGGAGTCTCAGCTAACTAAGTAGTATTTACTTCCTAGTCCCTTAGCGACCAACCAGGATGGACATCGGCCGTCATACCTTACGCGGTGCATCCATGCAGACGGCCGGGGAGCAGCTCCCGGTCTGCTGGTTGACTGGTGAATCGACTAAATAAAGGATTTTTAGGCACACAACCGCCTGCTTTGGCGTCGAAGCTGAAGGAATTGACATTGGTGGGTGAGAAAATTTATTGGATTTTGTAGGTGTGTGACTGAGTGAGTGACTGAGTCTGTATGGTGTGCTCTGTAGATTTTGGGTCTTGATTTCTGGGATTTGATTGATGTATATACGTATGTATTGAGGCAGGCAGCGTTGGGTAGGTTATAATATCATTATATTGTCTCCTTCTGAACCGCTCTTTTGTCTTGTCTTGTCTCGCATCTTTTTGATTTTCCTCATGGATGATTTGCCCCCATCACTATCACAATCACAATCACTTTTCACTCCAAGCAGTTTGAGTTTGTCGTCATTTCCTCTGTTAGTCTAGGTTTAAAAAAAGAAAGTGAAGAAATAGACGCACTAGCTTCAAGGGCCAGGCGATCCGAGCAGAAAACTAGCCCAGCCAGCCAGTCCAACGTCTATCACGATCTGCTACAAACCGGACATTGCCTTCCTTTGTTGGTAAGTGTATGTGCCTTCGACCGGCGGATGAAGTATCGCGCTCTGCCTATTCTCACTTTTTCACCACCACCTCCTTTAATCCCAGTCATCTGGTTTTATACCCGCTTGTAACCCTTCTTTGGATCCTTCCTCGAGTTCGTTTTACTGCCACGAGGACAAAACCAACGCCATACTAACCTCCCTCATCTCCAATTCGCAGGTCGGGGAACCAACCAACCGGGACGAGGGTGCTGGAGTACCCGCCACAGTTGAACCATCAGTTCGATTTCTCGACGGCTTCCATCCTTCACACCCCACGACGGTCCATGCCATCCGGCCACTAATCCACTAAATCCACTTATTTGCCTCTCCTTCGTCTGGGTCACAGCCACCAAGTGCTCCCGCAAAGTGGTGGTAGGAGTCAGGACGGCCCATTATTCTCCTATCGCCGTGCCTTTGACTCGACCGCTTACTACTACTTACTTCTTGCCTCTCCCACCACCACCACCATCATCGTCATCATCGCCGCCAACTTTACTTATTTCCCGACTTCCATAACCGGCTGTGTCGCAAGGAGCAGACGAATTATCTGGTAACTCAAAGAAAAGGGAAAAAAAAAGTATTAAACCCTTCTGCTGGGGGGAGGACCTTCCAGAACACTGCAACCCTGGGAACCTTCCGCCGAGCTGTCACGCGTGGATCCTCGTCATTGTCCACCCACTGAACCACTCCAGCGCACCCATTCTATTCCCATCCACCCATCCATCCATCCATCCTCAGGGGCGGGGGGGAACACCAAAGGAAAGCGGGCCGCTTTTTTTCTGTCCCAGTCGTCGCAATCCAGAACTCCCCATACCGGCTCGTCCGTGGTAGTCCTGCTCGTTTGAGGGCGAAAAATAGGCAAAGAAAGACAAGCAGAAATTAGGAGGCCACTGCACTGTCACACTTGTCTGGGTTACTTGCAGACCAGTTACTCTAATTTTTCTTACTATAACAACATATCGCCGCTGACAACCGTCCGCTCTATTTCATCCATTGACACTCCCTCTTGTCCCTCTCTCTCTCTCCACTTTCCCTATCAAACCCCAGGCTATTTTGTCTGTTACTATCTTTTTTACTGTATCACTTTAAAACGCTCCTTCATTGTTCAGATTTTAAAGTTTTCGTCTTACTATATTTTTTTTCCTTTTCTTTTACTCCAACTACCCTGTCTCTTTTGCCTCATTCGTCTCTCTCAGCTGCTACCCGGGATTGCCGCCCATTCTCTTGTTCTTTTGGTTTCTTTGTATTCCAACACATCCCATCGCCGACAAGACCTTCGAATTTACAGTGATACGCCTGGACCGGGGTGGCTGACAACGGGCATAAAGTGGATGATCAGATCTTGTCTGCTGCAGGCCTCGCTCAAACTACCAAACCCTACTCGTCCCCGTACTTACGTCTTGCCTTGCCTCGGCGGCTGATCTGGCGTTCCCGACCACCTGTGGGCACGGCCTGGCTAGGTTGACCTGCCTAGGGAGTATTATTCATTGATTCATTCCGACGTTCATTTATTTAGTTTCGCCCGGAAAGGAGAATTTAGCAAACTAATAATGAAGGTACGTACATCTATCTGTTCCAAGCTGGCAAACCCGCCTGCAAGCAAACCCCTCGTTTTCCCGCCCCTCGTTTATCTCGATTGTCGCTTGTTCCGAGCGCCCTCCTCCCCGAAAAATTAGCACCTTGATTGATGACTGTGGCCCTTCCCTTTCTTCTTTCTGACTGGGAACGATCATTATTGCCGCGCGCAATCTATCGGCTCTGGACTAATCTCCAACACCGCCAATTAATTAGGCCATTCGACGCTCTCTCAAAGGGGAGAAAGATCCCAAACCCCACCACCACCACCATCTCAGTCACCATAGTCACCACCACCTTTCTATTACTCCAAAGTCCGCCATCGCCATCCTTCCGCCAAAGAAGGTGTGTTACACCCTTTCCTTTCTTTAATTCTCCCCTTCACTTTTCACATTTCTTGTTTCCTTTTCCTTTTCATTTTTTTCATCCCTCCCCCGATTTTCAATTCTATTTTCACTCTTTCCATTTCTTTGCCTTTCAAATCCCTGGTTGATCCCCCCCCCCCCCTCATTCCCCCCCCTGCCTTTACCCCTCCTTTTCTTCTATAGTCGCATCCTTCAAAAATTCATTTTGGGGTTGTTTCTCGGTTGTAATTGATTTCTCTGCGCGTTATTCGCTTTCGTTCGCCGACATTAGTCGAGCAGCCTATCCTTGGCGACCCGTTGTTGACCACATCCCTGTGCTGCGCGTAGGTCATCAAAGCGCTCTACGATTACCAACCGGAACCCGGGAACTCGCAGGAACTCGCCTTCAGCAAGGGAGACTTCTTTCACGTTATCAGCAGGGAGGACGACTTGGACTGGTACGAAGCGTGCAATCCGCTCATCCCTAGTGCGAGGGGGTTGGTTCCCGTGTCCTTCTTTGAAGTGATTGGCAAAAACGAGAGACACAGCGCCGGATCGGTGGACCATCATAAGAAGAAAGAGCCGCACGACTCAGGCTTCTCCGATCGCGCTGCCTTCCCAAGTACAGACTTCATCAGCAATTCCTCCCGCAATAGCTTTCAACCCAGGATGTCGCAGTTGGGGAAGGGCTCGAGTGCCATGGTCTATGGCATCGTTCAATACGACTTCCAGGCCGAGCGACCGGACGAACTAGACGCCAAAGCTGGCGAGGCCATTATTGTTATCGCCCAATCAAACCAGGAATGGTTTGTCGCCAAACCTATCGGTCGCCTGGGGGGCCCGGGTCTCATCCCCGTTTCCTTCCTCGAACTTCGCGATATGCAGACAGGCCAAGCGGTCACAGACCCGCTTGAAGCTGTGAGGCGTGCCGGCGTGCCGAAGGTGGAGGAATGGAAGAAGATGACGGCCGAGTACAAGAACAGCAGCATCACGCTGGGCAAGATCGATTCTGCTGGTGGCTCGTCGATGCAGTCCGTCACGTCGAGCATGGACAAGATGTCCATCGGACGCCAGAGTCAAATGAGCCAAAACGGCCAGTCCCAGGTAAGTCACCAATGCCTCCCCCTTTTGTCGCATCCACGACTTGTGAGGACTGTCGCCCTAACCTTCCGTGCGATAGGGCTACCACACTCGCAATGCCAGTAAAGGGTCTCTTGTGCAACAAGTTTCGCACCAATCGCAGCAGAGTTATCACCAGTCATTGATGGCGCCTATCGCGGCGTCTATTCCCCGGTACTGCTTTGACAACGACAAATACTGGTACATCATCGAGGCCAAAATGGAGGACGGTCGCTGCTGGGAGTTGGCCCGCTACTACCACGATTTTTACGATTTCCAGATCGCACTGTTGACTCAATTTGAGGAGGAAGCCGGTAACCGTGGCAAGCCGCGCACGCTGCCGTATATGCCGGGTCCAGTCACCCATGTCACGGACGCCATCTCCAACGGCCGCCGACAGAATTTGGATGAGTATATTAAGAAGCTCTTGGCTATGCCGCCTCATATCTCCCGCTGCCAATTGGTCCGTCAGCTCTTCGCTCCCCGCCCCGGTGACTTTGAAATCGATCCGAACGCATTTGGCGAAGAGACTCGGTTCTCTGGCGGCTCGCATCATTCTTCGGCGCATGAGCCGTCACGGAGCGTGTCGCGCCAGTCGTCACAGGCACCGATTGCCGTTCACACAGAGCGCAACTCGCACCAGCGCGGTCAACCCTCCCTCTCACTTTCCAATGGCGCGCCACCCCCGATGAACCGCCAACCTAGCTCGTTAACGCAGGTGTCGACGTCGAGCGGCGGTGCCATGAAAGTCAAGGTTTTCTTCCAGGACGACCTCATTGCGATCCGGGTGCCGAACGACATCAGCCTTCAGCAGCTCAAGGAGAAGCTCACGGACCGTCTGAAGATCCAGGATGAAATCATGGTTCAGTACAAGGACGAACCGTCCGGAACGTACGTCGACTTGGCCACGGACAGTGACCTGGACACGGCCATCCAGCGGAACTCCAAGCTCACACTATATGTTGGACTTGCATAGAAGCGTTGTTTTATCACCCTCCGTCTATATCCCGATAGATCTGTCTGTCATTTTTATCAGTTTCTTTTGTTGTCCCAATATTGCACCCTTTTGTGGCGGTGCATCGGGTGTCCCGGTGTTATGGTTATTTTCCCTATTGTCTCTGGTCATCAGCCTCTGAGCGGTTGTTATTGAATCACGAGGTTGATGCTTTGACAAGAATGACATGTCTGAAACGTTTACGCCATCATGTACTCTTTGTTTGTTTTTTTGAAGCTGCACTTTTCTGTTGTGTGGGCCATGGCTGATTGTTTACCCTCCATACCCTGTTACTGTGATGTGCTATTGTCTTTTGTACATAAGTCTTCTTTTGCATATATATTCTAGCCGTAGGCTACGACACCTACTTGTTGACCATCTGCTTTTTGTGCCAAGTAGAACTTATGGTAGGGAACCAATTACCGTTCCGGTGTTCACACAATAAATGGATGATCCACTCGGCCAAATAAGGCTTTGTCGGCTCTAAATCTGGGGGCCGATCAGTTGCCGCTCTCCGAGTCACATGACAGACCATCGGAATGCCTTTTCTTGTTGCTTCGGTTCCTTTTCGCCGCGTTGTTCTGCTCTTCCGGTCAATATCGGGGCTCTTCAGAGGACTTTCTTTCTCACTTGCATACTTGCATTCGACCCGTTGAATCGAGTCGACCTGTACATACTTGTCAGCGCGTGCATTTCCGTTGCCCTCTCCAGTGTCCACTTGTCTGTCCCCGCTTCTTCGCCGCGTGGGCGCCGCACTTGACCGTCTCATTCGCCGAGTATTTGCCGACCGAACAACCTCGGGTTTAAGTCTCCACGACTTTGTCGCAACGCACATTTGATCAGACACACACCATTTTCCCATAGAGTTCTCGTTATACACAACGTCCATGAGCGGATCCTCGGCGAAACTGTGCGCGGACTACCTGCCCGGCGCACTGAGGGCTCGGGGCCCTCTTTTGCGTGCCGTTCCTCGGGGCACTCGCCGGCCTGGCGCCAGGGAGTATAGACGGGGTGCTCATGGCGCGAACAGCTCCCGCTATTGTCCGTCGGTGACGGCTTACCGGGTACTGGTCCGTGATACTGTCGATGTGAGGTTGTCGCAGGGCCAGTATGCGCGCCGCTTTGCGACAGCCGCCGAGGGGACTGCTGTGGAGGGTGATGCTGCAGCCGGGATGCAGGGTGGTCCGCTGGTGGAGTATGATGCTCGTGTACAGCAGGGTCGCTTGCGAGATGATCCGTATCAGAGACGTATGTTGGATGCCCATGTGAATTGGTTGTCTCCGGTCGAGCGGAGGTCTCTCTCGTAGGGGAGGGACTGAACTGATGGCTCAACTCGATTACACACGCTAACATGCTTGATTTACTATGAACAGAGATCATTGAGCAACTGCAGGACCTGTACGAACGACTGCGATCCTACAACCCCCCGCCGGTTGTCCAGCCAAGCATCGAATCCCTCGACCCCAAGCCCAAGTCGTTCTTCGGCTCGCTGTTCGGACGCAACGCAAAGCAGGAACTCACAATCCCCGAATCCCTCCCAAAGGGACTCTACATGTACGGCGACGTAGGATGCGGCAAGACCATGCTCATGGACCTGTTCTACGAGACCCTCCCACCGAACATCAAGACCAAAACCCGCATCCACTTCCACAACTTCATGCAGGATGTGCACAAGCGCATGCACGTTGTCAAGATGAAATACGGCAACGACTTTGATGCGCTGCCTCTCGTGGCAGCTTCCATTGCAGAGGGCTCGAGCGTGCTGTGTTTCGACGAGTTCCAGTGCACAGATGTCGCAGATGCGATGATTCTCCGAAGGTAGTACACCGACCAGCCTCACCCCAACCACAACCATTACTCACAAGCATAACAACAGACTCCTCGAATCCCTCATGTCCCACGGCGTTCTCCTCGTCACCACCTCCAACCGCCACCCCGACGACCTCTACAAGAACGGCATTCAACGTGAATCCTTCATCCCCTGCATCAACCTCCTCAAGACCGCCCTCGACGTTATCAACCTTAACTCCCCCACCGACTACCGCAAGATCCCCCGTCCCCCAGCAGCCGTCTACCACCACCCGCTCGGCCCAGACGCCGACCAGCACGCCCAGAAATGGTTCGACTTCCTCGGCGACCCCATCAACGACCCCCCACACCCCGCCACCCAAGAAGTCTGGGGTCGCAAGATCCATGTGCCCCTGGCCAGCGGCAAAGCCGCCAAATTCAGTTTCCAGCAGCTCATCGGCAGCGCCACCGGCGCAGCAGATTACCTGGAACTCGTCCGGAACTACGAAGCCTTCATCATCACCGACGTGCCGGGCATGAACCTGACCCAGAGAGATCTGGCTAGACGGTTCATTACCTTCATCGATGCCGTCTATGAGAGCAGGGTGCGTTTGCCCCCAGCCCTTTCCCCCCAAAACAATCACCCAATACCAATACCAACTCAAACTAACCACATGGAATAAACAGGCAAAATTAGTCCTCACCACCGAAGTCCCCCTCACCAACCTCTTCCTCTCAGCCGACGACGTCAAATCCACCCTCACGGACGGCAGCAACGACGACGGCGCGGACCTCTCCGACGCGATGCGCATGATGATGGACGATCTAGGCCTGTCGATGCAAGCGCTGAAAACGACCTCGATCTTCAGCGGTGACGAGGAGCGGTTCGCGTTCGCGAGAGCATTGTCCCGTCTGTCCGAAATGGGAAGTAAGATGTGGGTGGAACGCGGGTTGGGAGTGGGAATGGATGCGGATCATGGGAAGAGTGAACATGATGCGTATTTGAAAGCGAGGAGTCGCTGGTCGGAGGATAATATGTGAATTCTACCACCATCCATCCTTTTCTTTCCCATCTTTTACATGAAATTTAGAGAGGGGCAGATGATGTTGTTGTTTACTATTATCTAGATGGTTGGTTGGTTGTTGGTTGTTGGTTTCTTCGTTGCATATATACTTCCGCTTCTATACATACGTGTATACAGTTACAGTTGCATTTACAGATCATAGAGCTTGAAAATTATAGTGATGAATACATGTTTGCATTATTCATTTATGCAGTTTGAATTGTGTTGTTCACCATACAACTCTGATAAAGCTAAGTAGAACATGACGTCATCAACCAGGAACTTCAAACAAGCAAACAAGTCTGTCTATCTATCAGGGACAGTTTTAAGTTTTCTCCACTCTCAGCTGAGTGCTCCTGTCAACTCTTTTGATGAATTAATTGCCATTGGCCAAAAGCATAGGCGATGGCTCCTCTACGATGGAGACTGTCAAATGCAGGTAGTGACTGAGTGGACTCTAGTGCACATCACTGACATCATGAGTTCTTCTCTTCACACCGTAACTGTGGACCATTGACAGCGTTGCATCATGGTTCCGGTCCAGACTAGTCCCTGATCTACTAGGTATGACAAGTGCTTAGAAATAGAGGGTTATTATTGGGGTAACTTATTCTTGGTCGGGTTGGGGTGGATGGGTATTTAGTAGATAGGTAGTACCCGGAGGACTACTTCTTTTCATTATTGTATACTACCAGCGTGAGGAACAAATACTTCACCATGGCTAGCGAACGCTTCAACATGACCACCAAACAAGATGATCTCGCCCGAGACACAATCCAATTATCCGGAGTTCAGCCCATGACCACAGATTACGGGATCAAGATCTCGGATCCCGATCATTGGCTTCGCGTTGTTGATGCGCAGCATAATGGTCCTTCGTTGTTGGAGGATCCGATTGCGAGGGAGAAGGTATGATCCCTTTTTATATAACAGTTCCTCTGCTAGAGTATTGACTGACCAGTGCAGATCATGCGCTTCGACCACGAACGAATCCCCGAACGAGTCGTGCATGCCCGTGGTGCTGGAGCCTTCGGAACATTCAAGCTCCATAAAGCTATTCCCGATCTCTCCTCAGCCGGTGTCTTGAATGACACGGAGCGCGAAACGCCCGTTTTTGTGCGGTTTTCTACTGTCCAGGGAAGTCGAGGGAGTGCGGATACTGTTCGGGATGTTCGGGGCTTCGCTGTGAAAATGTATACTGCTGAAGGGAACTGGGATATTGTGGGGAATAATATCCCTGTCTTTTTTATTCAGGATGCTATCAAGTTTCCTGATGTTATTCATTCGGTTAAGCCGGAGCCGCATAACGAGATTCCTCAGGGTCAGAGTGCGCACAATAACTTTTGGGATTTTCAATATATGCATTCGGAGACGACTCATATGCAGCAATGGGTGAGTTTGTTTGGTTTATTTGTTCGATGGGCTGCTAGCTAACTGGTTTGCCAGGTCATGTCGGATCGCGCTATCCCTCGTTCGTACCGTATGATGCAAGGCTTCGGTGTCAATACCTACTGTCTTGTGAATGACAAGGGGCAGCGGCACTTTGTCAAGTTCCATTTCACCCCGGAGCTCGGGGTTCATTCTCTCGTCTGGGACGAAGCACTGAAGATCGCAGGTCAGGATCCGGACTTCCATCGGAAGGATCTGATGGATGCCATTGAGGCAGGCCAGTACCCCAGGTGGAAGTTCGGCATTCAAGTGATTCCAGAGGAGAAGAAGGATGACTTTGAGTTCGACATCCAGGATGCAACGAAGATCTGGCCGGAGGAACTTGTGCCAATCCAGTACATTGGACAGCTGGAACTGAATCGCAATGTTGACGAGTACTTCCCCCAAACCGAGCAAGTGGCTTTCTGCACAAGTCACATTGTGCCCGGTATTGACTTCTCGGACGATCCCCTTCTCGTTGGCCGCAACTTCTCCTACTTCGATACGCAGATCTCCCGCCTGGGCCCTAACTGGCAAGAATTGCCAATCAACCGTCCCGTATGTCCGTACATGAGTCTGGTCAACCGGGATGGTCAGATGAGACACCGCATCACAAAGGGCAAGGTGAACTATTGGCCTAACAGGTTCGATGCGAATCCCCCATCCTCTCCAGCCCATGGGGGATTTGCGACCTACCCTGAGAAGCAGCGCGGCTTGAAAGCACGTGCACTGTCAGACAAATTCAGCGAGCATTTCAACCAGGCCCAACTGTTCTACAACTCTCTCAGCCCCATAGAAAAGCTTCATGTCTCCAAAGCATTCTCCTTCGAGTTGGACCATTGCGATGAGGAGATCGTGTATAAGCGTCTCTCGGAACGACTGGCCGTCGTTGATCTCCAGCTGGCGAAGACTGTCGCGAAAAATGTTGGAGGCAACACGCCGACCAAGGCACCAAAGGAGAACGATGGAAAAACATCAAAAGGCTTAAGCCAATTCGACTACCTTCCTGACAGCGCACAGATTGCTACTCGCCGAGTTGCCATCCTGATCGCAGATGGCTTCGACCTCACGTCATACGGGGACATGAAGAGCGCTTTGCAGAAGCAAAATGCATTTGTGTTCACCATTGGATCCCAGCGCCAGGGTGTCACCTCCGAATCAGGTGAGAAGGTGATCCCCGATCATCACTTCCCCGGAATGCGTTCCACACTCTTTGACGCGACTTTTGTCCCCGGTGGACAGCACGTTGGTGTGCTGGCGAAGAACGGCATCGCTAAACACTGGATTTCCGAGTCATTCGCACACCTGAAGCCTATTGCTGGAGTTAACGAAGCGGTGGACTTTATCCGGAAGCAAATTGGTCTAGATGCGGTTAAATATGCCTCGGATGGTCAGGTTAAGGAGAGCTATGGAGTGGTGACTGCCCTTGGTGCACCCGCGCAGCAGCTGCAAGTATCGTCCAATATTGATAGCGAGAGCAAGGGATTCGTCGACCAATTCATTTGGCAGATCTCGAGGCACAGAAACTGGCAGAGAGAGTTAGATGGCTTGGTGGATGAGATCGCTGCATAGTTAAATGTCGGTCAACAAGTAGTTATGAGATAATGATTAGCGATTCCTGATGGTTGTCACAATATGGTTCGTAGTAAATCCCCAGTAAGTGAGAAGCTGGCAGACAAAATCACAATTGGAATAAAATGCCGAGATTGCTACGTCAGCTGCATATGATGTGTGACATGGGTAATGGTGTGAGCATGTCGGAGCTGGATGGCACAACAGTCTAGACCTTCACCCTCAGCATAGAGACTTGAGAGTAACATGTTTGCCTAGGTATAGACGCCCTAGAAAGGGTCCCTCACAACATGTTCGATCAGCCTGGTTTGTAAAGTTCATCGCATTCCAGCCCGGCCCGATTCTAATGTAAGGGGTAATAAGCCGGTAGCCTCACACCTGGCCGTGAGTACTTCTACAGCAAAAGGTCGTCTGGGCTTTGTCTCATTCTCATCTGAGGGAGTTCGGTATCATGGTGCTCAAAATATCACGCGCCACGCGATTGACGGTGGTGGTTGTCATCTCCTCAGCATTCTTTGTGGCTGAGATCTCAGGTTGGCTCCCCTTTTCCCTCTGCAGCTTACTTCATTGCAAGCCTGGCTGATGCGACCGTATGGTAGTCGGTTTTTACACACATTCCCTTGCTTTGGTGGCCGATGCCTTCCATTATGTATGTGTGGCCCATTGTTGCAAAGCGGTCACTTATAAGTCTAGTTGAACGACCTGGTCGGGTTTGTTGTCGCGCTCGTTGCTCTCAAGGTAGCCCACGGCACGGCCAAGAAAGTTGCAGCAGGTACTGAGTTCACTCCAGGTATCAGAAGCAGACGAATCACCGAAAGCCCTATCTTTTGGCTGGCAACGAGCCCAGTTGCTGGGCGCCTTCTTCAATGGCGTCCTACTCTTCGCGCTTGGGATTAGCATCTTCCTACAGTCCATTGAGCGATTCATCACACTCCAGCGTTGGTGCTCCGTCCTCCTGCCAAACTCATCCGGTTAATGTGCAACAGGTGTTGAGAATCCTAAGCTCATGTTCATCATGGGAGCCATCGGACTGACCCTGAATCTTATCAGCGCCACGTTTCTCCATGGTAATTCCGGCTTCAACAGCTAATGAGGCGGCCTCGGTAACTGTTTTACAGAGCATCACCATCATGATCACGGACATGAACCTAGTTCAGTGGCTCTGGAAGAGCTTCCTGTGTCGACGACAGATGACATTACAGAACTGGAACGACCAGAAAGCCCGAACGTTAGTACTTGAGCTGAATATACAGCATTCAGCTGGCTGACTTCTACTCTGTAGCACGATAACCATAAGCACCTTTCGCATGGGGCTCGGACAGCCTCTCACGGACATGACCTAGGAATGTTGGGGGTCTTGACCCATGTTATAGGCGATGCGGCCAATAACCTTGGGGTGATGGCAGCGGCCTTGGTCATATGGTTCACTCACTATGGAGGGCGATTCTATGCGGATCCGGGCACAAGCATGGGAATAGCCATAATGATAATGCTGTCTTCAATTCCACTGGGTATGTCCTTTTATGTTGGTTGATCCATGGATACTGAACCCAATAACAGTGCGGCGATGTGGGATCATCCTGCTAGAAAGCGCGCCTAATGGAGTCGACCTTGAGGATGTGAAGCATGATCTAGAGAAGGTAGGCCACACAGAGACTATGCTCATCGAGTAGCTTCTCACCATCTGGCACTTGGCAGATCCCCGGTGTCTTATCAGTCCACGAGCTACATATCTGGCGCCTAAACCAGCACAAGGCGCTCGCATCGGTTCATGTGATGGTATCCGATTGCTCAGTGCCGAGTTTCCTGAAATTGAGTAAGACCATCAACGAATGTTTCCACGCATACGGGATCCATTCCACCACGATTCAGCCAGAGATGGCTCATCCGGTGACGATCGCAGTAGGACGGCCGACAGTGGAAACAGAACGGGTTTCGCAGATTGAAATGTCTGAGAAGTGTCAGGTGATATGTGGGACATTATGTGAAGAATTGACGTGCTGTGGATAGAGGACATACGGTATTTGGATACAGGGATGATAAGAAAGTACAGGTATGAACGAAAAGAGGAGAAGGGGAAGATGAAAATACTAAAGATGAAGATGGCGAATGTCACGGGGAGGCCGGGTCATCTGACCTGGCTGTTACTAGTTAGTTTGTTAATATCCCATCACTGAATGCTTCTCTTCTTCCCTCCACTTCACCCATATCCTCTCGAATGATAGTTGATTTTCTTCGCTGTTGAACCGAGCCCCATTGATGAAATGTAAAGTCCATCTTTGGCCCCCAACTAGTATGCGGAACATATTCCGCCTGGTCGTTTAAACCTTCGGCTGTTGCTTGTGTGCCCACCTGTGATTCCTAGCAGATCTTCCCGGGTACTGACTACCAATGATTAATAGTGTAATAACTCCAGATAGGCAATGTCGGCACAAGACCTCCATTCAGCATTCATTTGTCAATTGCCGATAGACGCCATGGCCCTTGATAGGCAGGTGCTCGCGACCAGATAGATAAGAGGATCTCCACCCGAGGCGTATCTCCTCCCTGAGCTAGGAGCTGCAGCGCAGCTGGATGCATACGGGCTATTGATCGTGATTGGACTGCATTCCGATTCCGAGATGTAGACCTGTCCCAACTCCTCATTTGCCTTGTCATGAAAACCATTAGTTCTTTTGACTGCCAGTTTTAAACTGTGCGCACTCCCCACCTTTCCCATGCCGGTCACATCTCCTCTATCACCCAATTCTGAACCTAGTGCCCGCAAGCATCTTACACTATGTCACTCTCATGGGAGCTCCAGGCACAAAAGGCCAAGGACATTCTCCAACAGTCAATCCCCAAACAATGGCTCCTCCCCGCACATAAACTACCCTCGGCCGACCTGAAGAATGTGGAGGACTTTCCCCGCAAAAGCGGCCTTCTCTCGGCGAGAGAGCTCAGTATAACCGAGATGTCTGCCGCTACCCTAGTGCAGAACATGGGGGCTGGAAAGCTCACGGCAGAGGAGGTGGTCGTGGCTTTCCTCAAGCGAGCCGTCTTGGGCCATCAACTGGTAATGCTTAACTATATCTTGTCCAGGTTTCTGTGCGACTAATACTTGTGGTCAGCTTAACTTCGCTACAGAGTTCCTAACCGACCGAGCAATCGGGCGAGCCAAGGAACTTGATGAGTATTACAGGCGAACCGGAAAGCTAGTTGGGCCTTTGGTGGGACTTCCTTATCAGCGGTACCGTACAATCCATAGACTAATAACGCGCAGCATGGTGTCCCGATAAGCGTGAAGGAGCATGTTGGAGTCAAGGGCCGCACGTGTAATGCCGGCTATGTAGCCTGGTATGGCTCCATTATTCTTCAGACGCAGTATCAAACCCAGAAACTGACAGCACCAGGGTGAACGACATTGCAACAGAAGACGCCCTCATCATACAATGCCTCGAAAAGGCAGGCGCCGTCTTCCACGTACGGACCAACCAGCCACAATCCCTCATGGTACAGCTACATCCCTACCTTGCAGACAAGGGCCTTGCATAGCTAATCAACACGTAAAGCACCTCTGCTGCAGCAACAACCTCACCGGAACGACGCTAAACCCTTACAACCGCACGCTCAGTGCCGGTGGTTCCTCAGGTGGTGAAGGCGCTTCGACCGGCTTCAAATGCGCTCCCCTAGGTATCGGCACAGACATTGGAGGCTCAATCCGATGCCCCGCTGCATTCTGTGGCTCCTATGGATTCCGCCCGACAGCCCTTCGTAACCCATTATCAGGTGCAAAGGCACCCAAGGAAGGCCACGAATCCATTCGCGGCGTAATCGGACCTCTCGCCAGCCAGAGCGTGGAAGACCTGGACATCTTCCAGCAAGCCATCCTCGACCAAGAGCCATGGGATATCGAGACATCCTTGGTTCCAGTCCCATGGAAAAGAGCCAAACCCACCAAAAACATGACCGTAGCCATCATGTGGGATGATGGGTAAGCCATCCAACAGTCACACCAATGCATACAGTACCCTAACAAACACCAGCGTCGTCCGCCCTCACCCCCCAGTAACCCGGGCCCTCAACCACGCCAAATCCAAGCTTCAAGCCGCCGGCATCAAAGTCATCGACTGGGAACCCTACAAGCACAAGCACGGCTGGGACATCATCGTACGTCACACCCATCAACCCCAACCCCAACCCCATCTAACATACCTCGTCAAATCTAACCACAACCCCCACCCCCAGTCCGCAATGTACTTCCCCGACGGCGCCCTCAGCCAGCGCAAACTCATCGCCCAAACAGGCGAACCAACCCTTCCCTTAACAGCCTGGGCCTTCGATTACAGCAGCCCCACCCCCCTGACTATGGCCGAATCCTGGAACCTCAATGTCCAGCGCGACATATACAGAGACGAATATCACGCTTTGATGAAATCCAGAGGCGTAGACTTCATCCTCTGCCCCGCATACGCGGGCGTGGCTTCCGTTCTCGGTGAATCCCACTACTGGAACTACACGGCTGTGTGGAACATCCTCGACCAGCCGGCCGTGGTATTCCCATCTGGGTTGAGCGTGGATGCGCAGCTAGATCAATTGACCAGCGAGCATAAGACGTATAAGCCTCGAGATGAGGTTGATCAGCGCGAATGGAGTAAATATACCGGTCCGGAACGGTACGAAGGTGCGCCTATTGCGTTGCAGTTGGTTGGAAAGCATTTCAAGGATGAGGAGACTCTGGCTGCTGGTGCGTTGGTCGATGGGATCTTGAAGGGAGGAGCAGAACAGAGTACTACTACTACTAGATCTATGCTCTGAGTTCAGCTCAGTGTGGAGAAATTGAAGTGAAATCCGATATCCTTCATAAACTGATCGATCATTTACAATCCATTATATCCATCAATCATAACGAAACATAAATACATACATGAAAATCCCAATCATCCATCATCAATAAGGTCGTAAGGAAATGAGAAAAGGAAAAACCAAATAAACAAGCCTATCTCACCACCAGCAAGGAAGCCAGATCTGGAATCGATGCAGATAGAATATAGAGGGGTATACCGAGAGATAAAAGAGATGCATCACTTCCTCCAAAACATTGCCTTCCCTGCCACTCTCTTCGCAGACCACTTTGCCTCAGCAAATTTATCCTTGAAACTGACTCCGCCACCATACTTCAGCGCAGTACTGCTCCTCCCACCGCTCGAGCCAGAAACATGGCTCATATTCGCCAGATTACCCGCGTCGAACTTGGTCTTCCCCTCGACGATCTTCTGCACGACAAGCAAGATCGCATACGTAGTGGATCCAATGACACGAATAAGGGCTAACACTACCACGGACCACAGGATGATGGCGAGGTAGACGTTCGTACCGCCCGCGTCGGGACCGTAGACTTCGGAGATGGCCATGGCCAGAACGACGTTGGCTACCATCCAGATGGAGACCATGTATGTGCGGACGGCGCGGTAGTAGTCTTCTTGCATTTGGCTCTCGGTGATGGGGGTCTCGGGGACTTCGACGCGGTCGCGGAGGTTGCGGAGCGCGGCGTCGTAGCCGCTGTCGATGTCGAGTTGTTCGGAGGGCATTTCGATTTGGACTGTGGTGCCGTTGATGACGCGCGCCGCTCCCAGATCCATGTTCAGGACGTTGTCACCTTTTGTTCCCCAGGAGACATCGTGCGTGTTACAGAAAGCGTAGACCTGAAGGGTACAGATGTAGCTGGGTAACATGATGAAGTAGGCTGCTGAGGAGGTGAACATGTGCCAGGGGTCGAGGTAGAGGAAGGAGGCGAAGAAGTATAAGCCCACAGTTGACAAGAGGGACATGACGATGTTGACGAAGAGGCCGTCGCTCACTTCGAGATCGGTATCAACGCCCATTCGTGCTAGAATTTCGATCACCACTAGATACATGGTGCAGAAGATGGTGTACAACATGATGATTGAGTAGACGATGATGCCAGACAAGTATAGCTTTTTGGCACTGCAAAGGTTGAGGTTAGCTAGCTATCCATGAACTGTCCTGGTATGGATTACTCACCCTTGCGGTCGATTACCCATTGAAATGATGAACTGCAGACACATGACCAGAATGCAGGCATATCTCAAAATCACGAATATGTATTTGCCGATATGGTGACCAAACGGATCGATTTTGTCGTCGGTAAGTGAGCCAGCGATAAAGTAGAATACCAGGTAGAAGTTTGCCTAGTGATTAATTGAATGTCAGCGAGGTTTTCTCGGATAGCCGGATATCATAAAACCTACCAAGCCAAAGTACGTGAAGATCAACTGCATGAATTGATAGGCACCCTCGATCTGGAGGAGAATCTTCCGAGGTAGCGAGTGGTCCGTTTTCCAAAGTTGCTTGCCGTTGACGATAGAGTACACGGCCGCGAAGAAGGCACCGTTCAGCCAACGTCTTCTCTGTGAGATGAACTCGGGAATAGAGTCTAGCAAAATTGTTAGCGGGATTACATCGATCGCTCGTCTTCAAGAATTACCTGGCACGTCAGTTTCACCAACAGCACTCTTCACGAACTTCAAGACCCAGCGCTCTTCCCTCTTGGCTACCAACTCCCAGCAGAGAATACGATCTTCTGCCAGGTACATGTTGGCAGTAAACACATCTGCATCTTGTCCGTGTAGTGTTTCTCCCTTAAAGTACTGGTTCAGAGGGCCGTTACCCTCCGCGTCGTTTTGCAGTGCGAAGAACCGATACGCACTGAGCGCTCCGGGAAGCACAGTAATGTATCCGAAGACAGATTCCAGCGGCTTGTCCAAAATGTTGGACATCTTGTACTCAAAGTTCTGACTGGCAACCAGAGGGTTCAGAAGACCCAGCATACCCTTGCCTTTACCAGCTTTAATTTCACCAGCCGCTCCAGCGACGTTCGAGTTCTGGTCGAACGCTTTCCAGAGGTGATAGAGTGCGGTAGGCGCAGGTTTGGTACCCACATCCAGCAGGATGCAAATGTTCGGCTGTAGTGCTCGGCCAAAAGCGTTAAAGAACCAACGGTGTGAGTTCAACTTCTTCTTGTTGTGCTCCTTCAAACAGAAGAGCACCTGGCACGGCATGATTCCCTTCTCAGCACCCTTGAACTTCAAGTCGGGATCGAGCGACACTTGCGTTGTGTATTCGTAGACGTGTGCGTTGACCTGCTTCTGGTTGACGACGTTCTTGGCGATACCTTCCTGGTAGACACCCAAAGCCGCCAAAGCATTGAGGGTCCGCGGATGCACCTTCTTACGACCGTCGGCAATGATACAGACCACGATCTTCTTCCAACCATCCTTACCCCAGGTACGGGACTTGGAACGCGAGCAGAGATGGGTGATATTTTGCATCACACCATGCATAGTTCGAGTGAAGCCGATCTCATCCTCGTTATACATCGTGATACAAATCAACAGCTCGGTCTCACGCATGGTGCTGCCAATCTGTTGGCGCAGCTTGTAGCCTCGCTGCGTGAAATCATCGGGGTCACAGGTCACCGCAGTGTACCGCATATGGGTGAATTCTCGGTCATCCCGACGAGGCAAGAAAGAGTGCAAAATAGTTGGGATCTTGCACTCCAAGATCAGTTCACCGTTGATCAGTTGGACTTCCTTCGTGGACATCTGAGCCTCGCGAACACCTCGGCGGCTCTGCTTTTCGGGGGCTGGACCATAATGAATGTTAGGGTCCACCATCTCATCTGTTTCTTCCATTTCATCGTCCAAGTCGACTTTCGACATGGCATCCTTCTCATCTGTGATGATCGTAGACTCGCTCATAAAAGACTGCATGCTGGCTCGATTGTCGACTCTAGGGTCGATTGTTCGCCCACCACCACCAAATACATCATCGTCGCCCGCGTCATTAATCGGGATGTTCGCATCGTGTCCACCAGGGGCGGAGAAAAGTGGTGCTGGGGGCAACGGACGGCGAGGGCTTCCCCCATATCTTGAACTTGGGGTGCCCGGTCGTGGACTACCGTTGAGATCTGCACGTTCATATTGCGAGCTTGCGACCGAGGGCGGAGCTGGAGGTCTGGCCCAGTTCCCGACACGGTTTGGCGACCATGGCCGTGTGGGAGAGCCCGGACGAGAGGTATAGTGTGGGACATCTACCGTTGATGCTGCTGGTGGGGGAATAGTTGGTACATTTCCCAGACTCGATACAGGCCGGGAAGGAGACTCGGTTGGTTCATAAGGATAGTATCGCTGGCGTTCACTTCTGCGGTTGTTTTGAGCACGCGAGTTAGCAGACCGCTTCATAACCATCATTTCGTATATCATATTGAAGATAGCTGTGCCGGATGTCCATAGACATCCCAGATATACGCAAAAAAGCGGAGACGGTGTTGGCCAGGAAAATCACGGCATGCAAACTGACTGAGTATTTCTCAGTCACCAGGCTTGAGCTTTCCCCAGACAGCGGTTTTAACAGCATTGACCATGTCAACAAGGGGAGAGATGGTATGGAGCTCCACGCCGGAGGGCAGATACCAAACAAGGTCATCGGAATGCCAGAAGCCATAGCTTAGTGTGATAAAGGAAAAAGAGAGAAAGAAAGGCTACTACTTACTCTCCGTCATCGACAAAAGGATCCCCATAGTGGTACTCTGAGCTAACTCCCGTATCGGCACTCAAATCACTTTCTACAGTTGTGCTGGTGGGCAGCAATCGCATAGTAGCTCCATGCGCACGGGATGCTGCCGGAGGAGAATCATGTTCGGTGTAGTATGGGTCTCCGTACGTATCATATGCCGGCGGCTCCTCTTCCTGGTTATGCGCCGGCACATACATCCGCGACGAGTTGTTCATGTTTATCTGCTCGTAACTCAATCGCGCATAGTATCCGATGATCAAACGTGGTAGTGGCACAAAACGATTTCTCAGGTATCTGTGTGGTTACGGCCCCAGCGGTTACGATGACCTCAACTCAAGGGACGTAGATAGTACTGGTCTATGGATTCCTAAAGGTAATGGGTTCCACGGTTAGCACATCTGCATTGCCCAGACAATTCCAGGTCCGGGGTGATGGGGAATGCCACTTACTATCCACAGGGGGCAGTTGGTTGTCTGGTAGTACCAGTAAACAAACCAAAGTATGTCAGAGATCTGGAGGAATGTATCGGGGCAACCAAGCGATCGGATAACGAGTTGAAGAAGTCAAGTAGAACCTCGGATGCGAAATTCGAGCTTCCTTATAAACAAAGGTTGTGATCCACACCACAAGACGCACACACAGAGCGTCAAATACTGAATGATGGCAGGTGATAAAGTCAAACAGATCCGATCAGTTCCGCCCCAGGCACTTCTTATGAGAATCACCTTGGATACGGGCGCCTAAAGTGCCGTCGTAATCAGACTGCGCTGACGAACAGCAGCGCCTGGAGAGCGTGGATATCACCAGGGCAACGGAAGCTTGGAGGAGCGAGCGGGGCGACCATCCTTGCAGCTGAGAGACATCGCATGGATCGATTGATCGTGCTAGGAGAGATGAGGAATCCCATTGTGAATGGTCATTGGCTCTGTTTGTCATTGTGGGTGTCTGGTTCCTGGCGATGTTCCGGATACTCAGTTCTGGTCCTTACTTCGACTTTCTGGCCATTTCCTCGTGTGATTTCCACGGGTGAGATCCCGCCCGCTTTCCTCAGGCACCACCACCACCACCACCACCACCACCACCCCCTCGCCAACTGCATTTTCTACTACCGAACCGTGGAGCTTGGCTTTTATTTGCGGTCCGTGCGGGTTCAAGGAGCGCTGCACGGTCTTGGGACGCAATATAATCCTTTGATCACAGTCCAAATTGTTTAGTGCAGATTTACAGTTAGTAGCAATATATAACCCCATATGCTGTGGAGAACTCGGTCGAAAACACTATTACTACAGCCGATGCCACTCTCGTGTACCCGGATACGATGTATTCAAGCTGTGGCTCGCTTGTAGCTTGATCATGATAATAAATATAGAATGCTGATGAACAGAGTAAACAAATCATTTCCCCAACGACACTAACAATGTTTCCATCGATCTCACAAGATCCATCACCGCCATATTACATCAAACAATTTTAAAATCCCTACCGACGTTCCGTAAATAAGAACTCAGAACTCCTCCAGTCTTACAGCAGTAAATTAGTTGCAGTACTATCCGAGCACAACAATATTATTGATGGACAACCCCCACTAAGACCCGAAAAGAGACTCTGGAATTAAGCTCGACCGACTCACTGTTCAGTGACACCCTGTGTATGCAAAACCACCTGCTTTCTGACAAGCGCACAAGTGGCGTTTGGCGCATACTCTCAACTAGGCAGTTTGGGCTGGCTGGGTCGAATCGTTGAGCAACGGCTCCCTCTCGCGATCGGTCACCGCTGCCGGCTGTCCAGACCTGCGGAAGAAGATGTTGCGCCCAGAGTACTTTGTCAAAGAGATATAGAGAGACTCGGCGAAGAAGACAGCAAAGATCACAATGGCAAAGATCCACTGCAGGGAGATAATCTTGACGCCAAACTGCTTGACGGCCAATGCTGCATAGTTGTGTTAGCGCTGCGACGACACTTCTCTCACAAGATCCTGTGCTGATACATACCCAGCGTCAAGAGACTCAGACTGTAACCCAGAATGTCATCCTGAGTAGACAGGATGTGCGTAGAACCCAATGCGAAAAGCACCCAAATGAACACATTAGCAACAATCCTCGCTGGCAGGCTGTTGCTGTTCACAGCAACTGCTCCGTTCCAGAAGAGAGTGATCAGAGTCCAGGCATAGGGCGCTGCGACAGCGGCAAAATGCGCAAGAGGTGGCAGTGTACGATGCCGCCAGTAGGTCGTCTTTTGGTTCAGGAAGTGCGCAATCAGGATGATTTCCGATCCCCAGAAATGGTTGCGAGTCCATAGAAGGATCCAGGCAAAGATGAATAGATTGTTCAGAATGAAGTGCGACCCTACATTGGCGGCAGCGGTGGCCGTCACCGCGTCATTGGAGAAAAGATGGTAGACAAAGCCGATTTGAGACAGGAGCGTTATGATCCTAGAATAGCGCGTCGTAAGAATGGGTTGGTAGTCACAGAGCAGAGTAGGTAGCACGATTTATTGAAGCAGCCATATGAAGAAAGCCAGGTATAGTTACCAGTAAATACCAGAGATAACCGTGCTCAAGCTAAACGGAGTAATATGCTTGTTGGCTTGCTTCCAGATGGTATGGCCGTGCTTGACATCGGGGGCATGGGAGGAATAGTAGATGCCGACGACCACGACGAGCAGCCACGACAAGGGAACGAGGACGCGATAGGTTCCAAGTGAGAACCGGTCGTGCGACTCTCGCCTAGCGAATGGATTATCTGGAACATTTCACGGTCAGTGACTGATGAACAACGGCATATCGTAGGTGAGAAGTGTCTTGGGAATCAAGGGGGAGGAACTTACATGTCGACATAGCGACTGCTATGGATCAAGAGGTAGGGATGGTTAGGGTAATGGGCGAAGGAGACCTAGAATTAGGAAGAGCGAACTCTGAGCCCGACCGGGGGAGGGGGGAAGGACATCCGGTTATATTGCGTAGCGCAGCAGAGGTGAAGGATTTGCAGCGACGAAGCAGAAGCAGAAGAAGTACTTTAGTTAGTTGAAGGAGACTGGAGGATGTCATTGGAAGGAAGATGGCAGCTCCCCCGCATTGCCTGATCTCCTGACAGCCTTTCGCGTCTCTCACTGGCCAGTCTCCCAGCCATCACGGGACTGCCGTGCTTCCGGATGTCGTGTTGGGTAGTATTACTCGTCTCTCAGATGTTCTTCTTTGCTTAGCTCGTTGCTTGAAGCTGGTCTAACTACGGTATGTGGGGGCCCTCTTCCTTGGTTCAGCACAATGAGGTGACGATTAGTATCTATGACATCATCCCTATAAGGTATCGATCTCTATCCGAACATCAGAAGACGTGATAAAACGCTAACAGTGGTACACATGCAAACAAGACGCATTATAGAGGCACTGCAAGCTCCTGCCTTCCTTCCGTCATTGCCATCTCGTCATAAATGGTCCTTTCATGTCGTTGATGCCTTCTCCACGTTGTCGATCAGTGCACGGTCCTGTTGGCGCATGCAGCCGAGGGTCTCTTCCGCCAGTGACCAGCCAGACAAAGTGCAGCAAGAGTACCCTTTTCAAATGCATCTCCGCACAAATACGGCTGGTGTGTGTAGTTCGTCTTGTGGCAGTATAACAAGTAATCCTGGCCCTCACGCACGAACTGTCCTGTCAATCCACTTGGGAGCTGCAGAGCGAGGGCATACTAGTCCGTAGCCTTTCTCTTTCATCAAACACTAGGTGGTGCAATAAACTAGTGGCTCCGAAGAAAAAGCAAAAACCGTAAGCGGGGACTGTTGAGACAGCTCTTCCGCCAACCCATACCCCGGATTAACCGTTTGTCTTACATGATCTGTTTCACTGCCTCCACGAGCCGGCTGTGGATGGACGAAGGTGCAACGATCATTCCGTAGCAACCAGACAGGGTTCTGCCCAAGCTGCAGTCGACTGGATTACCCGCCAGATCGCTAACTGTACAACCGAGTTCTTCGGCAATCAACATGCCGCCTGAATGATCCCAAATCTTCGACCGATAAGAAGGGTTACGCGGAATTTTGATCATGACATTACAGCCCCCAACTGCGATGGCGATGTATCGCAGCTGCGCAGCCCAGAGATCTGTCGAGGCCGGCCAAGGTGCACCCAAATGCGATGCAAGGCGGGCATGCATGTTCCTGTCGGATGATGTCGCTGACACGCAATCCACAAAATCGATATCTGTAGGATCCGTAATCTGCGCCTTTGACTCGATCTTGCGCGAGGGGAGGAGAGCTCCCGTTCCCATTTGCCGAATAAATGCGCCTTGTCCGGCAACAGCGAATACCTGATGCCCGTAGCCATCTCGGTCGACAATGTTTTCATGGAGGCGACCTGTCTCCAGGTTCATATTCGGACAGCCCAAAACGCCAACCTTCTGGTAGCCGTTTTCCACCAGCGACAGACAAACAGCGTACTGCTGACCCTGAATGAAGGTTGCTGTGCCGTCGACGGGGTCCAAAACCCAGGCACGGCTCTGTTTGCTACAGTTGCCTTGAGCACCAAGGTCAATCAAATCAAGCATTTCCTCCTTGCTGCTTGGGGCGTAGAGCAGCGCATCGCTTTCCTCGTCCGACAGGCGGGTAGAGGAGACCAGCTCCCAAGTCCTGTCAAGGAGAGCAGGATCGGATCGAAGAGCATCTGAGCTCTCTTCGCCAACAAACTCATCGTCGGGGAACGCACGGTGAATGGCAGCGATGATCAATGCCTGTGCAGCAAAATCAGCAATTGTCACTGGGGTGGCGTCATTCTTGTCGAAAGACCCCTTGTCCACAGCTTCCAATAGCTTTTTCGTCAGGAGCGTGGCTCTCTGGACTGTGAGACAGGCGATCTGAAGTTCCTTTGCGTAGGGGTTGGTGGATCCCATGGTAGCCGTATGTACCGTACCACTCGATAAGAATTTGAGTTTTCAAATGGATATCTAGCCAGGATCCTTTTACGCTGAGATCTCTGGGATGCAGTTCGCCTCAATTAAGCGTTCTTTTCAGTCGCCTTGAAATCAACGATAGTTGGGGGCTCGGAGAAGATGTTGCAACGTCTTCCGAGATCACACACCGACTAATATCGGATCCAAGGTCTGATGGTGGGGTCTTCCTTGGAGGGGCACCGCCGGTGACGTAGGCGATAGATAGGAGCGACCGGCGAAGTTTTGCCAATTCAGTCAGAGCAAAGATATGTAGAAATTAGATAGTCTAAAGAGCGAAATCTCTCGAGTCAGGATCTGTTCTAAGGGGCAAAAGTAGTGGTAACAAGGAGGAAACAAAAGCAGGAATGACTCGAACATGAAGCCAGTGGAAGTGATCGCCCCGGCGGAGTGACCGTCTTTCTGTTTCAGGCTAGTGTGACTTAATCGAGTATAGTCGGATCTCCTTCGTTTATCTTATCGGGCCATTCTGCAGACTATCATCACGCCACCCATAAGGGTCACCGGTGTTTCGTTTGTTCGGAACTAATGTATGAGTCTATTACCGGTACAATGTAGGATGTTCATAATAGAAAGCCCAGTCGCAGGCCTGTTCTCGGATCAACAAAACCAATCCAATTAATGTGTAATATATAGACAGGGTTCCTTGCAGACACCTGACTTGAGATATCTATTCCATTACAGAAAGGAGAATTGGTTTGCTCTGTAACCTCATCCAATGCCACAATTAGATCCGACATCAGAAACCTGGGCATATATGAGCCTCGCTACTCAGCCAGAATTATCTGCTCGGTCCCGTAACAACGTAAAACCATGGAGAACATTAGAATGGAGCAAAAGCCAGCTCGTAAGCGAAGCCAAGGGTCAACCTCGCATGCTCCAGCATATGATCGAAGCTTAGATACCGGATGCTGTCATCAGTCGTATGGATCCTCTTGTTACTGTTCTCCATTTCGGACTCCGTCGCCATAGCTGCGGGATAGCCATATTTGCTTGCGGATGTGTGGTCCGAGCAGGCGTAGCCACATCTGGTTTCGATGTAGCCAATACCACAATACTTTGACAGCAAACGTTAGTCATATGTTTTTACAACAGAAAAGAAGCGAGAGAGAACTTACCTCAGTAGTGACATCCTTGAGGAATTGTGTCAGTCCCTCATCAACGTAGTCAACCATAATCCCGATGGCTTCTTGACGACCGGCGTCCAGAGCTCCCTGAGTATAGCCAGTCATATCCTGTTGAAGCATCGCCTTGATGTCACGCTTATCCCTCTTGTATTGAGAGAAGATGGCCTGCGAACCAAGCATACCACCTTCCTCTGCCGAGTACCAGTGGAATTCGATTGTGTTGGAAGCGTTGCCCCGAACAATGGCGTCTGACTGCAGCAGACCACGCAAAGCTTCGAGGATAGTCACGGTTCCACTTCCGTCATCATCGGCACCAGGTGCCGCTAGGATAGAGGGAAGGAACAGGTTGATGCTGTCCTGATGGGCACCCAGGACGACAGTTTTGTTGGTCTGGCCTGGGATGCGAGCAATGATACTGAATTGGCCCCATGAGTGAGCAAACTGCTCCACAGTCGCGCCGTACTCCGCTGCACCTGACTGCTCAATGACATCGGAAACCCTACTGTATAGCCACTTTGCAGACTCAATACCAGTAGACGACCTATAGTAGCGAGTGTGAAAGGAGGTGAACTTGTTGAGATTTTGCTCCATTTTATCCTTAGAGAGACCCCGCAGAAGGGGGACCACCTTCTCTGCATGCTTCATCGTGGACGGATAGTGAACATAGCTACCGGCATGCAATGTCGGGTAGAACCCGGTGTTTCGCTCTTCAGTAATATCGATGAAGTTAACGCCATCCTAACGAGCATTCAACGAGATATTAGCAAGATGTGCTATCGTGACAATAACGAAACAGGGCGTGTTGCTTTACCAGTTTCAGGTCCCACTTCTCTTCCTCAGTCACCCATCTCGTCTGATAGGGAGCCAGCTCGATCAAGAATTTCTCCTGATGGTGATGAGTGGGGGGATCTTGAGGGGTTATCAGCGGTTCTTGCTGCGGTACCACGGCAGCCAACACCCCCGTCGAAGCCGTTGCACCGAGTGCGAGAGCTAATGAGAGCTTCATGTTGTCTACGATAAGCTACCAGCTCAATAGATTGATGGAGAGAGAAGATAAGGATATAAGATGATGATCAATAATGATGATAGGAAATCAAATAGTACAGTTGCTGCTGATGAACCTCTGCACTGCTAATGAGTTGTCCAAGGCTGACCCGCCCGAATACCTTTCGGCAATTGATAAGGCCCCAAGGGTCACAGAAGGCCGAGGACTGAGCTGGGTAGAAGAGGAGGACTGCTTTGCAATATTAACTTGACCGGAGGACTGCTCCGATAAAATTCAGGATGATGTTATAGACAGACACGGAGAGGTCGAATTGGATGCAGCCGAACATGCAACCTAAGAGCTGAGACCCCCCCTTTGAGGCCGTTGCGTCAGAGGTGCGCGCGCGGCTTAAATAAGGAACACGCGCTGGTCGCACAACTCATCACTCCTCGACCGCCAAGGATGCCTGTGAGACTCCGATCCGACTCTCTGCTATCCCGCACTAGTGATAGATGGTCTGACTTGACTTGTAGCCGTTGACTCTTAAATGGTTCCTGGATTGAAATCAAGGCAGACTAGCCGCCCCTGGCAGCGGGTCCGTTTACCAGCCAGCCTGGAAGCACTTGCACTATAGTACTCTATTGCACCTACCTAAAACCACCAAGGAGAAAAATAGTCTTAGCATGCGCTCTGAGACAATGTCAAGGCAGACACTGCTCTTGTCGCATAAGCCGACCCTTGTAGCATGCCATGCTAATGTAGGTCCCGGTGTGCGACCGTCACGAGTCTGTGTGCCTGAGCCCGGATCATTGCTGACTGCCGCGAATCGTGGGGTAGGTACCTGAGGCACCAATGTTCTTCCGATGGGATTGCTCTCTACCTATCTAACAAGCATTGATAACTACCACTGGTGACTATAACGTCTTAGGAATTCACACTACGTTGGTAGGTTCGCGGTTATCTGGGGCTACTCCTTTCTGTTCAATATTCGATCTGATAAACAAAAAAGAGGAAAAAAGAAGGTGGTTGCCAAAGGAACCCACATATTGTTCACCGAAAGAGCCATGACTCTAAGAAAGCCATTATACGGGTGTATTGTTAGGGTCTTTCGCACGTTGCTGCTTTAGAGAGCGATTTACTAAGGCGCTCCACCTCGCCTTGTCATGAAGTGTATACACAAGCCTGGGTGAGGATATCTGAATGATAAGGATGACAATCCGAGGCTCCCATTTCCAAGGTTCAAGGGTTGTTACATCACCGCCACGGGTGATGCGGATAGACGCCTGTCGCGTGAAGCAAACGGCTCGCGAATCAGGGCGCCACTAGCAGTCACGATGACTCACAGAAGGTTCCTGTCTCAGATCCCATTCAGGCAGGTAGGGCTAGGGTAAGAGTCAAGAGCATCCAATGACCAGCCAGTGAAGATTCTCGTGCCCCAGTAGGAGTCAACTGGTGGATCCGAGGCCGGAATTCTCAGCGCTTACCGTATTGTACCGACTGGGCTCGACCGCCGAACGCGACCGGACTGCAGGCGGCGGTTATCTCCTCTTATCTGAGAGCAGGGCTTCCCTTCGTCCACCCCCCCGCCTCCCCCGATTCTTGTCGGTCTTCTCCAGAAATCACTGCCTTAGTGGTCTCTTCCTGGAGTACTACTTGATACCCTCGCCTCAGGCTGCGACACCCTTTCTGTGCTTAACCGCCCCCGTCATCCCGGTTACCCTGTCCCATAGGCCTATCCGTTATCGACACCCGTCCGAACCGCGTTGCGCTCTCACCATGGCCATTCATCCGAATTTCCCATCTGAAACGAATCCCAGAGGGTCTCTCTCACCACAGCAGGCTCGCGCCATCTCCGCTTGGACTGAACAGGCAGCTGCATCCTTGGAGAGTCTGACTCTCTCGGAATCAGTACCGATCGCCGATTCGAATGTGGTCTATTCCCAGTCCACTCCTACGCGCGCAGGCGTGCGCGGCACCACAGTCTCGTTATCAATTCCCCTAGATGACCCAGTACCGACAGTGGGAAGCCCTTCCGCGCCTAAGGTCAAGGTTCTAGCCCAGCCAACCAAGGAGACCCAGGTGGCGTCGGTGAGCTTCCGGCGCCGCGAGCCGCTTCGCCGTGATAGCCTCAAGAGGCGCGAAGCCTTGTTGAAGGGAAAGGATGGTAGTCGTCGCAGACAGCGTTGGGAGAATGGTATGTCTTGACATATCGGAATCACGCCACTGGCTGGGCTTCCGCGCTTCTCCTAGGCCGGGCATGCCTTTGTCTTTGCACTCGATAGATGCTGACAGGATGTGCTTTTTGCAAAGATCGTCTTCTGAACAATCCGTGGGCTGAGCCACCTTCCTCCAAGGATTGGGATATTCAAGCCACCCACACTCGTCACGACCCTATGCCTTACTACCTTGCACCTCTCTGGGACAACCACTATGCGCATTTGGACCATAGGTCATCCCAGCAGATGGAGACCCGGACCGAGAAGCATCGTGTTCCTAAGGAGCTGCGACAGAGGCTAAAGCATGCACGTGCGGCACGTGGTATACTTCAGGATATTGAAGAAGACATCAGACAATTCATCCAGCGATGGAATGAGAAGCAAGGTTTACTGAAGCAGGAGGGTCTGGCAGACGCCCCACAGTCATCCGACAGTGAATCTGAAGACGAGATCGTGTTTGTGGGTCGAAACGGCCTGATGCATGACTCGCCTCAGAGAAGAGAACGACTGCAAAAGATGCGTGAGGCAATGAGTGCTCATCATGAGCATGATGGGCAGAAGATGGTGTTTGAGAGCCTGGTCGACGACCGGGCAGCTGGATTCGGGTAAGTGTAGAATCATCTATCCAGAGCGTCGATCCATACTTACCGTATGTTCTTCCCTTCAGTCGCTGGCTCGTCCATTCCATCGCGTCATATTACGGCTTGCACACTTGGTCTGTGACCGTCGGGGAACCTGCCCGCCGCGAGGCTTATGTTGGCTTCTATCCGCCAGCCCCAGGCAGTCGAGCAGCACCCGTATCCCCACCGGCCGGGTCGAAGGCCTGCCGTCAGGAAGCGATGATTCAACCCGGCGACGAACTGCCTCAACCGCTCTGGACGCAGGTGTGAGCAGTTGGTCGAAATGTCCTTGAACTTCTGTAACCAATTCGGGTCAACTTTCACAATTTTGCAGTTCTACAGAGCTTCGATGCGTTTGATTCACGGCGTGTGTTTCGGGCTGATTTTCATAGTATCTCTTGTAATATTGGCGTCGATGGGATGTCTACTTACTGCCTGTGGGGATATAGATCCTGTATATAAGGTAGGATAGACCAAGACCTACAATTGATTTGGGCACATAGGGAAGGTGGCGACCCGCATGAATTTGTAGAGTAAATATTTTCATGACGCGATCATCTTCACATTACTTTATCCACTGTAAGACAGAGAAGATCCCTTATCTATGATCAATCTTTTCTATGCCCTCACCTACCTACAGAATCATAGCCCCTCCCAATTCTTCAATTCTGTCTCGAATCTTCCAAGCAGAACTGGATATGGGCACATATATCGGAAGTTTACAGAAATATTGCAAGATATATGGGGGGAATTCCCACCTTCCAGCATATGCTGGATGCATAGTCCACACACCTATGTATGCCTGGACCTTAGTAGTATGGCTGGATGAACCCTTTGTTCGATCTTGAAATAGCGAAGGATGAGAGATTTCAAGATACGAAAGGCGAAGTTCAGTTTACTACTAATGGCAATGTGGTGAAGTAAGTAAAGACTTCCCTTTCAGTTCGGCTCTCAACTCACTGGCCATAAAATATCATATCAGTACGTATGGCAATTTGGTATACTTTAGTTGGTACTAATTATGCAGAGGGCAGTGAGAAATTTATATATATATATATACTTACTAGAACTACTAGTCTCGCTGTGACTAAGGATAAAACAAGCGTGGTCAATTGAGCGGATGTATTTATCATAACGAGGCTGGGGTCTAGTAGTAATATATGTAGTTGTATGTAAATATGTAGACTCAATTCCAAATTTGATGGAATTGATGAAGACACCAGTTGGTAGCCTTGGGAATTGATGGAGACTCTCATCCCCTTTTCAAACCCACAGTTGTGTGGTATGCGTAGTAGTAGTGCCGGGTGATATAGTATTTATACTACAGTGTCTAGAGTTTGATATACATATTTGCATATTTTATCTGTTTCATGATGCAGGTAAAGTTCATTCAAAAAGGGGCATGGAAAACATGGAATTCTAGACAGTGAGATTCAATGCTATTGAATATGATGTCAATCGTCAGTACAATTGCTGGAGTGAAGGCACTCAATAGACTCTCATCAGGCAGGCATGTTATGTTGATGATGTCTCCGGGTGTGACTGTGACGTATTGGTATGTACCAGCCAAGTCAATAGTAGATAGCCCCTCCTCCTCCTTCTCCATCTGTCCCGCCTTTGACATACCTGTGCTGATTCATGAATTGATGGGATGGCCAAGGCAGAAAGCCAATTGGCAATATCAGTGCCAGTGGCATTGTTGGAATCCTGTACCACCGTCAGCCGTCAGCTTACATGTTGATCTACGATACCGGTTTTAGGTCGGTCCGGTAGTTCCGGGTCTAGATGGTCTAAATGATGCTGCGATGCAGCGGGCTGTCACTGAGAGAGAAAGAGTATGGCATGGTTGCTGTTGACAGCGTGGATATTGCGTAGGGAGAGGATACGGGAGATGTTGAACACAACAATTGGGGGTGACGTATTATGCAAAGACAGTACTTCTTGTGTTGATTCTGCAACAGCAGATCACTTCAAACCTCGGGTGCATGTATGGTGCAAGGGACTGGGTATCATCTATCTGCTAGTACTACAGTGTAGTAGTAATGTGAATTGCAGCTCACTTACCTGGTTAGGAAGTATCCGCTGGATGCTTAATTTAGTAGTAGACTAACTGACTGCACTGATGCCTTGGTGTCGCTATCTCCCGTGCGCACAGTGAATTGATTGGCAAGTAACGGAAGAAAGATGATCATAATTTCAGGTGTCCATTTAAGCGACTGTGGAATGTCAAAACATCTCCGATTTTGCGATGGAGAAGGGAGAGCGAGAAGAGAGGAAATACTAGAGGCATCCATAGACAAGCGAGGCAAGGGCACTGACCGCGCCCCACTTGGGAAGCCCCATCGTTGTGGGGGTCGTCAAGGAGAGAAGCCGGAATAGGGTTCGTGTTTGAGTTTTTGGGTGGGAAAAAGACAACACAGAAGCCCCCCAAGCCCGGAATCCATCTCCCCACGTCTTCGCCTCCAAAAGTCGCCTCTTCTCACATGTAATCCCCGGTGATCTGTATATCTGAGGTGTCGCACCACCTTTGCCCTCAATTTTGCTGGCTATGTGGCGAGATTGATCGAGATGCCTGAAGGGGAAGACAGAGTGAGCAAGGGCGATTATTCATTCGGTCCGATCCGAAGAGGCGACCCCAGTCGGTTCCATGGTACTGTTTCCCACCGTTGGGTCACTAAGTACTGTATAGTCAGGCATCGATCTGATAGATGTTGTGGACTTGACTTGACCACCATTGGTATTTCCCTGGTACCTCGTTTACTTTTTACCTCCTTGTCTCCGGTGACAAAGTACTATTTTCACACTGCAAGAAAAAGAAAAAGCTAAGCAGACGAATTGTTTGTTGATAGGTTGTCGGCAATTCTCCATCCAGCGTTCGGTCAGCAATGAACATTTCCCACTCGACACCGCGGGCGAAGCACCAAGTAAGTCGCCGATTCCCTGCAGGGACAACGCCCAGTCTGCGCCGGATCGTGTCTTCCGTCGACCTTCTTGCTGCGATCTTAGCTATACGGTAGAATTCACATATAATCAGGCTTTGACTGTCTTGGGCTACGGCACCAGTCAGGAAATGTCCGCATTTGGGAGTCTCGGAGAATATCCTGGACGCACAGGAGAAAAAGGAAAAGACCTGCCGAGAAATGCCTTTGCAAGGGAAAGGTAACTCAAGATAAGCAGTATAAACCTTGTCTGGGCGATTCTAGAACCTCGTGGTCGTAGCGGTCGGAATAAGGCACGAGTCATCCCAATTAGGCTGATGATGTAGCAGCCATAGTCTGAGACATAACAATGATGCTTGGGGCTCTGTAGATGCGCATGGACTGTCTTTGCAGTTGAGGTCACTTGGTAGTAGTAGTAGTAGCACTACCGTCAGCCAAGGTCTCAAGGGCAGTTGAGTCAAGGCTGTAGGCAGAATCCTTGCTGATCAGTCAGTCTTGCCTTCGAAAGAATTGTGTACCGGCTGGATCTGCTGATTCCGAGAACAACGAGGATATTGCCAGCATCACAAGTACAGCATCACCCGCACTATTAGTGTGGGCGAGGAAGAGTAAAGCACAATCTGAAACTTTGTGCTGTAGATAAAGTTTAATGCTTCGTCCCATTTTTTTTTATTCTTCCTTTCTCTCTATTTCTTTCCTTTTCTGCTAAAAGGAACAAATTCCGATGACCAAAAAGGGTTAAAAAGAAAAAAAGGAAGCACTGGGTCAACCAACAGGAATGTGAGAGGGAGAGAGAGCAGTGAGAGATGGCCAAGTCAGTCAATCCATCAGTTGGCTGGTTGGTTCTCCGCTGGCCGACGTGGCTGCCCTCGCCAGGCGTTCATTTCCCATCCTCCATTCCGTGCTTTTTGGCCTTTGGCTCTCTTCTCTCTTCCGTTGCGACGGACTTTCTGCGCCACGCGCATTTCCCTTTCCCTCCCACTCACTTGTATGTTGGTGGGAGGATGCCGTGTGTCATCTCGGTCGCTTCATACCCTGAAACCCTCCCTTGTGCTGCAAAGCCTGGCGTCATCTGCTATGATCCACGGCCCCCTTCCACATTCTCTCCATTCATTCGCTTTCTCACCCCTCTCGGATTGTTCCAGGGCTGAGTTCAGTTCACAGCCTGATCTTGACCTCGGATTCCTGCCCGCTCTCTGTCCCGATTCACGATTACTGTTCCTATTATTATTATACACCCGTGTTTATTCTTACGCCAATTCCCTCCCCTCCAATCCCTCTCTCCCACCCTCTCTCTATCCGTTCAATCTCGCCTGTCCCTGCCGCCGAAACACCCTCCTCCTCTTCATCTGACCCAAAATTATCCTGCTCTTGGATGAATTTTGCCTCATTGTGCACTGCTTTCCCCGAAATCTCCTCACGTACGGTGTCTGAGACGGCTGGGGCTGCTTCTTGTACGGGAAAAGTTGTTTGGACCACGAGATCAGGCTATGATTGAAATACAACATATTTATCCCTACCTCATCCTGTGTGCTTGACTCGCTACCACACTCTTTGAATTTCCTCCTTCCCACCCCCTATATGCAACTTATCCCTTAAGCTTGCCTGGATTAGGATTAAAGTGCTACTGTCGGATCGGCTCGGGTATCGAAACAGTCTCTTGTCACTCTTCGACCGGCCAGAGAGATACCCAAACTATACGCCACCATCCTTGCACGCCTGCTTGGTTATTATCGCTTCACAACCTATCCGACGGCTCCCTATCACATTAGCGCCGTCATGGGATCCCATGATGCATCGTCATACCGGAATGGTTCGAGGACCGGTGGCAGTTCCAGTTCCACTAACAGTGATGTCTCGGAACGCTCGAAAAGCACGGCCCCTACGATCTACAGCGATCGACCCACTCCCCTTCACAGAGGAGGTATAGACATGGACATTTACGATGAAGAAGAAGATCCTAAAGCCTCGGTGTCGACCTACGCCTCTACCATCCCGTCGGAAGATGATCCCCCAGAGACCCCGCGCTACGAAGTAATCGACCGTCAGCTGGACGTGTTCTCAACAGATGTTGTCCCGTCCGACCCGTCGACTTTTGGGCAGCTATTCCCTTCCTCTCGACGACTCCTGATTCGACACGACGATGCGACACTCGATGGAAACATGAACCTCCGCGTCGACACGGTGGTGCCGCAAAGAGGTGGATATCAGCAAGATGTAACTTTGTTTCATCTTCGCATGTATGACCTGTTCACGCGAAAGTGCTCCTTCCGACGCTACTGTCGAGATTCTGGGCGGGAAGTGTGCCACTCAGAGCGACGGCCTGTCGCATCGAGTTCGGACAGGCATCCGGTGTTTCGACGGTCGTGGGGTAGTGTGCTGGCTAGCTTGCGGCCGGGTTCAAGTGGCCACGGATCACTGCCTAGCCACGAGCATAAGCGCCAGGACTCGGGCTATAGGTCGGCAGAAGATGATGAAGAATATTTCGAGGACAAGCACTCAGACCACAGAGGTGGCGGGGATCGCCATTTTGTGCTAACCGATAGCACTTTACTGGAATTTTCAAATTATGCTCACGTAGAGCTGAGGCGCCGAGGTGCAGGTCTCTCCAAGCGATATGAATTTGAGTACTGGTCGACACGTTACCAATGGAGACGCGAGTGCCGGAAAGATGGAGACTTGCGCGAAGTCTCCTATCACCTGGTTAACACACGCACGTCCAAGACCGTCGCTCATATCGTCCCAGAGATCCTGACCCCGATGGAGGCAGCTGAGGAGGAGAAAAAGGGAGGATGGGTTCCACCATCATCCATGTGGATCAGTGACCCGTCAGTGTATGAGAAGATGCCCGACGTCGCCGAGTAAGTAATTCAATTCACCTCTACTTAGTGTCGGGTCGCAGGTCTTTCTTTTTAGAGTTTGGGGCTGACTAGTGTACAGTGTGTTTGTTGCCACAGGCCTAATATCTTTTGTTGACGATTGCATTCGCCGCCGATGGCACACGAAGAGACCGTCCCAATTCATCCAGCCGATGCGATCAACCCTTTCGAAGAGTATTGAGCTCATGGGTCCCCGGCGATTTCTCGATGAGGTGTTCCACCGACGAGGGTCCGCATAAAGAATGATAGGCTATCGATGAAGGAAAAACGGATGGTCAAGGGCGACACGGCGGCAACACGTCATGCCATCGTGTTGTGAGGGGAAAGACCGGTTTGCAACCGGCGCAGTTTTTCATTGACAGGGGTCGCTAGCCGACCACTTGGCTCTAACGACGATAACGACCGCAAATGATGATGGGATTTTCTTTTTCCTTTTTTACTTTTTCCTATTTCTCATTGGGAATTGGCAGGGGGGGTGGTGGTTCGCATTGAATTTTGGTTGGCTCATGTGCTCTAAATTTTTCTTGTTTACTTCTTCTTGGTATTTGCGCAGCTGAGGGGAAGAGGGGGTGGTACATTTGGGCGGTTGCCGGAAGGACAGACCGGCATGATTGGCGATGATGTGTTACAGGAACCGGAGGGTCGTGCAGGTTCGGATGAGGGGAGGTGTGTGGTTGACGGTGGTGTTGGTGACGGTGGTAGTGGTGGTGGCAGTGGTGCTTGCTGGATGTAGTTTAGTAGTTACTCACTACCTAGCAGTACTTACTAGTAGTAGTAATACTAGGCAAGCAAGTGGGTGGTGGTGGTGTGAACCTGAGTTGGCTGCCTGTTTCAGCCTCACCTTTTTCTCTCTGCTGGCATCTTCCTGGTACTATTTTGAATTATGATCAGCATTGATCTTGGGGATGACGCTTGCGCATGTCAATTTAGAATGCTGCATATCTCATGAACCTAATGCCTAGCCAGCCAGCCACCTTGGACCTTTCTTTCTTAATTATTCCAGCCAGCTAGCTAGCTGTCGACTCTTGCTGTCCGGGCCGGGGAACAGGACCCGCGATTATAGTTCGTTCCTTGTCTGCCTGACTTGTTCAACCCCTGGTCTGGACCAGATCAGATGGCAAGCGAAGAGGACAACATGCATGATCTGGCTAGGCTTGAAAGGGGAAAACAATTCAAAAAAAAATATCCAAGAAGAGAGTGCTGCTGTGCTGATGAATGTACACCAGAAGAGGGAAGTGACGGCGTGGGTGGCAGCCAGGTACAACACACTCCCCGGGTACTACTAGGGATATACTAATCCAATATGTTACGGAAAAAGTGACATTATCACTGGAAACTAGATAATAACTTCTTCTATTATTCGATACCATCTTCTCTACTACCACTGCCCAGCAATCGTTCTAATACTCTACTCAACTCCATCTCCAGATGAAACTCCGCTCCAAACCACGATGATGCGGGGCAGATCGAGGCTCGTCGCCAAAAAAGAAATGCAACGGCGCGTCGAATCAACGGGCTGGTCGCCGCCTCGAAAAGCGGTTCGTGGAAACGTTCCAGCCTTCCCCGTTGTTTGGCGCGCTGGTTATCAATCTTGCTTGCTTATGCAGGTTCTTCATCACTTTCCACGATTTCCTTGCTGCTTCCAATAATCTAACAGAGAAAAAGAAAATAATTAACACAACACCCCCCGGTCTCTTTTCTCCCACCCCCTCCCCCTTCCCTTCCCCCATTAAGGTGGTTCGCAAGTAGTCGCATATTGCAAGCGAAGAGAGATTGAACTGAAATGATGCACGTATGAATGCCCAACACAATGCCAGAAGAAAGCAACGAATCATGGCATCTCAACTGCCGGAAATGGTCTGGGTCAAGCATACCCAGCTCGCTCTTCGCTGGCAATTTGTGTCTCCCTCAGAGTGATTCCGGTGCACAAGCTGGCCTTCCCAACATTGTTTTCTGTTTCCAGACCCCTGCTGAAGGTTTCGCTTCTTCCCCCTTCCGGGTTATAGTGATGCCATCGAGTAAGCTCTGGCCACCCTGGAATCTGCAGCCCCCTTCCCGATAACAAGTACCCATGCAGAGCGGCCCGGTCAATGACCGTTTCGTTCTAGGGCTGAGGGTAACCATTTGATGGGTCTAAAAATTGACAATGGCTCAAATTTTTCTGATTCGAGTCTTTTTGATGAGCTGGCACGCTGGTCTTTGGGCCCGCTTCCAATATTCTGAGTGGCCCAACTGGTCGACATAAAATTATACTCTGGCTTCGATTCGTCACTATTCGGTCTATGGGTCCCCTTCCTCCGCTTTTGGGCAACTACTAGGCCTTCTCAGGTTCCCCGTCAACCGTCCCATGCCTTCCAGAAAGAGACGGTCCTCCTTCCTGAAGAGCGTCTATGAGGCGAGTGGCTTGTTCCTACCCGATGTATACATCGTTTGCGGCACAGGAGATACAGAACTCGAGCCACGATGACCGGGAGTCCAGGCGTCCTTTCTGAGTTGTCAAACAACACTGGCTGCGAACTGGCAGATTTTCGGTTTTACCCCCTGTATCACAGCTTCATTTCTTTGTCTTGGATTATCCCCCATCAAACCCCCCCTGTCTGTCAGTAGATCTGGCCTAGGTGGAGACTAGCGGTCCTATTCCCTGTCTCCTGGCGTTTCTTCAAGGGCACACATTCAATCGGCGTGCGCCGGCCCGTTCCAGCTTGCAGCCTCAAAATGATCCGCATGTACTCCATGCAACTGGCGTTCCCTGAGTGGAGGAGGATAAGGAGGGGGAGAAATTGCTGACACTGTGCCATGTCCACATCGGCATGCATAAGCCCGTCCGTTAGGTTTGATGATTAGGTTCCGTGTTTGTCACGCCAAACTGGTCCTGCTTGCACAGTGACATTTTGGGGTTTGGGAGGGATGGCCCACAGTTTATATGACTCCCCGCTTCCCAGGTCTATCGACGCTGTTCGATTGAAAGGGCAGACCAGTTCGCAAACTCCCCCAAGCAAAGTCAAGACGAAGCAACATAGCCGGGCAAAAATTTTCTATCTTTTCATCTTGAACCCTCATTAGTCCTATTCATTTTCTACTTTGACAGATCTGACCATCCATTGGTGTTGTGTGGTCGAAAACCCCCCTTCCTATTATTTTCAATTACTCAGGGTGTGAAGTATTGTCTGCCGTGTGAGAGAGTTTTGTTCTCCAACCGTTGTGGGATATCGAACCCAATTCAGATCTGCGCTTTGATTTCTCTTTGGTGAAAACCCAAAGCCAGTCATTCTTCTCAATTGTTTTCTCTACTACGAAAACACACACACACACACATCCTTCATCATGGCTACCAAGACTTCGCAGGCCGCAAAGGAAAGCAAGATATGGCAGGACAGACTTAAAAGTATGCCCCACTCCGCTGCAATAATCTTCCTCTCTGCACTTTCGACTTAGCCGTTACGGCGGCCCCCTTCTTCGTCCAAGTCAACTAACCCTGATTCCCTCGCAAAGTATACTGCCTGGAGAACAAATTGGAGGAGCCGTTTTACAATTACGAATCTGATCGTCGAGGTGAGAAGCCCTTCCTTCCTTTCCACCCCCAAGCCGTCAACCCTCCTGATTACCCCTCGTTGTTGGGAGTTCCTTGTCCTTTCCTTGCCCCTCACTGCTTGCTGTTGCCCACAGTGTGCCTGTGATGGCGAAGCTAAGCTCTGCTTCACCGACATTTGAGCCTCCTCATTTCAAGCAAAAGGTCTGGTTATACTGACGGATGTGTCGCTGTTCAGGAGGTCGCACAGCTTGGACCTCCAAGGTCACCGTTCGGCACCATGTCCCGGGAGTCCCGTGGACGATTCCGGGACGATACTTCTTCGATGGTGATAACAATGCCCGAGAAGATGCTGCTGAGGTCGCTTGGAGGAAGTTGACCAACAACCCTTGATGTTCGTCGAGAGGCTGTATTTCTAGATCTTGTCTGGATGTTCACCGGGAGAATGACTCATGTCTCTCTCCTCTCCTTCCCTCTCGTCTATTCCGGTTCTTTTATGATTATTTTATTTCTACGCCCAGTTTGCTTGTTATGTACGACGCCATCCGGATTGATGCCTACTCCTCGGGTCTCGCAGATATGTACAACACTTCGGATGTCGACAATTGACCTTTCCCTCTTCGTTCTCGAGACTTGTTTGCTCTTCCCCCGCTCGATTCCTTTGATTATTTTTCAACGCAGAATGGCACGACAACGGTATGGGGTGGATTGTGGACATGGGCGAGGCTCACTTCCTGCGGGAAGAAGGTTACCGTTGAGCGGATGAACCTTGGCCCCTGTCTGTTCTGCAGTGTGCCCTTGCCGGAGTCGGCTCGGATGGTCCGGTCATATTGATTTGATTCAATCCGCAGGCGGCGAGCGCATTTGACAGTTCTGTTGTCATCTGCGCCAGTTCTTTAAATCCGACAGTCGGGCCCCGAACGAATGCTTTAGGACGACAGAACAGATTCGTGCGATGTGCGAGCTTTTTTGACAGTTTGACCGAGTCAGTTTTGAGGCCTTTATTCTCTTTCCTCCTTCATCATGGTAGCGGTTCATGCTGCCGGTCTTTTTTTTATCTGTTACTTTCCCTTCCTATGCCCGCTTGGTCATGAAGCAGAGAGGCCCCCATCGCCCATGCATACTGGACAAGCGATCGTCAGTGCAGGGCAGAAGCGACTTGCTGTGCGATAACTGAATGCTGGCAGGGGAGGGTGGGAATTTGACAAAACAACAAGAAAAGAAAAGGAAAAAGAAAAAAATATTTCTCTTTTTTTCCTTTTTAGTTCTCACAGCGTTTATGGGCGGAGTTGAGGGAACTTCTCGGGAATTGTTTTCTTTTCATCTATTCCAGACCGTTGTGTCTTTCTTATTTTTGGCGACAGTGCCTGGTTGGGAATAGCCCCTCCATGAATTGGTGTAGAGACTAATGTCTGCCGGGGTTCATTTTTCTTATTTTTTATTTTCACAGTTATCCCATCTACTTTTGAATGAAGTCATGCTATCAATCTAAATTTTTGGTTTATTTTTCTATTTGGGAGCCGAGCAGTTCCTCAAGACCAGCCCAGTCAATCAGTCAGTCAGCGCTAAAGTGAAGAAAAGAAAAGTGGGAGACCCTCAGGTCCCACCGCCAGTTCGGGAGTTTTGTCAGACGCGGAAATATCCACAGCACCCAAACCCCTGGGATGCCAGGCCTGGATAGTGCTTAGCGGGTGGTGTTCAATAGTGGTTGCTGTTCCTATAACCCTCCAGGAGAAGGGAGGAAACCTTACTTTTTCTTACCTACTGGATATTGGCAAACCAGACCTCTGGTTTAGCAACCCGTCATGGCCCTGAGCTTAACCTTATTTCCTTCACGTGTTGTGCCCGCCCGCCCGCCAGTCTCTCCGGTTCCATGGTTCGCATGCCAATCATTCATTTATTATTCTCCGTGGGACCCGCGCACCCTTCACACCATACGGTAGATGGCAATGAGGTATGGTTTGCCATGGTGTCTACTATCTACTTTGGGAGACATTTTTCTCTGCAGAATTGGGGCACGGTTGCTCCAATTGGCATCCACCGGATCACTTGTTTTTGAGTTGGTGAGAACTAACTGCCTTTTTCTTTCTAGTCCCTTTTGCTTTTTTTCTTTTTCGCACTAGCATGACTCGTTCACCGTCCTACCTCGAGAGACTTGGCCACGAATTACTCGGATTGCACAATTGGCGACTGAGTGGTGGAATATATCTGAGGAATACCTGGCAAGTAATGTGGTAGATATGAACAATTGTTGCTGGTGAGTATGTGTCTCCAATACAGGAACTCTAACCAGATTGACAGAATCATCCTAACTTCAATTATATACTATTCATGATATACTAACCTGACAATTAGCACGCAGTCAATCCATCAATAAGCAAACCTTTCACCACCCTTGGTCGCCTTGTTCCTCCATCCATAATACAGTCGCAGCAGAATACACCCCACCGTGACCATCAGCAGCAGCGCCGCATTCGTCCAATGTCCCGTCGGATAACCCTTCTTCTCCTCGTCGGATTTGTATATCCATACCCCTACGATTTGTCCCGGCGCCCCGAATGACACGTTCAATGCAATAGCTAGGCCGGTCCCTGCTGTGGAGCGGATATTGGCAGACAGCCAGCCGAGTAAGGGCGGAATGCAGGCGAAGGAGCCGCTTGCTGCGACTACGAGACATCCGTATCGGTGCTGTTGTGGGAATTAGTGGATGATCTGGATAATGGCTGGATTGGGTTGAATGCTTGCGCGTACCAAGTATGCGTCTGCGGGAAGAACGGCAGATGCGAGGAAACCCATGGCTCCGATAAAGGCAAAGAGGGCGGAGTGCAGACCACGGCTGTGTTTCGGTTCATATATCAGTATCGCCCTGGTCTGAAGCAGGTGACTACATACCTGTTGAAGTGGTCGGCGGACCATGCGACGACTGTAGTTACCACATAGGCAGCAGCCCATGGCGGTACTGTCATGAGCTGGGCCCGCAAATCCGCATACCCAAGGCCACTGACGATGGCAGGGGTGAAGAGGGAAAGACTGGAGAAGGGGGTCGAGATGCCGAAATAAACCTATACCAGCATTGTTAGGGTCTGTCGCTGATATGCACTGGGAGAACTAACTATATAATGCGCGTATAGTCTCCAATCCGTCAGGATCTCCTTTGCCTCTTCCCAGCTCATAGCCTTCGCCGCTCCATGAGAGCCTTCCTCTTTCAATCGGTGGATAGCAAGATCCTTCTCTTCCGGGCTGAGCCACGACGCCGACTCGGGATAGTCAGGGAGGAAGAACCAGACGAGAAAGGCCGAGGCGCACGATGGAGCGCCTTCGATGATGAACAGCCATCGCCATGCTGATAGCCCGCGGACCTCGTTCATATGTCCTACGCCATAGGCAATGGCACCGCCGAAAGCACCCGCGAGGGTGGCGGATGCTAGGATGAGAGCAACGCGCATGGACCTCTCTGAATTCCGATACCAGAAGGTCAGGTAGTAGACGAGCCCGGGGAAAAGGCCGGCCTCCGTGGCTGTCATGTCAGGGTCAGCAGGTTCTAAAGAAGTCGATGTTCAATCTATTACCTCCGAGCAGGAATCGAATACCAGTCACCTGGGAGAAATTGTGCGATCCGCCCAAGCCCATTGTGGTAGCTCCCCAGGACAGCATGAGGAATCCGATCCATCTCTGTTCTCGTTAGCGTTGCTCTGACCGGAATGGGTGTGACTTACGCTGGGCTTCAACTTCTTGAGCAGATAATTGGAGGGCACTTCGAACAGCGCATACGCGATTAAGAACACCATGAGCGCGACACTGCATCATTAGCAGTCGTCCAGTCAACTTGACAGCAGAGGTACCTACGTGTACTGGTACGAAGTCATATGTGTCTCCGAGAGGAGATCATTGCCGGTGTCTTGGTTGAGGATTTTGGCATTTCCTGGTCCGTCAGTATACTTTGCTGCATGCCCTAGGGTGTCAATTACCTATGTTGGAACGATCCAGATAGCAGAGAAGATAGATGCTTGCGCAGAGTGGCACAATCCGCAGGTCTTGCTTCCAGACCAGGGCTTTCTCGCGAGTGCTGAGATCTATCCCAGCGTAGCTCTCTTGCGTTACCTGGATTGCCATTAGAAGACTGTGATTTGATTAGGAGAGCTAGAAAGCCCACCTGCGGAGCAACCTCAACATCCTGCACGCTCTCAGCGTGGTCCAAGTTCTTTTCCCCACTCATTGTGGTGTCTTGAGCGAGACAGGTCTGTCGTGAAGCTCAACAATGGTGAATCAGTAGCAGCACCCCTTAACGCAATAGATCACCACGTAAATCTCCGTGACTCGACCGTGCGTCAGAGGGAGACAGACAGGAAAAGAGAGTGCAGAAAACTCCACGCCAGAAGACCGACAGACCGGCTGACTCCAACTCAGTCCAGCTTGGCTAGCCCCGAACCGGAGGCAGACCGCCATCCCCAAAGGCTACTTAAGCTGCATGGCTGCTTGCTAGTGGCTGATCGGCAAAATTGGCTCAGTTGAGCGGAAGTTCCTTTTGCTGCGGGCGAGTCAGTCGGGTATGCAAGGTTTGTTTGCCATTGATTGATTGGAAGGATAGAATTGGGCTGTAATCTTTCATTTTCTTGAGCAGGTGAGAATGCACTCGTAGGTAGATGTGGGGATGTCCTGGACTGTCATGAAGATGAGAAAAGATCGTCTTCTCCAGGGAATCCTCCGCAGGGACCGGCAATACTATGGAATGGGGGAGACGGAGTAAATGCGGGGAAGATGTCTGTATTGTAATTCTGTATAGTCGTGACAGCATTCCTGGTATAATACCATTCGATGCAAAACATACAAACCATGCAAACACCACTGATATTGATCCAAGACAAGAAAGACAAAAAGAGTCGCTGACAGACAGAGAATGCCATGCTTCTGGGTATTTCATGAATGTATGCTCGAGTCACCGCACAGAACCGGATAAGAAGCTGCCGCCCAGGCGCGATACTATCCACCACCCCTGCAACCCTATATAAATCGGCAACAACATCAAGCCTTGCCCGCATCATCCCCTCTTCAGCTCCAGCTCCAGCTCCGAGCGGGGCTCCTACTATCGCAACCATGTCGACTGCCACGACCACCACTCCTACGCGCAAACCCATGCCTTCGGCATTGACTTTTGACTTACATGCCAAGTGTTCAGTATGCTCGCTACGCCAATCTGGTTGAGAATCTCATCGTATGCTGACTACTATCTATACCTAGACAACAAAAGCACGCGCCAGTACCCTCCGCCTCCCCCATGGCGATGTCCCCCTCCCTATCTTCATGCCCGTCGCAACCCAGGCCTCCCTGAAGGGCTTGACGTACGACCAGCTCCGCCAGACGGGATGCCAGCTCTGTCTGAATAATACCTACCACCTTGGATTGAAACCCGGACAGGCGGTGCTGGATGCCGTAGGCGGGGCGCATAAGTTGCAGGGATGGGATCGGAATATTCTCACGGATAGTGGAGGGTGCGCTTGATATCGCCTATACCTCCGTGATGATCGGATCAACTGACGGAGACAGATTCCAAATGGTGTCCTTGCTTAAACTTGCGACTGTTACGGAGGAGGGTGTACGGTTCTTGAGTCCTCATGATGGCACACCGATGTTCGTTATCCCCTTTTTTGGGGGGTAGGCTGTGTTTGTGGTTGGAGATAAGCTAATGGTAGTTTTGAAGGCTGCTCACCCCCGAACATTCCATCTCGTTACAGAATTCGATCGGATCTGATATTATCATGCAATTGGACGACGTGATCGCGACCACTTCGCCGGACCAGGCGAGAATCTATGAAGCCATGGAGCGTTCTGTTCGCTGGTTGGATCGTTGTATTGATGCACATAAGTACCCGGAGAGACAGAATCTGTTTTGCATTATCCAGGGTGGACTGGATTTGGAGATGCGGAAACAATGCTGCGAGGAGATGGTGGCGCGAGATACACCGGGAATTGCCATTGGTGGTCTTTCGGGTGGTGAGGCGAAGGAGGATTTTTGTAGGGTGTATGTTGTATCCTTTGTCTGTGTGGATTTGGGCTAATAGGTCAGGGTGGATACTTGCACGGGACTGCTTCCGGAGAAGAAGCCGCGATATGTGATGGGCGTGGTAGGTTGTTCGGTTCAGAGGGTGTATGTGCAGGCTGACCTGGTTAGGGCTATCCGGAGGACTTGATCATGGGAGTTGCGCTCGGCGCAGACATGTTTGATTGTGTCTGGCCGACACGGACGGCTGTACGTTTTAACCCCCTTCTGATGTACCTTGACTGATTCATTTAGCGCTTCGGCAACGCCGTGGTCCCGACAGGGACATTGAACCTGCGCCACCGGTCTTTCGCAGAGGACTTCGGGCCGGTGCAGGAGGGCTGCACCTGCAGCATCTGTCTCCCGAAGGAGCAGGGTGGACTGGGCATTACGCGGGCATATCTGCACCATTTGGCGGCTAAGGAAACCGTGGGAGCACATCTGTAAGTTGGCATTCCAGAGTGTGTATGGTATGATGTGTACTAATGAACAGGCTTACGATGCACAACGTGCACTATCTGCTGTCGCTGATGGGATCGGCGCGACAGGCCATCATAGAGGACCGGTTCCCGGCGTTTTTGCGCGACTTCTTTGGGAAGTTGTATGGAGAGAAGACGAATTACCCGGAGTGGGTAGTTACAGCACTGCGGGGAGTGGGAGTAGATTTGATGGAGTAAGATACCAGATACCAGATAAACAGAGTCGTATGCTACTGTTCCATCTCTAAGATCTATACTTTGTACCTCCGAGATCGGATATTACACCCGACGACACGGTCACATGACCACGTGGCGCGTCGCGGGCGCGTCAATCCATCATTTACTCCTCCATCCCACTTCACCCCAGACACATTCTACACATCACTTATACCCCATACCAAGATACCACAACACACAAAACACAAAACATTAAGAAGCCACCATAGGGAACTATACAAAATGGCGCCCTCAGCCGAAACCCTCCCCACACAGGAGTCAACTCCCCAACCCACCACCACCACCACTACCACTCCCCAGCCTATTCCCCACGACCCAACCCACGAAGAACACCAATACCTGAACCTAATCCGCCGCATCCTCGCAGAAGGCGAGCACCGCCCGGACCGCACCGGCACCGGCACACGCTCAATCTTCGCCCCTCCACAGATGCGCTTCTCTCTCTCCAAACCCTCCACCACCTCAGAAGAAGAACCATACACCCCGATCCTCCCCCTCCTGACCACCAAACGGGTCTTCCTGCGCGCCGTCCTCGCCGAACTCCTCTGGTTCATCTCCGGCACAACCTCCTCCGTGCCCCTCAGCGAAGCGGGGATCAAGATCTGGGACGGCAACGGCTCGCGCGAATACCTGGACAAAGTAGGTCTCTCGCACCGGGAAGTGGGCGACTTGGGTCCCGTGTACGGCTTCCAATGGAGACATTTCGGGGCGGAATACGTCGACGCCAAGACAGATTATACCGGTCAGGGTGTGGATCAGTTAGCGGAGGTGGTGAAGAAGTTGAAGGAGAATCCGTTCGATCGGAGGATTATCATGTCGGCGTGGAATCCGAAGGATATGAGGATTATGGCTCTGCCGCCTTGTCATATGTTTGCGCAGTTTTATGTTAGGTTTCCGGATGCGAAGAGGGATGAAACCGGGGTGGTTAGGGATGGGGAGTGGGGGAAGGGCCATTTGGATTGTTTGTTGTATCAGAGGAGTGCGGATATGGGACTTGGTGTGCCGTTTAATATTGCTTCTTATGCGTTGTTGACGCATTTGTTGGCTCATGCGGTTGATATGGTTCCCGGGACATTGGTGCATACCTTGGGTGATGCTCATGTTTATTTGGATCATGTGGAGGCGTTGAAGGAGCAGATTGAGCGTGAGCCGGTGGCGTTTCCGGAGGTGAGGATTAAGAGGGGGGATAGGGGTAGTGGGGTTGTGGATGGGTGGAAGGAGGAGGAATTTGAGGTCATTGGGTATAAGCCGCATAAGGCGATCAAGATGAAGATGAGCGTTTAGCTGATACTATACTACAGCGTATATAGAGTTAAGAAGACAGTGATAGATGAATATGTTTAAATAGCAAGCAAAGCAAACAAGGGTATATACTCTACATTTCCCCCTCTACACCACCATATCCCTCCGGGGGAATTCCTATAAAATAACCCCCGCCCCCCTCAACAACACAACCGTATCCCCAGACTTCACCTTCGCACCCACACTCTCCCCAAACTCCAAAAACACTCCCCCCTCTACATGAAACACCCTCAACTTCTCCTCCTCCCCTCCCCCGCGATTATTCACATTCTCTACCTGCAACCGTCTCGCCGCATCATCCAACACCCTCCCCACCTTCCACCTCTCATCGAAGAAAAAGTCTCCCCTGGGCGGATCCGTCGCCGGCTTATTCGTCGTCTCGCTCGTCCCCACAACATGTAGATAGATCCGTTTGTCGCTGGGAATGTTGTTCTCTCCTTTGGCGGTGCGTTTCATGCTGTTCAGTTGCACTGCGCGGCTGGGTGGTTTCCTCCCACTACCACTACCACCACTACCACTGGTAGATGAAGAGGAAGAAGAGGAAGGTTTATTCCCCCAAGCGCGCAACTTCCCAAACATCGACTTCAACGTATCCGTCCCTCCACCTACTCCCCCCGCATTCCCTCCCCTACCACCATTCCTACCATTAATAGAAACAGGCCGACAATCATGCCCCTCCCTCAACCGATGTCTGAGACAATACTCCTTCCGACACTGATCACACCGCACACCAGGGTCAGTGAGAGTATTAATGAGTGTTTTGCATGAGATATGCGCGCATTGATCTGCGGTGTATATATTGGGTTTCTGTTGTTGCGTGGTTGTGGATGTAGAGGTTGTTGTTGTGGACGGTGAGGGTGAAATTCGGGCATTCGGGCATTTATGCGCCGTTTCGGTCCGGTGCTCTAGACAATATGTCCCCTTGCAGGAGGGGCAGCGGAATGGGAGGAAGTCGAGTTGGTTGCAGGTTGGGAGGGAGCAGTGGGAGCCGATGGCGTCGAGGTCGGCGTCTGCTGCTGCTGTTGCTGCTGTTGTTGATGATGAGGTGGTTTGGTTGGGGGTGGGTATTGGGGACATTTTTGGTGGTTTTTCTGGGTATGGTTGGTTGAGAGTGGGAGGTAGGGAGGGGAAAGGTGAGAGTTGAGATATATGGAGGGAAGAATACTCCGTAGATCGAAAAGAGTAAGTAAATGTTTAATAATGTTCTTTCAGGCAGATGCTGGAAGCGCCTGGCGGCGGGAGTCATGCGGAGAGAGAAAGAGAGGCAAATGACTCAGCGTGGCGGTGCACAACTTTATCTGATCGGATCGGAGATTGCTCGGAGATATGTGCAGCATTCAATCGATTAATTATTCTGCTAATTTTAATTCTTTCTGACATAGAGAGGAAAGAAGGAATGACATGGAAAACTCCAACACGAGGGGTATATCAAACAAATATCACAAGTATCAAGTCCAACACAAGGAAAATCAATGAGTGAATCACAACGATAATTAAGTATTACCTCCCTTCCCCTCCTCCCCCTGCTCATCCCTCCGTACGGCCTCCGCAAATGGTATCACCCCGCTTGACATCATCACCGGCAATCCGTCCCGCGCCAGTGTCATTCCGGGAGGTGAATACAATGCCGATGGCGGACGCCCTGGTGTCAATGGCGGCGACATGACCATGCTAGCTGCAGCCTCGGGCTCACTTCTGTCCCAGCCGTTGGTGGTACTGCTTTCAACTTTGCTCACGGACGGTGGTGACGAGGTCACAGGCGTAACAATCGATGGCTCGTCCTTGACTTCTGTCTCTGGTTGAACTGCCACTGGTGCAGGCTTCGCTGCAGACCGGGCCGCCTTTGAAGCCGAGCTCAGTGCCCGACCAGCGGGCTTGCGAGGCGACTTGGGGGTCTGCGTCTGCGTTTGCGTCTTTGAACTGGCCTTGGAGGCTGCGCGCTTCCGCTCTTCCGCTGCTCGTCTCTCTCTTTCTCTCTCCCTGGCTGCGTTCTCTTCTGGCGATGGGACCTTCAACTTAATATGCAGCTTGCGTACCCCGGCTGTCAGACTGTCCAGATCATCTTGGGTCCCATCAGGATTCGGCGACCCTTCGCTTTCAGCGGAAAGAAAAGCCGGCGGCACCCGCGGCACAGGGGGCGTATTCGGACTTGAGGATAGTCGAGGTGTGCTGGATTGTGAAGTACTGGTCTTGCGCACCGCGGCACTCGACGCGGGTCTGGGCCCGGTCGGCTCTGGCGTCGATACTGCTGACCCGGCTCCTGCGCTCTTCCTGCGGGCCACGCGACCGGGTGTCTGTACTGCGGAAGCTATGTCTGGCGCTGCGTCGATGGTGGTTCTCCGACTGCCACGAGCTGCAGGGCGCTTGACTGTCTCGGTCGGAGGCGAGGCAGGCAGCGAGGGCTTGGGCTTTCGCACACGGAGCTTCATCCGGCTGTCTTCTGCGGTCGACGCCGTCGCTGTAGCTGTAGTTGTAGCCGCAGCTGCAGCTGCAGCTGCAACCGCAGCCGTGGTCGCGCTTGTGGAGGCTGCATCCGCTGCTGTCTGACGCTCCCGTCGCAGGCGCGATGCCTCGGCATTGAGCTCTTCTGGTCGACAGCTCGTCGTCTGCCGACCGGTCGGGACCAGGACCTTGCATAGCTCATGCGTGGCCGTCGCCCAGCCGACTGGCGGGGGTGGAGACGGTACTTCCGGCTCTGGGCTTGAGTGCGAACCGGTCGACCTGCGGTCTCGCGGGGGATTGACCACTTTGGCAGAAAATGACTGCGTTGTGGTCAAGTAGGTCGGTACAGCCTTCTCCCGGGGCTTGACAGGTGCTGCCGGTGAATAAACCAGCGCCTCCAGTTCCTCCAGCACGCCTGGTGACCACCACTCACTGTTGTACATCGGTTCAGTCACCGACCGCCCCTCTGCCGAATCAGACAGGCCCAGACGATCTGTCATTTCTGACGCGAGACGATCAATCTGCCGCTCATCCAGATCATGGGCGCTGCCCTTTGCATCTCCCAGCCCAGACAAATGACTGAGTACACCGCTGGTTAATGCACGATTGCTGTAGCCGCCCTCGAGAACACTGATGATCCGCCCATCCGTCCCCAGGCCCTCCTCGTTCGCCATCCGCACCACGTCGGCCGTGAACCTGGCATAAAACTCGGTGGGCACATTTACCTGGTGGCGCTGCATGCCGGCGCCCTCCCACTCACTCGCGTCAAACCCGGCTGAAATAAAGATGGCTGCCTTCGGCGGAGGTCCATTGGGCGTGTTGGCCAGACGTTCGGTATGCATGCGCAGGAATGCACGCGCCTTGTCGATCAGCACAGTGTACTTGGCAGCATACAGGTCCCAAAATTCTTTGTCCGACTTCCACGGCTCTAGATGCACGTTCCAGATGGACTGGCCATGGGCCTTGTCAATACACACACTCGCGTTGCGCACCTTTTCCGGCTCCCCCATTTCGCACGGATAGGAATTGATGTCGTGCAGACTAAAGTATCCCACCATGGTCTTTCGATGAGGGGCCGCATTCCGCGGCGCAGTCACCGCTTTGTGATTCTGCTGCCAGGCGATATCTTGCGATCCGTCTCCATGATGCAGATCAAAGTCGAGAATGGCGGCATGGGTCAAGCCATGAGTCATGGCCGCGTACGAGATGCCCACATGGACGTTGTTAATCCAGCAGAACCCTGACGGATGACCTGCGGAACAATGATGACCGGGCGGGCGGATGCAGACGAACGCTCGCTTGGTTGGGCCCGGACCCATGACCGCGTCCACGCCGTCACTGACACCTCCCAAGGCGCCTTCGAACGCGCTCAAGGATTCCGAGCACAAGTAGAGGTCTCCTTCGTGAAAGGCAGGTGCATTGGTGGCGGCGCTGTCCTTGCCGGCGCTGCGAGGGCGGACCAACTCCTTGCCGTTCAACGCAAGCCGGGATTCGGCTGCATCGCACATGGTCTTTAGGTCCTCCATCCACTTGGACCCATGCACATGCGTGACAGCAGGCGAGCTGAGCGACAGAGTCCGCGCCGTCTTGCGAATCTGGAATGGCGGCACCGGCAGCTGCTGCGGATTGAGATCAGGATGAGGAGCGAATGTGCCTCCTGCATGCCGCCGGGCCAGTCGAACATATGCGGCCGAAATGCCCAGCACACTGGCCTGGATGCGCTCGGGGCGCTCGACGATAGAGTTAAGCGCCGCGCGGGAGGTTCGCGGGCGCGAGAAGCGATGGCCATAACACGCATCATGGACGAGCACGAGTGTCTGCGACTGTGGCTTTGCGGACTGATGCCAGGCCACTTCTTTGCGAAAGGACTCTGCTGCGATGGATGCTGCTGCAGCTGCAGCGACAGAATGCTCCGCCGACGCTGTCCGATGAGCCTTCTTGGCCATGTTTGGGTGGGGGGCGGACGCGCTCGTCGGGGAGGTGCCGAACGAGGATGAAGAGTGTCGGGATAAGCTGGGGCGGGGTGAAGTGGACGCTCCACGGTTAGAACGTAGCGACGCGGTGGATGAGCGTTTCTTCAGGCTGGGGGAGGACTTGCGACGCTCATCGGCCAAGGAGCTGGAGCTGGGGATGCGACGAGGGGTGGGATGCGCCTGGGTCACGACAGCACGCGCGGGGGGATCGGAGGGCGATAACAGGGCGGCTGACGAGAGTCCAGGAGATGAGGGAGGCAGGGACATGGCGTGTAGAGAGGGATAGCTTAGTCTCTGAGTTGAGGCAGTCACGTCGTCTGTAGACAGCGGGGGCTCGGTTGCTGGGGGGGATGAAGCCGCAGTGAATGAGGTGGGCTCATGGCGCTTGGAGGGGTCCATATTGGGCCCATCGGGGGGTTGCTCAGTGGATGTTCTGTAGGTGGAGTAGAGAGGTAATTTGGATTGGTGGAATTATAGAATTATAGAAACTAGATAGAAATAAAAGAGAAATATAATGCGACAAGGGTTGGTAGATGGGGAGGGAGTTGAATACTCAGGGATAGATAGGGAGGACGAGGAGGAGGGGGGAAGGAGGGAGAGAGAAGAGAGGAAGAGAGACAGAGAGAGAAAGGGAAAGGGAGGCAGACAAGATAACAACAAGCACGGGAACTCAAACCCAATTCCCTCCCTCCATAAGTCAATCAATCAATTTGCATTCCATCAAATCAATCAATGCAATGCAGGGTTTCCCCTCATTCTTCAAGCTTCAACAATCAAGCTTCCAACTTTCCAGGTTCAGGGGCCGGCGATCCATCCGGGATTGCGCTCCACTTGGCCTCTCTACTTTAATCTCTACTTCTACTGGAGATACTACTGCTGCATCTAAAGCAGTCCTTCCAAGGGTGTCTTGCAGGAACTTGTCGAGAATGTGACCCATCATCCCTGACCGGGGCCAATGTGGTCTCCAATAATCACTGGTCAGACAATAGTCGATCGTCTTATTGCTGCCCCCAAATAATCCATGCATCATCCGGGGTTCGCGCATCACAATCAGATCGTTCCCGATCCGATCGGAGCAGTCAATCTATCTACAATCCATCCAGATAACATACATTGTCACTCCAATGTATATGCCCCTCCCAAAATAAACACCAAAGAGAGGGTATGAAGAAGTCTCTTTTTTTCTCATCGGGATTGTGCAAAGTCCCGCCCGACCTCATGAAAAGCAAAAAGACGATAAACCCCGAGAAACGCCCGAACCGAACCCACCCAAAGGAGAAAGATGATCCATGCATCCAAACACCGGTGCTGATGATTCACAGAATACCCCAATTCACAAAGGAAAATAAAACGATTGCAAAAAACACACTCGGCCACGTCAAAGGCAGCTTAAAAGGTCCGCGACCGTAAGCTAGCGAACAAGGACCATCGCTTCTTCCGTGGAGTCGGTAAGCTTTGCTCGCTGGACTCGCTGGACGCACTGGGCTCGCTCCTGTCGCTCCTGTCGCTCCTGTCGCTTTTGTCTGTAAAGCTCAGCATTGAGAAGCGTTTGCGATCCTGTTTGCGCTCCTGCTTGCGCAACTTGCGCTCCGACTTGAAGCCGTGAGTTGCGTGTCCGTAGCAGAAACAGTGCATGTGGACCAACTGAATGGACGTTTCGGGGCAGTAATTGTTCTCATTGTTGCGCGAGGAACAGAGCTGTTGGCCGGCGTCTTCTTCACACCGGCACCATTCATAGACCATAAAGTACTGGCGGCACATCTTGAATGAGGGGGTGTAGAGGGCAGAGAAGCGGGTAGTGTGATGAGTTGGTGGATGGGAGGCAGTGCAGAAAAAGTAAATTTCACAAAATGAGAAAAGAAAGCGAGAGATCAAATGTGCCGGAAGTTTAAACGGTCGAATCTAGATCCACCAAGAAGCAATTCGTGCCCAAAGACCGGCCGCGCTGAAGAGGGTTTGAGTCGGTGTGGATTTGGTGCGGGATTCTTCTGACTCCGCGGTCTTCCGGAGAGGGGGTTGAATAGAGAGGTGCAAGAATGTACTCGGTCGTACTCCTTTTTTGTGGTGAAAATGCGGGTAGTAACACTGCTTTCAAAGCAGGTGGATTCTTGCTGGCCGTGTCTCGTAAGTTGAAAATCTATTCTGCGTAGAGAGCTGGTGGACGAGAGGCGGTTTATAGTTAGGATATACACTAGATGACGATGGAGGGATGGAGATCACTCGGCGTTCCGCGGGTCTGGACTGGGCGGTTCGGTTTGAGGGTCAAGCGGTTTGTTGGAAGAGCTGATATGACGCACTTCCAGCACAACCAGGCTGGAGGGATGACAGTCTCCGGGACTGTTGTATCAAAATCGAGTAGGGGAGGTAAATCCCCAGGTTCATCAATGCGTGTTTAGCAAGAAGAGGGGAAGAGTTGTGAGGGAAGAAGAGGTGGGGAGGGAGAGAAAAGGCGAAGGGGAGTAGAGCGTTAATGAGGGCAAGGGAGCCAGTCAGTCAGTCAATCAGTCGGTCGGTCAGTCAGCGGAAAACTACCACCACTCCATTCAAGCAGACTGGGATGATCAATGAAGGCGAATGACGGCAGATTGTTTCTTTAAAAAGAGCTAGCATGAGAGAAAGGGCAATGAATGACAATGCAGCAGCAAAGAGCCGTCCAGACAAGACAGTTGGTGCAGAGCGAGTGTTTGACGTCAGCTGCAAGCGCTGTGGTGGAGTAGGGCGTCAAAGAGTGTACCAAATGGAAGGATAGAATGATGGCTTCATGCAGGAAGAGAGGGAAGGGAAACGGTGAGAGATGCAGCAACCCTGGTTCATCATGACGAAGAGGAATCGACGACTACTTTTACAAATGCTCACTGGCCCGGCTACCACGGAGAATGAGGGATGATCGGACTGTCGTATCGATCGAAGCCCAAGCCAACTGGGACCTAGTCTACTAACTGCATTGCCTAATTTGGATGGCTCCTGAGTCCTTTTCTTACTTAGTGTTACCCTTTTCATTTGGATTTTCTTCTTATAAATCGTTTTTTGTTATTTTCTCGAAATTGTTTGGTTCAGTTCCGTGATGGTTCCCCGGTCCATCCGGATTGGAATGTCACTTCAGAGTTGTGGTCAGTGGTACGTCAATTTATAAAAGGAAACATCAAACAAAAAAAAAAAAGGCACAAAAGGTAAGCAAAATCTGCTTCAACCATGGAAATGAAAGAGAAAGAAGAGCAGAAAAAAAATGTATTAATAATAAAAAATCAGGGGGAGTATATGTGTTTGTATGTGCGTGCATCAGGGGGTAAAAAATAACCAAAAGGAACACCATTATGAAAGGAATAAAACGGACCGGATAGAAATAGCAGTCGAACATCCGGCGAGACGAGGTCTAGGCATCTGTATTTCTTTAGTACTATGTTTAAGGAGATAATGTCGGACATAAAAGCCCCGTGTTGGTTAAGTTGGTTGCTAGACCGCTCCGAAGAGAAAGAGAGGGACTGCGACTATTGTTACCCACGAGCTCCTCCTTCAGCCGAGATAGTCAACACTAATGGTCTCGGAAGACAAATAGTCCCTTGACGAAATGGAGCCGGATGGAGTCGATGGAAATTGGCAGTGGGTTCGGGAGTAAGACGAAGGTCTGACTTGACAGCCCCCTCTCCGGGCGGCGGTTTTGGGAAACCCAAAACGGGCTTCTAGTGTGATCTACCGGCAGAAAGTGGAAAAGTAGAAAAGAAAGAGAGGGGTGAAAGGGGATGGAGGGGGTAAGGAGCAACGTGTGGCTTTGTCGTTGCATGCTGGGATCTGGAGGGGAGAGGGAATAATGACATCAAAGAGTGGCATAATAGTAGATCATCTAGAACAACACCACACATACACGTAACCTCGAACTCTAACCCCAAACCCATGGACTTTTCAACCTTCAAATGCTGCAGAATGACGACACGACTGATTGATTACTGATACCTGATTAGTTAATCTGGAACTAATCAACTAGCTAAGCTTAGTTAGCACGAACTGCCTTTCCCGCCTTCCCCCTCTTAGTCAGCCACGTGCTCTTTCGGAACAATAAAGCCGAATCCGAATTGAACCTCACTTCATCACGTGTAACACTAACTCCCAAACAAGCCTAGCGTCGTAGCTCTGCATCGGCCCGAACAGTCAATCTTATCATCACCTGTTACTCTGTAACTTGGACTGTTCTATATCCTCATCCAACCTCACGAACCAGAGATCCCATAACACAACCCAACGGGGGGAAAACCAACTACTACAAAATGACCACCTCCATCCGCCCCTCCACCCCCACCCGCACCACCACTCTCCTCACCAACCTCGCAACCGTAACAGCCCGCATCAACACCGCAACCACCTCATCTCCAAAAACCACCCCACCCCGTCTCGTCGCCGTCTCCAAACTCAAACCCGCCAGTGACATCCTCACCCTCCACACCACCAACCCACCCACACATCAAACCCACTTTGGCGAGAACTACCTCCAAGAACTCCAAGAGAAAGCCCGTCTCCTCCCCACCACCATAAAATGGCACTTCATCGGCGGCCTGCAGAGCAATAAATGCGTGACTCTGGCGCGAGATACTCCCGCGCTCTGGGCCGTCGAGAGCGTAGATAGTACTAAGAAGGCGTCGTTGTTGGATAAAGGGTGGGGGGAGAGGAGTGCTGAGGTGAAGGAGACCAATCATGAAGAGAGGTTGAGGGTGTTCGTGCAGGTGAATACCTCTGGGGAGGAGAATAAGAGTGGGGTTGAGCCGGGCGACGGCGCGCTGGAATTATGTCGCTTTATTAGGGATAAGTGTCCCCGGTTGCGGTTGCAGGGGGTTATGACCATTGGGGCAATTGCCAGGTCGAAGGCTACCACGCCGGAGAATGAGAATGAGGATTTTGTGTGTTTGAGGGAGACCAGGGATCGTGTGGTCAAGGAATTGGGTTTGCTGGGGGAGGAGGCCAACTTGGAGTTGAGTATGGGTATGAGTGAGGATTTCGAGGGCGCTATTGCTCTGGGTAGTGATGAGGTTCGCGTTGGGACGACTATCTTTGGGGATAGGCCGCCCAAGGATCAGGCCAGGGTGGTTTGAGTCCATGAAAAGGTGTTACGAATCACGACGTGTTCTATAAGCATCATGCATTCTAGGGGGATAAAAAGAGACGGGATAGGAAGGGAAACCAAGACAGTAACTTCGACTGCTGCCTGTACATTAAGATGAAAGAAAAGAACAAGCGTCCCGCATGTCCCAGGTATATATGTGCGATATCAATAATAAATACACCCCCCGCCAACTGCCACCTGGCGGAGTACGAAGAATCAAACATGCAGCATGACACACCCCGAGCATCATCGCCCACTGTCTCCTCGCTCTCCCTGTGACAGCTTCTGCTCCATCTGTTTGGCCAATGCCTGCGGCACCGATTCCTGTGTCGCGCGGATCGTGATTCGGTACATCTAAGTCATATAGTCAGCTCACTCGTTGCAGTCCTCGACGGGGTTAACATAGTGAAGGGAGCAAGCTTACCGATCTCTCATAGTTGGGCTCCAGTCGCAGGAGACAGCCCGTCTTGCCCTCAGCAAACTGATACACTGCGCAGCCCACGATGTTCTTCGGATTCGGATCCACGTTGTCCAGGATCTTCCACCCAAAGCCTTCCACCACCCGTCGTGTGAACGACTCGCCAATTTCCTTGTGTCGCGCCGTAACGCCAAATGTTTTCTGTGCCTCCAGCGGGCCCCCACCAATTTGCCGCCAGCGCTTGAAGAAATCTTCTGCCGACAACGCCGATGGCTCCATGTATCGGTGCATGAGAATGGGCAGCTGTAACGTGTAGGCCTGGAGCGCTCCCGCAAGATATGAAATGCGGATCGTCGGCGCTTCCGTGAACGGCCCGCGCCCCTCAACCAAGAACGTCTGCTGTGTCTGACCCACGGCAGGCACCGATGGATCGGGAAGACTCTTCGTGTCAATCTTTAGGTTAGGTGCGGCCGGGTTATCCACCGTCGTTGTGAGGGACCCGATAGAGTAGGACGATTTATTAGAGATGTAGATCTTCACCACACCCATATGCCCCCGGTACTCGGAACGCAGGCCAACTTGAATTTGCGCATCCTCGAACAGCACACCTTCATCGCCAAAGTAGAGTCGGTTGTACCCGATATCCCAGTCCGGCGTGAGATGAGCTGCACTGGCCATGTTTGGCGGCGGGCCTGATGGGGCGCTGAGATCCAGTCCTGCTAGGTCGCCCGATGCCCCCGACGTGGCCGTCGTGCCATTGGCCCCGGTCTTGTGGCCATTGACGATTGTGGTGAAGCTGCGCTTCAGTCCCGTGTTCTGCGCCATGAGCACCTCTTGTTTGTCGGCGTTGGCATCCTTGCCGCCCACCACCCACGTCTTCTTCTCTGTCGTGCCGGCCGTCTTCTGGTGCAGCCGAGAAAGCAGAATCGAGGCGCGCTCCGAGAAGGGTGGCATCTCGTCGCACACCGTGCGCAGGAGGTCATCGGTGGGAAGGGTCGCCAGCGACAGGTATTCAAAAGCACGCTGCTGCAATTCAGAATCGGGGGAGTGGCTATACAAACGGAATATGTGCAGAAGTTGAGGCTTGATCTCGGGGAAGAGGTTGACAAATTTGACAAAGGAGGACAGGATCATCGCTCGGGTCGTGTCGGTGCTGGTGATCATCTTTGCTTGCAGCGCCAAGAACTGCTCAATGGGGCTTGAGCCTTGATTGTCGGCGATCAGATGGCCAAATTCACCCAGAACATAGCATCCAATCTTCACCAAGCTCTCGTGACAATCGGTCTTCAGATATCCAAGCAAGTTGTGCGCTGCATAAGCCTGCAGCTCTTCGTTGTTGGTCACGATCTGGATTACCCGTTGCCACACTTCGTCGTTGACATGATCTCCAGCCAGCGACAAGAGCTTAAGGGTCATGTCAATGTACCACTGCGCGTCGGTGGCATATTTCTCGGTGAGAATAGCCACCTTCAGCACCATCTCCTCGCGGATGGCGTAGTCGGCCGTCTGAAGGTAGCGCAGTAGCTCGTTCACAATCGGACCGGCGTTTGTGGTGTCGCACATACTGTAAACCAAATCCAGACCTTTGCGCCGAACACTGATATCGCGGTCCCGGAGCGATCCGAGAATGATATTCTGGTGCTTCTTGATAGGATCTAGAGTCTCGGCCCGAGCCGCGAAATGCGTCATGGCTTCCAACCCCAAGTACCGAACATTTGTTTCTCGCGACTGGATGTACTTTCCAAGACGTGTAGATATTTGCATCATAAGGCTGTGCTCGGTATCGAGATGGATGAGGAGATTGATCGCCTCGAAAAGAACGGCATTCTGGGCATTGTTCTGCTGGACATTCTTCGGTGCATCCATGGCCAAGTTCATGATTTGCTGTAGAGACTCACGGATAATCTCGCGAACATGGCTATCCTCTGTTCAGTTGTTTAGTGGTGCACATACAGCCGATAATGATACATGAAAGACATACCTGCTGGAGGATAGTACTGCAGCAACCGCAAAAGCTTGACCTGAATCCAAGGACATGGCACGCGGTAGTAAAGGTAGTCGGAGGCAATGTCGTTATCCACCACTATCCTTTTCAGGCGATGTGCGGCCTTGACGTAGCAACCTCTGTACTCATCGGGTTTATCCTGGGCCAATGCCATGACAAGCGAGGTGACCGAAAGCGTGACACCCATATCGGGGTCATCCATCAAGGAGATTATCCGTTCCGCCCAAGCGTTCTGTACAATGTCGGGGAACTTGCGATACAGTCGAAGGAGGGTCAGCGCAGCCTTCTTCTTGACAAAGGCCTTCGAGGTACTAGATCCCAGTCAGTCAGAAATGCAAAAGGCCGACGACAGAAGAACCGTAGAGGCACTCACGGGCTAATCAGGAGCCGATGGACATCTGTCGAAAGCGCCTCGCCCATTTCTCTTCCGCCGACGTTCGCAACCGCGTGCAAGGCTAGACAGTTATTCAACTCATTGTGGTCTAACAGATCCTTCCGTATACTGTTGACAACCAGGTGGAGCAGTTCATGCTGCTCGTGTAAAAAGAGAGTGACCGCCAGGTAACCGATCTGCTTTTCGGAGTATTTGTTGGAGGAAATCAGGTTCACGGCCTCCAGGTGACCGAAGTCGACATCGTAGCCTTGAATGTAGACGTAGAGCAACTTGCAAACGTATTTCTTCTTCTGATAACCATTCAAACTGCCACCCTTGAACTTCTGCCGAATGTTGGCCAATTCCTTATTCACCCGCTTCTCTTCGAGTTCGCGCGCTCTCGCATTTCGCAAGTCGGCGATGAACTGAACCAAACCTCGCATAGACGACATGTTGACTGATATAGCATATGACGTGAGACCGATCAAGGATCAATTATTAGAGCAGGAAATCAAATTGAGAGCTGTCGGATTCGTCGTTCCTGAATTTCACGGAGTCATGTAAGCGCAAACACCACGCTAGTGAGATTCCTCCAAATGAGTGTATGTCATACAATCATGTCCAGTCCCTCCTTTCGGGGTTGTTCGTTGTCAATTCCGCTTTAGTGGCTATGGTGCATGGAGCATGGCGCAAGGGCAATGGTGAGCCAAGTGGAGGAGCCGAGATCTGGAGGAGGAGGGGGGGGTGGCCTTTCGGAGAACGCGCGACAGGGGGGAGGGTGGGACGGACAGTCGAATCGCAAATCGAGGGGTAGGGGGGACTGTCCAGGGAGTTAGAAGAGCAGGAAGATGGTGAAAAGCCCGGTAGATGGCTCCGATCAGAAGGTCGAGCTCTCTGGGACAGGGACGAGCAGATAGACGTGGAGGCAGTCCGGCAGCGGAAAGGAGGGAGAACGAGACCCTTTTGGCCCAGGAGGGAAGCTGCCTCAGCCACTTCCGCGGGCGATCCGGCGGAGATCGGGATAAATGTTGTTGCGCTGTGGCGGTGCATCTGTCAACCCCATTTATGGAATGGGAGCTGCGCTGCTTATCATCTTGGAGGAAAAGTGAAGGCAATCATTGTTTATTTTGGGTTTCTATGTTGGATGATCGCTTGCTAAGCTATATCAATTTCTACGACAGTGGCGTTAAACTTCCTACACCCACCACCCACAAGTTGTATTTGTGCTCAGAGGAGTGGTTCTAGATCTATGGGAACCTTATCGGATTTCACGGCACTGCAATCAGGTGGGGATACTGCAGCAGGGACATCACTCCGCAGAATGATGAATCTCCCCTGCTATTTTTTCATTTCCGCTCTTGGCTCAAATTGAAATTGCCCTATTGCACGTCGGTGAGAGTAATCGCCCTGCTACTGGTGACGAAGAAACCAGGAAATCTTCGAGAAACAACTCCTACACTCATCTCCCCACTAAATTCAGGTATTCAGACAGTCATCGCATTAGGTATAATTCTAGAGACATAATTGGACTCTTCGTCACTGATACTGCGTAACCTCTCGCTTCCCCATGAGAATAGCCTATAACAATGCAAAATAATTCAGAGTCAAACACCCACGCAACCTTGAATCCGGCCAATCTCAGCCTCCCGAAAACTCCGTAATGAACACCAATAACCCCAAAGAACATGCAATTTAGTAACACTCAAGAAGAGCTCGATCATGAACTTCCACACAAAGATGTAGGAGTGGACTTTTAAGCCCGAGTGGTGAAGTCAGTCTCGAGACCAACAGCAGCGTCAATGGCGCTGGCCTTCTCACAAGTGCAAGAAGCTAAGGTCTTTGTTAGCTCGGAATCCTCTCGAATCAGACACTTTAAAACTTACTGGAAGACCTCTTGCCGCATGGGCAGGCGGATCCCGTCACCGGGTGGTTCTCAGTTGCCGAACGTTCACAGGTACATTCTCCGGCAGGACGAGCTCCTGGAGATGATGTTAGCGATTGGTCCGCAGAAGCACCAGGCTGAATGCATATGTGTCTCAAGTTTGGGTAGACAGGGAGGAAATGACTTACTGCAAGAGCATCGGGCGCCGCTCACGGTGTTCTCGGTGGAAGCCTTGTTGCAGGTGCAGTGGAGGGCGTTCTGCTTGCCGCAGGAGCACTTGGCCTGGGCAGCGCAAACACAGCTACCATCACCAGAGGTCTTGCAGCAGGTGGAGGAAGGGTGGACCATTTTGATGGGATGTTGATTTGACTGGAGACAAGTAAAGGGACGGAAGACCGTTGTTGTTGTAGTATATAAGTAGTTCTTGATCGGTAGACCGAGGGAGCAAGGACTATATATGACGTAATCAAGGACGGAGCGGAGACTAGTAGTTGAAGTAGTAGTAGTCTTCAAAGTATCGATCTTTCTAA